GATAAGATTAATTCTTATTCCTGTTTTTCTTATATTTAAGAATTTACAGTGGTCATAAATATAGCTTAAAAGAACAAAGTAAACAGGAAATAAATCATAAAATCTAAAAAGATTCAACTACATACAATTTTCCCCATGTTTTCAGAATCACTATTTTGTTTCGCCTTCAATCTGTGCTGTTGCAAGTAACAAGTAAGCAGGAATATTTTATTTAACCATACATCAGGTAAAATACATGTAAGCAGTCATTCTGTTTGTCAGAATTACGTCCCATTGTGATTCATCATATGTATGGCATTCAATTTTAATTTGCAAATGAACTTGAGCACAGGTCAACACTTTGTCATATAGGTCAAACAATACACAGATCTTGATAGATTTCATTCTTACTAGATGGATAATACCTCGGTTTTCAATTTTATTTCTGAAAACAAACATCGAACTCTGCGAGTGTGTTTCATAACTTAACTTAACTTAGGGGGAGGGGATAAAATGTCTTTTTAACCGCTATTACTTGTAGATAGGGCTCATTATTAAAGGATAAAATGTTGTATCATATCACACTCATACTAGAGCCCCACCAACTCTCCTTCAATATATTAACGTTCTGAAATAGCCTTTCAGTTTCACAAGCCGTCAAAACTAATCTTAATAATTTCATTTCTATTGCTATCCGACACTTCCTTCATAACCAGAATAGTGAATAGTTAAGTATTTGTTAACAGAGACCATGATCCAACGGCCCAATAGGCTGGTTTACCACGTTACTTACATTTCTGGTAGTAGGCAACAAGAGACTTCGAGATGGACTGGCGGATGGCTGGGAACAAAATAAATAGCATTGTGAAACACAAGCAACTCTACTTATTGTGTGTATAATAAAAAGTTTCCCTACATCTGTCAAGATTTCGTATTAAATCAGAATTTTTACATCAAAGTGATTTAATTCTTCATGTAAGCATCTAGAATTGAGCAAGTAATGCATATATATTTTGACACTCAGAGCGCTGTGATGTCCATTTCATTAGTATCATATTTGATAAGCAGAACATTTTCACAAGTCATCATGTAGTCTTTATATCTGCAATCAAATGTACACAGTAGTTCAGAAGGATGCTATGTATAAGAAAGCAAAAATGAAATGTAGTGTTTTCTGTTGCCTGCTTGATAAAATTGGCTTGGTGTGTTAAGATCAGCTTGCCTGACCCACAGGGTTACCAAATTTCAGCAAGGGCAAACATTTTAACACCATTATATATTTATTTAACAACCCAAATCTTATTATGTCGGTTTCAATTCATGAAAAAAAACCCAGGAAGTAGAATTTCAGTTAGGACAAGAGCTTTTAAGTTATTTTTAAGCTCCTGTATTTTTTTTAAACAACTTAGATACTGACTTTCCTCACATGTGCAAAATAAAATGCACAATAAATTTTGGTTTAAAACATTCTGTTGATTCTCCACAGAACTCCAGGAGACAATTTTTAATGCAACTTATGAATAAAGAACATTTTAGAGCCAGGACATCCTACCGCTGAAACATATATATGTCAACCCTAAAAATACTCACCATAGATTTGTGCCACATGACCACCTCCACGACACCTCACCCTGATGTCAACACCAGCAAATTTCTCCTTTCCCAAAAGTAACAAGGGTTCCTGGAGCTAAAAGTAACAATACGATAAATTAGCGTATATTACAATGTAGTGCACGTGGGTGTCTACATTTACAGCTGTGACCTCAGAGCGCTGTGATATTGATTTCATTACTATCATATTTGATAAGCAGAACATTTTCACAAGTCATCATCTTGTCACATTTTCAGAAATTGAGAAGCAAAATTGACTGATAAATCTGAACCTAATGCTTCAAATTCAATAACATTTTCCCTTGAAAAAAATGCTACCCTACAAAACATTATCATCATTCACAGAGGTAACTATCCTTTATTTTTATCAAATAATAAATGTTCAAAATAATGTAACATTAAATTAAAATGTACTTCTTTTATACAGAAAAAATAGAGCTGCATTAATAATATCATACAAGAAAACATTTTTGTGACCTCAGAGCGCTGTGATATTGATTTCATTAATATCATATTTGATAAGCAGAACATTTTCACAAGTCATCATGTAGTCACATTTTCTGATAATATTAATTTAGGTTATAAATATCTCTAGTGCTTCAAATCCAAAAATTAATTCTTCTTGAAAAAATACTTGGTCTGTCAAAATTAACCTATATCCAACAACAGGTTAATAATGTAAAAAGTCAGTCGCCAACAACAGGTCAATAATGTAAAAAGTCAGTCTCCAACAACAGGTCAATAATGTAAAAAGTCAGTCGCCAACAACAGGTTAATAATGTAAAAAGTCAGTCTCCAACAACAGGTCAATAATGTAAAAAGTCAGTCTCCAACAACAGGTCAATAATGTAAAAAGTCAGTCTCCAACAACAGGTTAATAATGTAAAAAGTCAGTCTCCAACAACAGGTCAATAATGTAAAAAGTCAGTCTCCAACAACAGGTTAATAATGTAAAAAGTCAGTCTCCAACAACAGGTCAATAATGTAAAAAGTCAGTCTCCAACAACAGGTTAATAATGTAAAAAGTCAGTCTCCAACAACAGGTCAATAATGTAAAAAGTCAGTCTCCAACAACAGGTCAATAATGTAAAAAGTCAGTCTCCAACAACAGATTAATAATGTAAAAAGTCAAGTCTCCAACAACAGGTCAATAATGAAGTATATCATTGAATAATTTACAGCATTTATCGTTTATTTTTCTTTAATACAGGGTTTCTTACTAAACCACTATTATCTGTTGTAACTTATATGTATACTTGGGAAAATAATCTTCCGTTTTCAGGGTTCGAAATTTACTCTTATTTACACACAATTTGCGTCAGGATTTTGAGATTTGCGTTTTGATATGGGTTCCAAAACGAAAATGCTTGCGTCTGGTATTTTACTGCAACATGTGTGTATAAATTGTGTCAATATTTCCGGATCATCGATCTATTTGTAACAAGTGCCGGTCTATGGTCAGGACCCGTCGATGTGCCGATCAAAACATAATCTGTAAGTTGTACACATGTGTGCGTGTCTAAATATAGCACAAGTACCAAGTCTCGTTTAGTCTCGGCAATAATGAGAGTGTCGTTCGGAACATATATATCAGACAGCGTCAAATCACTCGGAACTTCTCGGCTGATACAGTCATCTAACATTAGCCGTGAACATACATTCCAGACTGTCAGATCAACAAAATGTTCTCTTTACACATTTCACATCCAGTATTTGTTGTTGTTAAAGATACATGATATCTACGTTGGAAGGAACTGGAATTGGGGCGAGGTGTTCCGAATGAGTGTCAAATGTCAAAGCTCAAACGATGATTACGGGTTTTTTTAAAAGAAAATTGGAACCTGACGGCACTGAAGGCACTAAAAAAGTGCATACACTAACAGAACCACCGGCGAAGACTGAAGCTCAGCCTCTCGTACAAATAAAAACAGTACAGAAATGGCAGCATGACCTACATGACATAGGCTACATTGCCGACAAGGATAACAACACTGTCAAAATATGGTGTGAGGTGTGCCGGGATTTCCCCAAACAGTCGGACAAAACTGTCCAAATATTTTGCTTCTTGATTTGTCAATCTGCTTCTAACTTTTGAAACCACATGCAACAGTTTGCTTGTGGATTTAAAAATTAAATTCAATCCTTGGTTTTGCCATCAGTATTCATGGCAATTGTGCAGGCCTGTTGTATTTCTAAGTTTTTTTTTTAGATAAAATATTGCCGCTATGGCAGAAAAAGGCACAAAAAACCTGTGATTGATGGTTATTATGTTGCTCTAACACTCATTAGTTAAAAAACCTCATATCTTCAGTCTGAAAATTAGGCCAAATAAAATTAATTACTTGGTTCTCAGGCCAATTCTTTTCAAAAGAGATGCGGCAGGGCAGTATTCTTGTTTTTTATTTTACATGGCAAAAAACGAGACGAGGGCAATTTTCTTTTTATTGTGTAATTTGTAAAATGTTCATTGTGGGCATTACCTAGTCTTTTTATAGTTGTGTAGAGACCCGTCATAGAGCAAGTCTCCGAAAATCACCCCACGATGTTCCGGACAAGAATCACGAACCCCCCATTCCTTATTTGTACCGAAATGAGCGCCATTTGTACACAAGACTAATAAGTCATAATCATTTTAACGCTTGCCTGTATATCAATCCTTATCTTTATTCAAACATTTTCCGGACTTGGTTGACTAACGAGTAAAAACGACATGCTGACTAATTTTTCCGGATTTTTTTTAAAGACGGCGGCTGGCACATTCACATTTTTTTTTTATTACTTCCACGATAAAATTGGCAATGTGGTGCCCTTAAATGAAATGCGCACGGGCCTAAGAACTAAGTAATCAATTTGTTTTGGCCTTACTTACTCGAGATAAACATGATCCCATACCATCACTCTATATTTTGAACCATGACAGTTCTGTAACCTCAGAGCGCTGTGATATCCATTTCATTACTATCATATTTGATAAGCAGAACATTTTCACAAGTCATCATCTAATCACAGAATGTCTTTGAGCATATCATTTATATATGCTTCAAACATGAAATATTTTTTGTCTTTAACATTTTACAGAACATATTTTAATTTAATCAATTTTGTAGCAAACATCCTGTTTTTATTTGTTATTTCAAAAAAAAAGAAACTCAAAAAATGTCCTACTCAAATGTATCGTCAAACTGTGAATAGGGACGAAGTCTAATTTCATGCTGATGCTTTCCCAAAGTTTAATTTGTAGGAGATTCGACAAGTTTGATATGTTTTATATTAAGTTTTTACCTTATATTAAATAAGTTCTTTTAAATATATAAACTTTGTACTAACTACTTTTCAATGTTTTAAATCAAGGAAAATTTTATGCATTTTTGAATTAGTGCAAATCTCCAAATTAACCTGTTTTAGTTGTGACCTCAGAGCGCTGTGATATCCATTTCATTACTATCATATTTGATAAGCAGAACATTTTCACAAGTCATCATCTTGTCATCATACTTACAGAAATTGAGAAATGAAACTGACAGTATTGATTATGTACCAAGTGCTTCAAATTCAATGACATGATTCCTTGAAAAAATTATGTCTTACAAAAAACTTTGTTTCACTACAATATTTATCAATTTTACTTTTCTTCAATAAACCTTCAAAATAATATGACATTAAATGAAAATTTACTTGTTGTATACCTAAAAGAAGAGCTGCATTAATAATACCCTAGATGGAAACAGTTCTGTGACCTCAGAGCGCTGTGATATCCATTTCATTACTATCATATTTGATAAGCAGAACATTTTCACAAGTCATCATCAAATCACAGAATGTCTTTGAGCATACCATTTAAATATGCTTCAAACATGAAATATATTTTGTCTTCACATTTTACAGAACACATTTTAATTTAATCAATTTTGTAGCAAACATCCTGTTTTTATTTATTATTCCAAAAAAAGTCCTACTGACATGCATCATCAAACTGAATAGGGACGAAGTCTAATTTCATGCTGATGCTTTCCCGAAAGTTTAATTTGTAGGAGAATCGACAAGTTTGATATATTTTATATTTCTATATTAAGTTTTTACCTAATATATTAAATAAGCTACTTTAAATATACAAACTTTGTATCAACTACTTTTCGATGTTTAAAATCATGGAAAAATGTATGCATTTTTGAATTGGTGCAAATCTCCAAATTAATCTGTTTTCGTTGTGACCTCAGAGCGCTGTGATATCCATTTCATTACTATCATATTTGATAAGCAGAACATTTTCACAAGTCATCATCTTGTCGTCATAGTTACAGAAATTGAGAAATGAAAATGACAGTCTTGATTATGTACCAAGTGCTTCAAATGCAATGACATGATTCCTTGAAAAAATTATGTCTAACAAAAAACTTTGTTTCACTTCAATATTTATCAATTTTACTTTTCTTCAATAAACATTCAAATAATATGACATTAAATGAAAATTCACTTGCTGTATACCGAAGAAAAAGAGCTGCATTAATAATACCCTAGATGGAAACAGTTCTGTGACCTCAGAGCGCTGTGATATTTATTTCATTACTATCATATTTGATAAGCAGAACATTTTCACAAGTCATCATCTTATCACAGAATGTCTTTGAGCATATCATTTATATATGCTTCAAACATGAAATAGATTTTGTCTTCATATATTTTACAGAACATTTTAATCAATTTTGTAGCAAACATCCTTTGTTTTTATTTGTAATTTCAAAAAAAAATAGAAACTCAAAAAATGTCCTACTCAAATGTATCTTCAAACTGTGAATAGGGACGAAGTCTAATTTCATGCTGATGCTTTCCCAAAGTTTAATTTGTAGGAGAATCGACAAGTTTGATATGGTTTATATTTCTATATTAAGTTTTTACCTTATATTAAATAAGCCATTTTACATATATATATAAACACTTTGTATCAAGGAAAATTTTATGCATTTTTGAATTGGTGCAAAATCTCCAAATTAATCTGTTTTAGTTGTGACCTCAGAGCGCTGTGATATCCATTTCATTACTATCATATTTGATAAGCAGAACATTTTCACAAGTCATCATCTAATCACAGAATGTCTTTCAGCATATCATTTACAAATGTATATGCTTCAAACATGAAATATATTTTGTCTTTACATTTTACAGAACATATTTTAATCAATTTTTGTAGCAAACATCCTGTTTTTATTTGTAATTTAAAAAAATAAATAACTCAAAACATGTCCTTGTATATATATATTTTAAGTTTTTACCTAATATATTAAATATTAAATAAGCTACTTAAAATATATAAACTTTGTATTAACTATTTTCAATGTTTTAAATCAAGGCAAATTTAATGCATTTTTGAATTAGTGCAAATCTCCAAATTAATCTGTATTAGTTGTGACCTCAGAGCGCTGTGATATCCATTTCATTACTATCATATTTGATAAGCAGAACATTTTCACAAGTCATCATCTAGTCACAGTGCTTTCAAATTTGCTGTTTGAATTCATATCAAATGCCAAGAAAAAGTTCCAACATGATTTATTGGTGCTACATTGATCCCACTTTTGTCAAACAGTAATGACAATGCATCATTATACCTTAGCCCTAAGGAGCTGGGGCTCAATGTTCTCCAGTGGGCGACCATTCACTTTGATCAGACCATTTCCTCTTTTGCAATGGGCTACAGCTGTGGCTGTTTTCTGAAAATTAAATGTCACATCATATAACACATTTGACACAAGGAGATCAATCGACTTGATATTAGAAATCAACAGAATTCAGTTATTCAATAATGTCCTTTTAAAGAAATTAAATGGCGATTCATCTATCTAGATGTTATCAGGTTGGGGAAAACCACCAACTTGCGTATAATATGCAAACTTGCCTATTATACGCCAGTTGGAGTATGGATTTGTTACTAAAAATAACCCAAACAGCTTTAACAGTAACTTTTGCAAGATATTATTAAAATCGCTTTAAGATGTTTACAGAAAGCGTTGGCTACTTAGAAACTTGATGCAACTTTACCGGAAGTATTGCATCTATTTTTGGTACTTTCCCACATGCAAATAAAGTTTATTTTTTGCATTTGTATCATGTTTCATGACTGAATAAATCGATTTGAACAAACAATTTGAAAAAGTTAAATTAAAATGATTTTTGGCCATTTTTAGTAACAAATCCTATTGGCGTATAGACAATTTGCATATTATACGCAAGTTAGTGGTTTTCCCCGATCTGGTTATACTCCAGAGACCAAAATGGCTGTAATGCGGAGGCAAGGAGAATTTCACATAATTTAGAAGTTTCCGATATCCAACTGAGATCACCTTGATACTGGATAGCTGCTGGACTTGTGAATATCACCAGGCAATAATGGTCAAGTCCAGTTATGCCTATTGAGTTATATAGCTGTAAAGACCTATAACAGCTGTATTGGCCCATCCGAAATAGGTATTTTGAGCTATTTTCATGGGTGTTTTTTTTAAAGGAAAATAAAACAAAGTCGCTGTTAAAATAAGATTTATCATTAGGTTTGATAACATAAGACATTAAATGTAAATATTCTTTTTAAAAAATAAATATGTAAAATAATCGGATTTTTTTTTACAATTTATGATATGCTTTGTAGTCAACATTATCATAACCTTATTTTTTATGCGACTTTGCTTTAATTTAGTGAAAATTGAAAGGCGAGAAAACAAAGCTCAATACATATAGGTCCAAACATCTATAAAACTCAATCGTCAGGGTGTACTTGACCTGGCGGTTCCTATGCAAGACTATAGCAACAGAATCATAACCAGGGATGAGGTATTACTATGCCTCGACATTTTTGGACACCTCCGGCTATCAATACTTCCCGAAGAATGAAAATAATTTGTGAAAGTTCATTATTTTTCGTCGACTTTGCGACCCCCCCCCCCCCCCCCCCCCCCCNGCAATTGGACAGTTCTCAACCGGTGATGTAACCAATTAACACATATACATGACATTTTATGTTTTTGAAATCCAATTCTTCATAACAATTTGTGTAGAGATATATATTATATGTGAATGTATATTACGTCTCTTCACAAATTTGTATACATAACATTTCAGTGATGACTATGAAGACATGTGCATGTTTTTACCTTGCGCCCGTAAACCTGCACTGATTGCAAAGGCCCTCCTTTCACTGGTGCCCTTTGAAAACAAACAGAATAGTTTTCATTAGACGTGAAAATTCTGGGTTTTATTCAAGACAATGTATGTGTGTATAATTCATATATAAACTATTGTTTTTTAAACGAAAACGGGAAAAATGTGTCAAGCAATGCCGTACTTTTCCATGGTTGGTTTCAAAAAGGAAGTAGAAAGGGTTCCCACGTGTTATGGCAGAGAGGAACTCTACTCTCTAACCAAAACTTTTACATTTGAAATACACATTAAATACTGTTAAAAACATATTTTATTTTAAATATGTAAAGAGTGATTGCATTTAAATAATAAAATCTGTTAAAAGCGATTAGTTGCTTAAAATATAAAAGAGTTTCTATTACAGTGGTGTGGAGAGTAAACGGACATTCTAATAGACAAAGCGTATGCCTTCTAGGGTTTAAATTATCCGGACAAATTTAATTACGGCAGGGGAAGGACACGGGGAAATAATAATTTTGGAAGATTCTTTCATTTCAAGGGAACATAATATTATTTGCATGTTAACACAGTATCACTCTGCCATCGATATGCATACGGTCACGGAATTAGATTAGATACGGGGAGGAAGAACAGCTGTCGGCGTATTTCATATATAACCGTGACTGATTATATCATTAGCAGTCAAAATTAATAAGTAACTCTACAAGATACAAGAAACTTGATTTAAAGTCGCATACATATAAATAAGAAACATCAGCTTTTGGGAGCTATTATTGCGACAAACATTAGGTGAAATAACAATATAACACATTATATTACAATAAAAGGGAGATAATCACATATATTAATAAAAAGCAGTAATAATTATCACAGAAAAAGAAAGTATCATATCCCAGGTTTTTAAGTGATTGGGAGTCACAATCAATATATTGAAATAGTGTTAATAATATGAAAAGCAATACATGTGATCACAGATAGATAGTATTCATAATAAGTTAATAAAGACATAGGTAATAGTAAAAATAATAGTGAATAAATACTTGTATATCACACAAGAATTACTTAGGACTTACGATTAAAACTCTGTGATCAAGTGGAATAAGTACAAATTGAGACATGCACTAATATAATGTGATATTAAAAACTGATACCGAAATAAATTAACAAATTTGTTATATTACTAGTAAAACCACAGACTTAGATAGCAAGTGATAAAAGCGTTAACATTTAGTTTCAATGTCGATGATGTGTTTTCACATAATTCTATATATAGAAACTTAGTGTGTCGATATTAATTGCGTTTATCGGTTTTGGTTTGTTTGTGTTTTACGTCCTATTAACAGCTACGGTCATTTAGGTCATGCCAGGTTTTGGTGGTGTAGGAAAGCCGGAGTTCCCGAAGAAAAACCACCGATCTACGGCCAGTACCTGGCGACTGCCCCACGTACGTTGTAGGTCTCGAACTAGTTCGAATTATTCTGACGTTTTATCGACTTTTTTCATATCGGTCTGTCGTCGATTAACGACAGACCGATATGAAAGACTAGTCTCGAACCCGCGACCCAGTGGTGGAGGTCTAGTGGTAGCAGAATGTCAGACGCCTTAACCTTTTGGCCACCGAGGCCCCTTCGTTTATAGGACGGTACCAGGGACTTACATAGTAGGAACTGGCAGCATGACTGTTGTGATTTTGCATGTGTATTGTCTACCTCTTATAATTGTACACCAAAGAGCGACGGGCTTATACAACATTCCGTGATATAATCCATGATATCTGATATATTATGTAATGTATAGTAAATTGTATTACAAAATCACAAAATGAGTATTGATATTATACAATATGATGTACTATATTATCCATCCTAGGTCCCAGTTGAGACCGATGCTCAATCAATGATAGTATCTTTCCAATATAAGATTTATCAGGTGTTACTTGGCAGTCCGAAAAAGACTATCTCCTTTTAATCAACCCCATCAAAGGAATTTTTTTTACATGGAGACATTTATTCCAGACTAGCATCCACGGACATAAATGTAATCTTATTCCGCTGTGTGTCGAAGAAATAGAATTTCAAAATTAGAATGATGTTCACTTTAGAAGGAGAATAAGTGGCTGGACGCCCAGCCTACAATATCTTTGTGGAAATAATTAATGTGACAGAGAAACAACAAGGGTCTTAGCACTGTACCCTGAGGTACATTGTGGGAGATTATTTATGTGACAGAAATAACAGGTCCTAGCACGGTGTCCTGAGGTACACTGTGAGAGATCATTAATGTGACAGAGAAACAACAGGGGTCTATAATTAGCACTGTGTCCTGAGGTACACTGTGGGAGATCATTAATTTGACAGAGAAACAACAGGGGTCTATAATTAGCACTGTGTCCTGAGGTACACTGTGAGAGATCATTACTGTGACAGAGCAACAACAGGGGTCTATAATTAGCACTGTGTCCTGAGGTACACTGTGAGAGATCATTAATGTGATAGAGCAACAACAGGGGTCTATAATTAACACTGTTTCCTGAGGTACACTGTGGGAGATCATTAATGTGACGGAGAAACGACAGGGTCTATAATTAGCACTGTGTCCTTAGGTACACTGTGAGAGATCATTAATATGACAGAGAAATAACAGGAGTCTATCATTAGCACTGTGTCCTGAGGTACACTGTGAGAGATCGTTAATATGACAGAGAAATAACAGGAGCCTATAATTAGCACTGTGTCCTGAGGCACACTGTGAGAGATCATTAATGTGATAGAGCAACAACAGGGGTCTATAATTAGCACTGTGTCCTGAGGTACACTGTGAGAGATCATTAATATGACAGAGAAATAACAGGAGTCTATAATTAGCACTGTGTCCTGAGGTACACTGTGAGAGATCATTAGTGTGACAGAAATAACGGGTCCTAGCACTGTGTCCTGGGGGACACTGTGAGAGATCATTAATGTGACAGAAATGATGGGTCCTAGCACTGTACGTTGAGGTACACTGTGAGAGATCATTTATGTGACAGAGCAACAACAGGGTTCTATAATTAGCACTGTGTCCTTAGGTACACTGTGAGAGATCATTTATGTGACAGAAATAATGGGGCCTAGCTAGCACTGTGGGAGACAATTAATGTGATAGAAATAACAAGGGTCTTAGCACTGTACCCTGAGGTACATTGTGGGAGATTATTTATGTGACAGAAATAACAGGTCCTAGCACGGGGTCCTGAGGTACACTGTGAGAGACCATTAATGTGACAGAGCAACAATAGGGGTCTATAATTAGCACTGTGTCCTTAGGTACACTGTGAGAGATCATTTATGTGACAGAGCAACAACAGGGGACTATAATTAGCACTGTGTCCTGAGGTACACTGTGAGAGATCATTAATGTGACAGAAATGATGGGTCCTAGCACTGTACCTTGAGGTACACTGTGAGAGATCATTAATGTGACAGAAATAACGGGTCCTAGCACTGTGTCCTGGGGTACATTGTGAGAGATCATTTATGTGACAGAAATAATGGGTCGTAGCTAGCACTGTGGGAGACAATTAATGTGATAGAAATAACAAGGGTCTTAGCACTGTACCCTGGGATACACTGTGAGAGATCATTAATGTGACAGAAATAAAGGGTCCTAGCACTGTGTCCTGGGGTACACTGTGAGAGATCATTAATGTGATAGAGAAACAACAGGGGTCTATAATTAGCACCGTGTCCTGGGGTACACTGTGGGAGATCATTAATGTGACAGAAATAACAAGGGTCTTAGCACTGTACCCTGGGAGACACTGTGAGAGATCATTAATGTGATAGAGAAACAACAGGGGTCTATAATTAGCACCGTGTCCTGGGGTACACTGTGAGAGATCATTAATGTGACAGAAATAATGGGTCCTAGTTAGCACTGTGGGAGACAATTAATGTGACAGAAATAACGGGTCCTAGCACTGTGTCCTGGGGTACACTGTGGGAGATCATTAATGTAACAGAAATAACAGGGGTCCTAGTACTGTGTCCGGGGGTACACTGTGAGAGATCATTAATGTGACAGAGAAACAACAGGGGCTATAATTAGCACTATTTCCTGAGGTACACTGTGAGAGATCATTAATGTGACAGAAATAACGGGTCCTAGCACTGTGTCCTGGGGTACACTGTGAGAGATCATTAATGTGACAGAGAAACAACAGGGTCTATAATTAGCACTATTTCCTGAGGTACACTGTGAGAGATCATTAATGTGACAGAAATAACAGGGGTCCTAGCACTGTGCCCTGGGGCACTCTGGAATCGACTTTACATGATGATGAGACTCTCCATTGACAACGGCTATCTTCTCCGTGTATGTGTGCTACCAGATTTTTCTTAATCAACATTGTTTATAATAATAGCAACTATACGGTACATCAAACACTTTACTGAAATCTTTAATGACCACGTACACGTTAGTTTAAATTTTCTGGTCATAAGATCTAGTGATATCGTTCATAGTGATGGTAAGTTGACTTTCGCGTGAATGACAACTTCTAAAATTTGTTGTAAAGTTGAGAGCATGTTGGAAAGTTCAAGTCAATCTGAATTTTTACGGACTGGTGCACAGCCACTTGACTTACAAGACTTGTCCATATTTTATTTATGTACACAGATGATATGGTTTTCAGAAAGTATACTTGCTTTACAGTCAGAGTTTGACTGAAAATTGGTTTTTGACGGTTAATGTACCGAAAACCAACATCATGACTTTAAAACAGATATAACAACACAAGATGAAAAATGTTAGTTTAATGGCACATTTTTTGAAAATAAAGATCTTGGCTTGTTAATTGTTTTACTATAATGGGAACTTTAACTTATCTTTAAAACAGTAAGCATCTCAGCGTAGAAAAGGATTTATTATTTCCCTTAAAAAGATTTGTGTAAACCCATGTTTCAAATACCCCCAAATTATATATATGTAATATATATCTTATCGAGTTTCTTTGACACGTAAGTTGGAAGTAACGTGTGGCGGGTTATGACAGTGAAATATCGGCTTCCATTCAGCCCCTGACATTGAGTTGGTGCAATTAGATTTCAAGTTGTAAACAATATTACGGTCGACCAAATGCCGTGGTGGTGTAGTTTGAGCTTGGGAGGTTCCAATTGTCCTTCTTACGTAAAATAAGGATATTTAAATACTGTAAGTTAACATCTACCAACTATTGCGTTTTAAGGGTGTTATAAGTATATATATGACAATGTACAATGTGTTGGCATTCCTCTAGTCTGTTGGTAGAGTACCGGTGATATGGTTTAACTTTTCTAAAGAATGTTACCGGTCAACTTGCAAATTACCAAGCAATATTTGTTAGTAGATTTGAAACCAGTTTTTAAGTTAATACTGAAATTTATATGTTTTCTGGCTAGTTTCGTACGGTAACTTCATAAACATATTGAGATCATCTAAAGATATTTTCAAAACTCTATTTAAACTTGACAGAGACGTAACTTGCTCTACGTCTCTGCTTTAACACTTGATTAATAAACCCAATATTAGCCTGAAGCTTTTAAATTTCTGTTTCTTTCTGAGGCTACACCACAAAACACATTTTAAAGGTATAAATAATCTAGTTGATGAAATCAACTTTTTCCGAATCATTCCTTGCTTAAAAATGTTCCGGCAAGGTTCCTGTCGGACTTCGTTTTCTTTATTAGATTCTCCTCAATGCGCGGGAATAAAAAAAACGCGCCAAAATATTGTAAACAACGAAAAAACTCAGGTAAGTTGCTGAAGTTTGTAAGCAGGGTTTAAGGTTTAAGGATTTATATATGAAAACAAATAAGATGAGTAACAATATGTTTAAAATTCAACTTTTCAGTGATTTTTCGTTTTGTAATACACCACGGAATTTGTTTAGATTCTAACGTGATGATTATTATAGTTGTGGTTTTATTACCGACATCAGCGTTATTACTGATACCCTAGCTGCGATAACGTAGCTTCTGACGACGAGTCAATTTATATATATTGCTTCGTCAGGGCAGAGGAGGCCGGGTATTTAATATTAGCAGCACTGAGATCACAAGCAACTTTTTTTTGGTAGAAGCTTATAACAAGGAAACCACGGAATTAGATTATCCAAGTCCGTGAGGAAACGCAGTGACATTAAATATTTTTATTCGTATATGTTCACAAAATGATTTAAGGAGTAGGCTAAACTGATAATTTGAGAAATAACACGTTTTATACTCTCAAAAAAAAAAGGCAATTGCATGATAATTAAGGTGGCTCGACACATCGTCATCAGCGTCCATTTTCGTGACATACTTCCGGAAAAAGTACAGCTAGGACTCAATTATCTTAATCGAAATGTGCATGTACACCGTGTCGTTATTTCCGTATTGCGTATCGGGCATTCAATATCGTAGCGCAAATTATAGTAACACCTGCTGGGCCGTTTTCGATTAAACGGTCAAACCGATCGGACCACTGTTGTTCGTTTATTAAATAAGGTCGGACCTAGTAATCTGATGCTGCTTTCAGGTGAGTCTTGAGAAAGCCTTGCAAGGCCTGCATACACATTTGCAGGTCCGCCTGGATTTACACCCGAAATTGTTACATTTATAAACGGTCAAACCGGTTGTTCCGCATAAACGAACAGGCCCATGGTAAACAATAGTACACGTGCGTGCCGATGATATGTCAACACCCGATATCAAGATTTTACTGGGAAATGTATACTCGCACGTACTTCAGGAATAAAGCTTTCCAATTCATAGACATAAACAGACTCACGGGAAGACAGTGACATGAGACCAGACGACCTCAAGAAGGTCATATAGGAAACACATGGAATGCGGACGTACCAACCTCACATGTGCATATCGCGTGTTTACACGAGTTCATAAGCTCGAGGTCGTTACGATTTTCGCTGTTGAGGGAGTTTCGCTCTGTCGATTAAATCGTGTTTACAAATGTAGTCTACTAGCTTACTCTGTGAAAATAATGTTTTGTAAAATATCAAGATACCTATGAAATGCATGTGTGAGTGCACGTGAGAACGGTATACCATGCGATAGCCTCTGGTCTGACATGTAATTATAAATATACCGTGAGTTAGCGGACTGTGGAATGATGTCCAAAGTGTACATGACTGAGGGTAATTTGGTTCCATTAAAGAACAATAAATTGATAATTTTGATATCATATTTTTGATTTATTTCCATCATTTTTGTTATATGTAAACAGAGACAACTGTCATTGTGTAAATGTCACCCCTCTGCAAAAAGTTCCGATTTTTTTCAAGGAAGATAACTCTCACCCGGATCAAAGTGATTGTAAAATGTAAAATAAATTAATTATAAAGCCATTGTGTATATTTTGTTCAATTTCCCACTCTATATGTATAGAACTTTGTGTCCTGGGTGCTTTTAGCTTGTAGATAATCACTTTTATCCGTACAAATTCAATAAAAAACACTTTGTGTAACATGTGTTACATATTTTGCGATAAATAAAATATTTGTAGGGTTAATTAGAAATGCTTCTTTTCATTTTATTATTGTTGTTATTGTTCCGAACAATGCCACACACAAAAAAAACCGGAAAATATTAGAATTGACGAAAATTCAATTTTTTGGTATTTTTTCCAAAAAATTCCCCAAACTATCGGAATGTTTAGATTTTCATAAAATCAACTCGACATAGTTGCATAACAATTATATGAAAGTTTCAACGAATTTTGCTGGTTAATTGCGAAAGTGTGGAGCCACCTTAAGTGATTATATTGTGGCGAATTTTGGGGAGAGTTTTCTCCCCTAGACCGCTAACCGCGCCGACAACATCGATGTGACATCTTGGCGCGGTCTCTTTATAATTACGCCCTGATCGACATTCTACTGATTACACGTGAGTGATTTTCTTCTGCATATTCTTATAGATTTTGGGACATGAGATCAGTTCTCAACTACATGTTGTGACGGTGTGTGACAACACACCAAATTCACGACACTAAAAAAACCGGGCTCAAAAACAGGTGCTCGGACCACGACAGACAATACAGTTTGAAAGTTGGTGGGTGTTTGATTTTCATCATCTTTATAATCTCAAAAGCGACAAAACAAAAGGGGAGTTTTCCCAACTTGTTTGTAGATTTTTTTTCTTTCTGTTTTCAATGTGAAAATAATCAATTTTGTTCAATGCTTCAGTTCTTGATCATTGTGGCATTTACTTTTTAAAGTCATAACGTAGGTACAGTAAAAACCCTTTATGCTGCCACATTTGGCCAGAGGAACTTTGATGTTGAAAGGGGTTTGGTTTATAAAGGAATTCTAAGAAAAAGCATAAAGGGGACCTCAAACTATGTTTGCATTAAGTGAGGTGGCAAATGGAATGAGGAGCATTAAACATACTGTATTAATTTATAAGTGTAACAGGAAAGAGAATAGTGTGCTTCCAGCCTTCCATCGGTTATTGAACCCTCAATCTCCAGGTTCCTAGTCCCTGTACCCTCTACCTCTGACCTAAAGGGAAATTCCCTTTAGCTCGAAGCTAGAAGGCGACCATAAACCTATGTACAATTATAACCTGCCACACTACTCCCCCCTTTTTAAATGTGTTCGCCCTCGAACACCACAACCAAGGTTCTAACTCCCTGTCATCACAGGGAGGGCAACGGACACCATTTGTAACAGGAAAGAGAAAAGTGTGCTTCCACCCGGATTGAACCCTCGATCTCCAGGTTCCTAGTCTGACGCTCTACCACTGAGCTAAAGGGAAATTCCTTCTAGCTAGAAGATGACCTTTATCCTATGTACAATTAAAATCTGCCACATAAGTAATAGTTAAATTTTCAAAGTAATCATTAAAATTGAAATTCTAATTCTAGCTGATGATTTTCACATGACCGCACAATGGCAGCTACAATGAGCGAAAACGGGACAAATCACAACACAAACGGCTGTAAAGGAGATGAGTGCAGTGGTGATGCACGAAAGAAAAGGTGAATACTTCAATAGTGTCCAAATAATACTGCTGCTTCAGTTTTAGATTGCTGGTGAGGAAGCTATTGACTTGAAGTTTTCTGGTAAATATCAAAAAGAAATATTTTAGATGAAGATGCAACAAATCAAGCAGAATCACAGAAGATCTTTAGAGCGATCACTTAGTTCCACTTGCGTGCATTTAATCTTGTACGTACAGTATAAAGTTTCGATGTCTCTGGCAACTGGCAAATGTATGTAAGGCAGATTGCGAATACAATTAATTATGTTTTGCATTTGCAAAACTTTCCCGTGATCAGGCCTTTTTCCCTGGCCTGTTTTGTGTAGCATGTTGTGTGAGTTGATGGGCTGTCAAGTTTGTTCAAATGAATCTGACCTTGATTTAAACATATATCCTTAAGCTGTAATGATATCTAGCCTTTAGTTTAGTGTAAACTGGTTTGAACCTTGACCCACTTTGAAGGTCACAGATGTGGAATGTATTTTGTAACATCATTGAATAATAGCTTGGTAAGTGGGCCTCCTTTTTTTCTGTCTTTTCTGATGTGCGTTATAGATTAACTATGAACATGTACTGTCCCTTTGGTAGGGCCCCTCAAAGAATGTTGGACATTTTAAGGTGATCATTTGATAATCCAGTCAATTTGCATTTTATCAATGTTCGAAATATTCTAACTTTCCTAGTTTGCGAAAGATTTTTCTCAACTTGGATCTTTTAGTGTCAGTTTCCCAAGATGTCAAATTTAAACATCCATTTAATTTACTTTTATAGACACGATGAGGAACATTACCTTGATGCCATTCAACAGATTTTTGACCATGGTACTCGTAAATCCAACAGAACCGGCATCGACACCCTCTCTATCTTTGGTATGCAGATGAGATACAATCTAAGAGAAGGTAAACATCCCATTCTTTGCTCAAACTACAAACACAGAATACTTTTTGTGCAAATCTGTTGTCAAGAGATCCTTGTGAATATATCTGGTATCGAACAGGTTGATATAATCTTTTACATGTTAATGATCAAAACTGATGTGAATTATTGAGGTCAAGAGGTTATATTTGCTACTAGGCCTGCATATCATTCACCAATAAAAATGTTGTAAAATAAATGATGTGACAGAATATGTATAAGAAAACTTTTATGAGCATCAGAAACATCAGCTGTTAAATTACTGTATTTAACCTAACAAAGGTGCATGCCCTAAAAAGTGGGCCCCTACCTTTTTGTGAAAAAAAGCAGGGTACTAGGGGTCCAGTTGCGACCTGTCATTTAAAATATTTTCAGGGATGCTTGGAAATATTTTGGAAAAAACATGTAGCATTAAGCTTAAAATTAATATCATAATTCTCAAATGCATAATCTATGTTTATAGTATTCAATCTGTAGAAGAAAAGTCCGACTCCCCTTAATTCTCTCAATTACCCGTGCCCTTATTAGGACAAATACAATATTATCTGCACCTCCATAATTAGATTAAAATAACAACTATTTAATATGAGCATAGTATCTTGTGCACTGTTGACATTAATTTAATTTAATATGATCAAATGCAGGAATAAATTATTTTCTTTGTGTGTTATAAAGATTTCCCCCTGCTGACTACCAAGCGTGTATTCTGGCGTGGCGTTGCGGAGGAGCTGATCTGGTTTATTCAAGGTTGTACCAATGGAAACAAACTGAAGGAGAAAAACATTCATATCTGGGATGCCAACGGTTCCAAAGAGTTTCTCAGTGGCCTTGGCCTTGGCGACCGTGAGGACGGTATGGTTATATTATGATACATTAAATTTAAGATATACCATCCATGTTTATCATAATAATAGAAATAGCTAGTTTTAAAGTTTGCGTTATATATGAATACGTAAATCTTTTTGTCAACCACAACCTTTCTGTTTTAGTCGACCTCAGCCTTACCGTATTACTTTCATAAATCTAGTGCTCTGTGTTGTATCTTAATGAAAAATATTTCCGATTTGTTTTGCATTTTGCTGTCTTGAAAGTTGCGTGCCCATTAATTACTATATCAAGGAAATTAAAATATGTTTCTTCCATATGTCTCATAAGGAAGAAACATATTTTAATTTTCTTTTTCACAAAAACATCTCCATCGGAGGATCTTGATCCCTGGACCTCTTAACCAGCCATGATACCTATTATTATTCTCTAAAACATAACTGAAAATAATTTTAAAATATTGCATCTCCCTATAAAGGTCTGTGCTGATATAGAGGAAATGACAAATTTAACAAAGGAAAAAATGATATTGTATGCAGTAGACCAAAATCAGCATTCTTTAGGTTAATTAAGAATCTTTATGATACTGGCTTGCAATATACTTTTACAATTGCAAATATGGGATTATGTCTTGAAATTAAGTATTTAAAGGTTTCAATTTCACTACACAGCAAGAAGAGTAAACTGACGTAAAACCTGTAAAGATTGGTTTGATGGCATCTTTAAACTCAGGTCTGAGAAAAAAACAAAGAATCAAGTGTTGTAGATTGAAATTTACCTGATCAAAGTTATCACTTCCAACTGTTAAATAAGATTGACATAGATTTTGATTCTTTTACTTTTGTTTACTAATACTGTTATCCTTAGGTGATCTTGGTCCTGTGTATGGTTTCCAATGGCGACACTTTGGAGCTGAATACAAGGACATGCACGCAGACTACACCGGAAAGGGCATAGACCAACTGAGAGATGTCATTGATAAAATAAAGAACAAACCTGATGATAGGCGCATTATCATGTCCGCCTGGAATCCTCCAGGTACCACAAATCTGTCATGTTACTGAGTGCTGCTGTGCTTAAGGTCAAGGTCACTATCTTCATGTCCCCAGTGGATGTCGCATTTTGTTTTTTGCTTAAGTCACCCACCTATTTCAAAACATAGTGACAACACTATACTTCAACCATAGTTTGTTAACATCAAATTCTACACCTTATTAGCTTTTGTCAAGCATCAGCCACGGTTAAGTCATCAAATTTTACCACTTTTGAAATAAAGAAGTTGTGTATCCTCTACAAATTAGTTTGTATTTACACCATCACACGGTAACACATGAACAAGTTCTACTCCTAATTAGATATTGGTGTTAATTGGTAAAGGGTCAAGGGTCACTTGACCAATGTTGGGAAGTTGAGGGTATTTATAAGCAGGACGTCACTTTATTTATAAATGCGTATATCATGGTTTCGATGTTTCAGATTTACCCAAAATGGCTCTTCCTCCCTGTCATGCCTTTGTCCAGTTCTATGTTGCCAACGGTGAGCTGTCGTGTCAGCTGTACCAGCGATCAGCAGATATGGTGAGCATTGGATTACAACGATTCTTATCCATTCAGTATGGTAATGGAAAATTGCTGAATTATTTGTCCTTTGCTGTGTTTTCATTTTCATGTTACTGCTATCCATCACACTTCAGGGTCATTGCTCTACCACTTTCCATTTTATTGCAAAATCTTCTGATTAGTAGGAAACTTTATTCAAGTATTTGCAACACAAATATCTCCAATGAGCTGACATTACAGGTGTCCAGACACCCATATTTGATGGGCAGAAGTTAATCAGCTGGTGTGGCTTTCTCTTTCTTGAAATATTTTGAAAATCCCAGTATCATATGAGATGTTTGAATCAACAAACATTGTTTTCATGAATTATGATTGGATGAAATCCTGGAAATTTTAATGTCAAATCAAATAATATCTTTTTTCATAAACCAAGCAACGTTTCATTTGTATATGATAGTACAGAAACATCCTTAGGAAATCACCTCATAGTTTTTGTTTCTGTTTGAGGGACTTGGTGTACAATTCAACACTGCCAGTAACTGATAAGTATGTGATTATATATTTTGGTCTTGTTTTAGGGACTTGGTGTACCATTCAACATTGCCAGTTACGCTCTGTTAACCTGCATGATCGCCCATGTGACAGATCTCAAGGTTTGTTATGTACTTGTTGATCACAGAGGATTCTATCCCATACACAATAAAGGCCCAGGGTATGGTCACTTTCCACCAATGACCCAATAATGATTTAACAAAAAAATTGAATGCACCTGAAACAAGATACCTGTATCCTTATCTCAGTGTCCATTGATCATGACTGAACTGTTTCTTTTAACAACTTTTTATCCCCCGCTGAAACTATTAAACGGGATATTAATTTGGGTTTGTCCATCTGTCTGTCTGTCACGCCTCGTTTCCCGTGCAATTACTACAACAAATGTTAACCCATTTTCTTCAAACTTGGTCACAGGGTTAAATGCCTTACGGGCTCTGCCAAGTTCGATGACCAGTTTCAGTGGCCCCCATTTGGCGGAGTTATGACCCCTTGAATAACAAAAAACGTCATTATCTGCTGCGTTTCGTTTCCGTGCAATAACTAAAACAAATGTTAACCCATTTTTTTCAAACTTTGTACCAGGGTTAAATGGTTAAAGGGCTCAACCAAGTTTGATGACCAAATAGTATCCAGGTGTCTTCAAACTTAGTAACAGGGTTCAACGCATTAAGGGCTCGGCCAAGTTTGACAACCACTTTCATCGGACTCCATTTGGCAGAGTCATTATCTGCAGTTTCCGCTTAATAACTCGAGCAAATATTAGATGAGGCTTTTTTTTCTTCGAGTTTCAAGCTATACATTATGTCTCAACATCACGATACTCATTTGTTTTAAGCTAACCTCAATAATGTTAACCTACAATATGTCTGCAATATCATTAAATATGGAGAGAAAGAATTTGATCATTAGACAAAGTATTTGAAATGTAATAGGATATAAAACTTAAATTAGAATTAAAGTCTTGGGGAACTTGACCTGGGTTGTTATAATAAAAGACATAATTTGACTGTTATTTTGTTTAACAGCCTGGTGACTTTGTACATACCTTGGGAGATGCTCATGTATATGTGAACCATGTTGAACCCTTGAAAATACAGGTATTATATTTTCACTCTCTTTCAAATATTGCATAAATAACTGCAAACAAAAGGTCTAAATAATAACATTTAATATAAACTTGACTATTATAGATTTAAAACAGGAAAATATTCCTTGGCAAAGCAATTATTCAAAATATTCATATTTGTGACATTTTCAAAGAGCTTGAAAAAACAGCTATGTGTTCTCGATTTTCAGATATTTGTTTTAGTTGAATATTAAGTAAGCATTATTGTATGACTAAGAAAAATTATATTGATAGAAAAATGAGAAGAATAGAAATTTCATTTAAATACATATCGCTAAATCCATGCGGAACAATGGAAAACTTGACACAACAAATGCTTTTCTTTCCAGCTTGCTAGAGAACCCAAGCCATTCCCGAAACTTCTGATCAAAAGGAAAGTGGAAGACATTGATGATTTCAAATTTGAAGACTTTGAAATTGTGGGCTATCAACCTCACCCCAAAATCGCTATGGAAATGGCAGTGTGATGGGGACAAAGTCTAGTGTGTGGAGGATGTGCAATTAGATCTGACAGTGATTCTGTTTTGAAAGTCTTTTTTCAACAAATCATGCAAATAACAAATTCTCACAAGAAACTGCACCTTATATGGTTCAAAATATAACCACTTATACTTATATATATTTTTACAAGATTTGTCTATATCTCAAAAAATTGAAGTTACACAAACCTTGTTCTACAATTTCCAGTGAGGAAGCTGAAGGAACAGATTTTTTTTGCTGCAATATCTGGGGACTGGATACATAATACAGATTACTGGAGTTGTGATTTCATGCATTTGCATTAATATTTTGCAATTGAGATTGTTGTAAAGCTGTGGAAAGTTTGTCTCTGAGTTAGGTGAGTTAGGTACAAAACCTGTTTTGGGAGGGTACTGTTGCTGTATACCTGTATGTGTAAGTTTTTGATGTTTTATTTGTGTTTATTTTTGTACTTGATATTGGTGCCATGTCTGCCTTATTGGACTTCACATTAAATACATTTTCTTGAAAACAGACATTTTTTGGAGTGATGTTTTATTTCAAAAACGAGCAAAATTGTCTTCATGAGGACAGCATGTTTCATGATATTTTTGTGACCATCATCTTTGACCTTGAATAAATGGGAGATTGTTCACTAAATGTGTATTAGATTGAAACATGGGAGAATGTTTACCAGAGACTTGTACATAAAAATATGCATTGAAGGACTCAAGTTTACTAAAATTAATTACCATAATTCTTTTTCAAGGTCAAATGTGATCTTTTAACTGTTTCTCCTGAGTAAACCAAGAGTCCAAAACTTCCGGTCTGTTGCATGCTAGAATGAAGGGTTATCAAGTTCATTCAAATGAATGACCTTGACCAGATTGAAAGGTCACCGAGTCAAATGTGTCAAACATTTCAACCAACTTTGCTGGGATAATGGACTTTGTTCAAATACCAGGTAGATCTTTGACCTGCTTTCAGTGTCATAGACTGTAGACCTACTGTATTTATTCAGCCTTAAGCTTTCTAGATTCAATTCTCTTGACTAACTTAGATGGCACATCAGTTAAGTAAGACAAAATCTTCCAATAATGTGGAGGATAATGATATTTAGCTTGCTTGTCATCAAGTTTGTTTAAATAGCTGAATTTAGATGACCTAAGAATATCTCCTCCTTCAGTCTTGCTAAGACTGACTTTTATAATAGGTATCTGACACTATTGTTGCAACCTATGCTACTGTAACCTTGACCTTTAAATAGGTACATTATATGCCATCTTGTCATAGGGGTCTTAGCACTGTGCCCTGAGGTACACTGGGAGATTATTAATGTGACAGAAATAACAGGTCCTAGCACGGTGTCCTGAGGTCCACTGTGGGAGATCATTAATGTGACAGAAATAACGGGTCCTAGCACTGTGTCCTGAGGTACACTGTGGGAGATTATTAATGTGACAGAAATAACAGGTCCTAGCACGGTGTCCTGAGGTACACTGTGGGAGATTATTAATGTGACAGAAATAACAGGTCCTGGCACGGTGTCCTGAGGTGCACTGTGGGAGATCATTAATGTGACAGAAATAACGGGTCCTAGCACGGTGTCCTGAGGTACACTATGGGAGATTATTAATGTGACAGAAATAACAGGTCCTAGCACTGTGCCCTGAGGTACACTGGGAGATTATTAATGTGACAGAAATAACAGGGCCTAGCACGGTGTCCTGAGGTACACTGTGGGAGATTATTAGTGTGACAGAAATAACAGGTCCTGGCACGGTGTCCTGAGGGGCACTGTGGGAGATCATTAATGTGACAGAAATAACGGGTCCTAGCACGGTGTCCTGAGGCACACTGTGAGAGATTATTAATGTGACAGAAATAACGGGTCCTAGCACGGTGTCCTGAGGTGCACTGTGGGAGATCATTAATGTGACAGAAATAACAGGTCCTAGCACGATGTCCTGAGGTACACTGGGAGATTATTAATGTGACAGAAATAACAGGGCCTAGCACGGTGTCCTGAGGTACACTGTGGGAGATCATTAATGTGACAGAAATAACAGGTCCTAGCACGGTGTCCTGAGGGACACTGTGGGAGATTATTAATGTGACAGAAATAACGGGTCCTAGCACGGTGTCCTGAGGTGCACTGTGAGAGATCATTAATGTGACAGAAATAACGGGTCCTAGCACGGTGTCCTGAGGCACACTGTGAGAGATTATTAATGTGACAGAAATAACGGGTCCTAGCACTGTGTCCTGGGGTACACTGTGAGATCATTAATGTGACAGAGAAACAATAGGGTCTATAATTAGCACTATTTCCTGAGGTACACAGTGAGAGATCATTAATGTGACGGAAATAACAGGGGTCTATAATTAGCACTATTTCCTGAGGTACACTGTGGGAGATCATTAATGTGACAGAGAAACAACAGGGTCTATAATTAGCACTATTTCCTGAGGTACACAGTGAGAGATCATTAATGTAACAGAAATAACAGGGGTCCTAGCACTGTGCCCTGAGAATTTGAGCTCTGGAATCGACTTTACATGATGATGAGACTCTTCATTGACAACGGCTACCTTATCCATGTATGTGTGCTACCGGATATTTCTTAATCAACGTAGTTATAATAATAGCAACTATACGGTACATCGAACACTTTACTAAAATCTTTAATGACCACGTGCACGTTATTTTAAATTTTCTGGTCATAAGATCTAGTGATATCATTCATAGTGATGGTAAGTTGACTTTCGCATGAATAACAACTTCTAAAATATGTTGTAAAGTTGAGAGTTTGTTGGAAAGTTCAAGTCAATCTGAATTTTTTTCCGACTGGTGCGAAGCCACTTGACTTACAAGACTTGTCCATATTTTATTTATGTACACAGATGATATGGTTTTGTTTTCCAAAGTATACTTGCTTTACAGTCAGAGTTTGACTGAAAATTGTTTTTTGACGGTTAATGTACCGAAGACCAACACCATGACTTTAAAACAGATATAATAACACAAGATGAAAAATGTTAGTTTAATGGCACATTTCTTGAAAATAAAGATCTTGGCTTGTTAATTGTTTTGCTATAATGGGACCTTTAACTTATCTTTAAAACAGTAAGCATCTCAGCGTAGAAAAGGATTTATTATTTCCCTTAAAAAGATTTGTGTAAACCCGTGTTTCAAATACCCCCAAATTATATATATGTAATATATATCTTATCGAGTTTCTTTGACACGTAAGTTGGAAGTAACGTGTGGCGGGTTATGACAGTGAAATATCGGCTTCCATTCAGCCCCTGACATTGAGTTGGTGCAATTAGATTTTCGTAAACAATATTAGGTCGACCAAATGTTGTGGTGGTGTATTTTGAGCTGGGGAGGTTCCCATTGTCCTTCTAACGTAAATTAAGGATATTTAAATACTGTAAGTTAACATCTACCAACTATTGCGTTTTAAGGGTGTTATAAGTATATATATGACAATGTACAATGTGTTGTCGTTCCGCTAGTCTGTTGGTAGAGTACCGGTAATATGGTGTTCTAAAGAATGTTATCCGGCCAACTTGCAATTACCAAGCAATATTTGTGAGTAGATTTAAAACCAGTTTTTAAGTTAATACTGATGTTTATATGTTTCTGGCTAGTTTTGTAGGGTAACTTAATAAACAAATTGAAATCATTTAAAGATATTTTCAAAACTCACTTTAAACTTGACAGAGACTTACTGGCTCTACATCACTGCTTTAAGGTGGGTGCATCCTTTTGGAAAAACTCATGTCATTTTTTTCTCATAAGACTTATTTTCTTGCATTTTTTACGTAGATTCCATATAAGAAAAGAAAAAAGGGGGTTATCGACTTACTTTTTGAGACATTTCAGCTCTAAGGTAGACACTTTTCTGCAATTTCCCCCCTTAAATATGAAAATTGTTTTCTACAATATTTACAAAATTTGAGTTACCACCAAGTTGAATATTTTCTTAACATTACGTGATATACTATCAAAAGCAAAAATAAAACAAAAATGATTATATTTGCTATATTTATGTATTTTTCGTGGCCATCTATTCTCTTCAAAATGCAATTTTTAACAAATTTACATCGAACAAATGCATTAAAAACAAGCAAAAATGCTATCAACACCCATGTCAATTTCATAAAACTTTCACAGAAGACCACCAAGTATATATATGCTTTTCGGTGATCATAAAAATATGGGGGGGGTTCTCGGTGAAAATTTTGCAATTTCGCTCACTTGAAGTTGGAACTTACGTACGTTCTCCAACCCCATTTTGCCTATTCTTATTTTAATACGTAAATTCACAAGAGACAAATTATGTCATATTATTATCCATACCGTCAAAAATATAATTCTTTCTGGTGTTCCGACACTTATATTTGATATACATTAAAAGCAAGTAGCATTAATGCTCGGGACTTAAATAAAAATCAATATTTCAAAGTTCCGATCCGTATTCCGGATCTTTGGACCGCCTCCGGGTCCGGTATTATAAACGAAATTATATTTCCGTACACATCGTCTGCTGGATAACCGATGGATAACCGAGCTAGGTACTCGGTAGCAAGGGAAGCGGACGTAAAACCTATCAAGCAATCGAGCAATCAATCCGTACACAATGCTAGCGCACCATTCCAAACGTGTGGGCTTGATTTATGCAGGTATATAAAGTCCATATTTAACAAATATTTTACCATTACCTAGTCTACAGTACATCTAATGTAACATTGTTATATTTATCGTAAGATACAATCGAGTTCAAAACCCGGTACAGTGTTACAGACTACGAGCGGAATATGTCGTTTCCACGATACAAGTTTCCGGAACTAAAAATTAGTTTCGCGAATTATTTTGGTCATATGTCTTACACTTTTTGTATACACTGAGCAATTTAATTTAAATACTTCTGTCATCAAAAATGTTTTAATAGCTGATTTTTAGACATGACAATTCAATGTACCATACTGTAAACAATTACACATGCTAGACATAAATGTTACATACTCCCTAGTCAACAGGTTGTACATATCATTAGAAGAAGGATGCCTTGGACATTCTACCAATTAAGTGTCTCTGCTCCAAATGCAGCGACTGGTTGGAAGTGCTCAAGGGAGTTCCTCAGGGCTCAATTTATTTAATGGGGCCCGTACTTTTTAACATATTTATTAATGATATGTTCTTTTAAATAATTTCAAATCATCCAAACTCTATATAAGTATACGGATGACAACACAGTGAGCTCATCCAACAAGGACCCTCTTGTTGAAACAGACTGTTCATTGAACTTGGTAAACTGATTTAACAAAAACCACATGAGGGCAAATCCTGATAAATTTAGGCCATATGTCTAGGTAGGAAATCTATTGAGACTTTTAATTCTTTTGAAATAGAAAATGTAACCATTAATCCTGAAAAAAACGAAGTTACTTGGTGTTAATTTTAACTCGTCCTTAAATTTTGATACGCATGTTTCAGAAATTTGCTCAAAGGCTTCTAGACAGCCTAATGTTCCTAAAAGAATTGGAGGTTTTTCAACAAAACAAGGTAGGAGAATCATATACAAATCTTTTATTATATCCAGTTTTCATTTCTGCCCACTGGTTTGGCACTTTACTAGCTTGAGAAGTGTGAGAAAGATTGAAAAGATTCAGGAGCGTGCACCGAGATTTGTGGAGAGTGATTATGTCTCATCTTTTAAAATCTACTAATCCTACTCTTTTACATGTTAAGAGGTTAAAAGATATGGGCTGTGAAGTTTTTAAAATACTACAAAAGATTTCTCCTGATTATATACTTGACTTGGTAAAACTTAAGGAATCTGCATATGATTTCAGAAGGGACTTCACAGTCAGCATCCGATCTGTAAAAACTACAAGGTATGGGCAGAAATCTTTCTCGTTTGAGGCAGCCCGGGTGTGGAACAGTCTTCCAAACGAAATTGTGGAGATGTGAATATTTCCCAGAATTCCGGAGGCTGGTCCACACCTGGGATGGTCCCATCTGTACAAAGATTAAAGATTGATTTTTGCGTTTGCCTTTTGTCCGGCATCATGCGTCCGTAAACAATTTACATTTTATGGTCCCAAGCCCCCAGGGGCCTGAGGGGCGGGGCCAAAAAGGGTCAAATTGATTAAAATTTCAAAAATCTTCTTCTCAAGACACAGATATTGTAGAATCAAATACTCTACATAGATGGAAGGGTCTTAAGGTGCTTTAGGCAAAATTTATTATGGTTTATATTGGCATGTTACATGTTGATAACTTGATTGGAATGATAACCCTGAGTTGACAGTTTGATACTTTGAACATTTTGAGCCAGCCCTACCTCCAAGGGCTGTAGGGCGGGGCCCAAAGGAGTCAGTGTTCTAAAAAAAATCCATTTTCCATGTTTAGAATCAGAGGTGCTAGTTTCAAATACTTTTCAGTTATAAATCTGTATGCTAGATATTATGTAAGGTGGTTTTATTAGCTCACCTGGCCCAAAGGTGGGACCCAATGTGGAAAATAAAGGTAAAACCTTTAAAAAAAAATCTTCTACTTTAGGAATTAAGGGATTTTTCATAATTTGGTCTGGAGCACCATTGGGCCAAGGGACTCAATATTGTATAAATGTTACCTTCATTCATTTTCAAGGTCACAGGGGTCAAATATGTTTAAAACCTTCAAGCAACTTCTTCTGAATACCCAATAGGCCTAGGGTGATGATATTTGGCCAGTAACATGCTGGAATAAAGGGCTACCAAGTTTGTTCAAATGAATGACCTTTGTCCATTTTCAAGGTCACATGGGGTCAAATATAATAAATGATTTCAACAACTTCTTCTGAATAACCAGAAGGCCCAGGGTGATGATATTTGGCCAGGGACATGCTGGGATAAAAGGCTACCAAGTTTGTTCAATTGAATGACCTTGACTTATATTCAAGGTCACAGGGGGTAAAATATGTTTATAACCTTCAAACAACTTCTTCTGAATAACCAAGAAGCCTGGGGTGATGATGTTTGGCCAGTAACATGCTGTGATAAAGGGCTACCAAGTTTGTTCAAATTAATTACCTTGACTTATATTCAAGACCACAGGGGGTCAAATATGTTTAAACCAACTTCTTCTGAATAACCTAGAGGTCTAGGGGGATGATATTTGGCGAGTTACATGCTGGGATGAAGGGCTACCAAGTTTGTTCAAATGAATCACCTTTACCCATTTACAAGGTCACAAGTGTTAAATATTTTGAAATCTTTAAACAATAATGGCAAGGTCCAGGGTAATGATATTTGGCCAGAAGCATGCTGGTATGAAAGGCTATAAAGTCTGTTCAACTTAATGTCCTTGTTTGACTTTCAAGGTCACATGTGTCACATGTTCAAATCTTTTAATAGATTATTTTGAATCAAACACTGGTATTTTGCCTGTAGCTTTATTTTAGTCCACTTTTAAGATAGCAAGTCTAAGATTAATACCAGGTGAGCGATTCAGGCCCATTGGGCCTCTTGTTCTGTATAACCAAAAGGTCCAGGGTAATGATATTTTGCCAAAAGCATGCTAGGTTGGAAGACTATAAACTCTGTTCAACCTAATGTCCTTGTTCGACGTTCAAGATCGCAGGCGTCATATGTTTAAATCTTTTAATAGGTTCTTATGAATCAAACACTGATATTCTGCCTGTAGCTGTATTTTAGTCCACTTTTAAGATAACAAGTGTGAGATTAGATCCAGGTGACACCGTGAGCGATTCAGGCCCATTGGGCCTCTAGTTGTTTATTGTCACTTTGAATAATATTTCTGTTCATGTTTTAAAAACAAAAATCATTTCTCTGTATAAATTCATCTGAACTCAGGTGACCATTAATTAAGGCCCGTAGGCCTCTTGTTTGGCTCTTATTTTTCGTTTTATTGCTCCAGAAATAGTTGTCATATATAAGTTTTAGTGTGTAATTTTTAGCTCACCTGCCCGAAGTGCAAGTGAGCTTATGCCATGGCGCAGCATCCGTCGTTCGTAGTCCATCCGTCTTGTCAACTTTTCCTTTAAAACACTACTTGTCCTGACCAGCCCAGTAGATTTGGACTAAATTTGGTCTGGAGCATCCTTGGTATTTTGTATTAACGGTTGGTGTGGCCCCCCTGGGGGCACAGGGGTGGGGCCGAAGAGGGGAAATAGGGGTAAAACCTTTGAAATCCTTCTCCTACTGTAGGGATGAAGGGATTTTATCCTAATTTGGTCTGGAGCATTGTTTGGTCAAGGGGACTCAATGTTGTATAAACGGTGGGTTTGGACCCCCTGGGGGCAGATATGTGGGGTCCAATAGGGGAAATAGAGGTAAAACCTTTAAAATCCCTCTTCTACCATAGGGATTAAGGGATTTTAACCTAATTTAGCCTGGAGCATCCTTGAGCCAAGGGGACTAAATTTTGTATAAACGGTGGGTGTGGCCCCCATGGGGGCAGAGAGGTGGGGCCCAATAGGGGAAATAGAGGTAAAAACTTTAAAATCCCTCTTCTACCATAGAGATCAAGGGATTTTATTCCAATTTAACCTGGAGCATTCTTGGGCCAATGGGACTACATTTTGTGTAAACCGTGGGTGTGGACCCCCTGGGGGCAGAGTTGCGGGGCCCAATAGGGAAAATATGCTGTAAATTCCTCATTATTGTTTTATAAAATTTATGTTTGTATTGTTGTTTTAGATTATGCTATATTAACATGTATTCTGTCAATTTTAGTTTTTGACATATTGGCATATATGTACATTAGACTGAAATGTCTCTTAAATTAATTTATATGCTGCATGAGCTTTATGTTTGCATGACCTTTAATCTTTCCGTGCTATTTTACTTTTTATTCAACTATCTGTGAAGCATGCTATACCTTTGTGATATTTTGGTGTTTCATTTAATTCTGTTTGTTATATATAGTCGTAAGAATAGCTCTTCTGAGTTAAAGTTGCACTGTTACAAACACGACTCTAAATAAAAATTCTTGCATCTCGGCAAGATATTTTTGACCGGCGCCGTGTAGTCGGCAAAATCATATCCGATAGAAAAAAGGCCGACCAGCGGCCTCTTATGTTATAGTAGTAAACTGTTACACTGTATTTTTATACATTTGAGCACTTGTCTACCTTATTATTACTCTTTTGGTCACACCTCAGGCACTTGTATCTGGTATTTAATACCTGAGCTAAAATCCAAGATCCACTACTTGCATACTATGATTTGAGCTCAGGTATTAAATACCAGATACAAGCGCCTGTGGATTGACCCATCTTAACACTTTATTAATAAACCCTCGAAGCTTTTAAATTTCTGAGTCAAATTTTTCCAAATCATTCTTGGCTCGAAATTGCTTAAAAAATTTCCGGTAAGGTTTGTGTCAGACTTCAATTTCTTTATTAGATTCTCCTCAATGTGTGTACATCATAAAAAAATGCGCCAAAATATTGTAAACAACAAAAAATCAGGTAAGTTGCTGAAGTGTGTAAGCAGGGTTTAAGAATGAGTGTGTTAAAATATTGCGATGGATTTATGTATGAAAACAAATAAGATGAGTAACAATATGTTTAAAATTCTCATTTTTTTTTCATTGATTTTTCGTTTTGTAATAGCGTAATTACTGATACCCTAGCTGTGATAACGTAGCTTCGGACGACTAGTCAATTTATATATATTGCTTCGTCAGGGCAGAGGAGGCCAGGTATTTAATATTGGCACTGCTGAAATAACAGAAGCAATTTTTTTTTGTAGAAGCTGAACAATGAAACATAGTGACATTTATCTATTTTTTCATATATGTTCACAAAATGATTTAAGGAGTAACAGAAGTTAGTAATTGTGGAACTGATAATTTGAGAAGAAAGTTATCTATAACCTCAAAAAAGGCACTTGCATGATATCTAATCCAATAAAACAATAAAAGTAGAAAAGCTGATTTTTTTAAATAGGTTTAAAAGTTAATTTACTTGTTTTTGCTTCATTTTCTTCAACATCCTTGCAAACGTTACAACTTAGTCTTTAATTTCATTCACCTCAAAAAGTGATGATATTGTGGTGAATTTTGGGGAAAGTTATCTCCCTTAGACCGCTAACCGCATCAATGTAACCGGTCTCTTATCAACATGACAATCAACCTGATAACACGTGAAATTCTAATTTCAGCTCATTATTTTCACATGACCACACCGGCCATGGCAGCTACAATGAGCGAAAACGGGACAAGGCACAACACAAACGGCTGTAAAGGAGATGAGTGCAGTGGTGACGCACGAAAGAAAAGGTGAATACTTCAATAGTGTCCAAATAATACTGCTGCTTCAGTTTTAGATTGCTGGTGAGGAAGCCATTGACTTGAAGTTTTCTGGTAAGTATAGATTTTTATTTTTTTTAGATGAAGATGCAAAAATCAAGCAGAATCACAGAATATCTTTAGAGCGATCACTTAATTCCACTTGCATGCATTTAATCTCGTACGTACAGTATAAAGTTTTGATGTCTCTGGCAATTGACAAATGTATGTAAGGCCAGTTCAAAGTCACATGTGTTAAATGTGTTAAACTTTTTTAACAACATCTTCTAAATAAGCAAGAGGCCCGTAGTAATGATATTGGGCCTGTTATGTGTAGCATGTTGTGTTGATGGGCTGTTGAGTTTGTTCAAATGAATCTGACCTTGATTTACTTTGAAGGTTGCATGCATGAGTGAAATAAGTTAAAGTCTTAAATTTCAACATAAAACCTTAATTATAATATAAGCTGTAATGATATCTAGCCTTTAGTGTAAACTGGCTTGTTATCAAGTTTGTTTCAATACTTCAACCTTGACCCACTTTGAAGGTCACAGATGTTGGATGTATTATGTAACAACATTGAATAATAGCTTTAATAGCAATACAAGCTTGATAAGTGGGCCTCCTTTTTTTGTCTTTTCTGATGTGAGTTATAGATTAACTATGTACATGATCTATCCCTTTGGTAGGGCCCCTCAAAGAATATTGAACGTTTAAGGTGATCATTTGATAATCCAGTCAATTTGCATTTCATCAATGTTTGAAAATTTAAACATTCCATTTAATTTACTTTTATAGACACGATGAGGAACATTACCTTGATGCCGTTCAACAGATTTTGGACCATGGTACTCAAAAGCCCAACAGAACAGTCAAAGAAGCCATCTCCATCTTTGGTATGCAGATGAGATACAATCTAAGAGAAGGTAAACATCCCATTCTTCGCTCTACAATCTAAGAGAAGGTAAACATCCCATTCTTCGCTCTACAATCTAAGAGAAGGTAAACATCCCATTCTTCGCTCTACAATCTTAGAGAAGGTAAACATCCCATTCTACGATCAAATTACAAACACATAATTACTTTTTGTGCAAATCTGTTGTGAGATCCTTGTGAATATATTTATGAACAGGTATGAAACAGGTTGATATAATTTTTTACATGTTAATGATCAAAACTGATGAGAATCATTGAGATCAAGAGGTTATATTTGCCACTAGGCCTGCCTATCATTCACCAATAAAAATGATGTTAAATCAATGATGTGACAGAATATGTATAAGAAAACTTTTATAAGCATCAGAAACATCAGCTGTAAAATGACTGTATTTGACCTAACAAAGGTGCATGTCCTAAAAAGTGGGCTCCTACCCTTTTTCTGAGAAAAAAAACAGGGTACTAGGGGTCCAGTCGCGACCTGTCATTTTAAATATTTTCAGGGATGCTTGGAAATATTTTGAAAGGAACATGTAGCATTAAACTGAAAATTGATATCATAATTCTTAAATTTAAATGCATTATCTATGTTTATAGTATACAATCTGTAGCAGAAACGTCCACAAAATGTTACTTAATAAGGGCTCCCCTTAATTCTCTCAATTACCCACGCCCTTATTAGGTCAAATACAGTATTATCTGCACCTCTATAATTAGAGTAAAGTAACAACTTTTTAATATGAGCATAGTATCTTGTGCACTGTTGACATCAATTTAATTTTATATGATCAAATGCAGGGATAAATGTAATATTTTCTTTGTGTGTTATAAAGATTTCCCCCTGCTGACTACCAGGAAGTTATTCTGGCGTGGAATTGCGGAGGAGCTGCTCTGGTTTATTCAAGGTTGTACCAATGGAAACAAACTAAAGGAGAAAGGAATTAAAATCTGGGATAAACACGGGTCCAAAGAGTTTCTCAGTAAACGTGGCCTTGGCGACCGCGAGGAAGGTATAGTTATATTATAATACATTAAATTCAAGATATACTATCCATGTTTATCATAATAAAAGAAATAGCTAGTAAGCTCACCTGGCCCGAAGGACCATGGTAAACTTATGTCATACCGCAGCGTCCGTCGTTCGTCAACTTTTTCTTTAAAAAGCTACTTGTCCTGAACGGCCGAGTAGTTTTTGACTAAATATGGGCTGGAGCATCCTTTGGCTAAGGGGTCTCAATTTTGTATAAACGGTGGGTGTGGCCCCTCTGTGGGCAGAGAAGCAGTGCCCAAAAGGGAAAATAGAGGTAAAACGTTTAGAATCCTTCTTCTACCATAGGGAATGACAGGATTTTGTCCAAATTTGGTATGAAGCATCCTTGGGTGAAGGGGAAGCAATTTTGTACAAACGGTGGGTCTGACCCCCTTTTGGCAGAGAGGATGGCCCAATAAGGGATACAGAGGAATAGCTTTAATTTCCTTCCTCTTCTGTGGGGATAAAGATACTTTTATCGAATTTGAACAGAAGCATCATATTTGGCAGGGAAATCAATTTTGTATAAATGGTGGGTGTGGCCCCCCTTGGGGCAGAGGGGCGGGGCCATATAGGGAAAATAGAGATAAAACGTTAAAAATCCTTCTTCTACCATAGGGATTAAAGGATTTTATCCTTAGTTAGTCTGGAGCATCCTTGGGCCAAGGGGACTTAATTTTGTATGAACGGTGAGTGTGGCTCTCCTGGGGGCAGAGGGGCGGGGCCCAATAGAGGAAATAGAGGTAAAACATCCTTCTTCTAAAAATTTTAAAATCCTTCTTCTACCGTAGGGATTTATGGATTTTATTCTTATTTATTTTGAAGCATCATTGGAATCAATTTTGTATAAATTAACCATCCATGATACCTATTATTCTTCTCTGAAACATTACAGAAAATAATTTTAAAATATTGCATCTCCCAATAAAGGTCTGTGCTTTATTGGGGGAAATAACAAATTTAACAAAGGAGAAAATAATACTGTATGTAGCAGACCAAAATCCGCATTCTTTAGGTTAATTAAGAGTTTTTATGATACTGGCTTGCAATATACTTTTACAATTGCAAATATGGGATTATGTCTTGAAATTAAGTATTTAAAGGTTTCAATTTCACTACACAGCAAGGAGAGTAAACTGACATAAAACCTGTGAAGATTGGTTTGATGGCATGTTCAAACTCATGTCTGAGAAAAAAACAAAAAATCAAGTGTTGTAGATTGAAATTTACCTGATCAAAGTTATCACTTCCAACTGGTAAATAAGATTAACATAGATTTTGATTCTTTTACTTTTGTTTACCAATTCTGTTATCCTTAGGTGATCTTGGTCCTGTGTACGGTTTCCAATGGCGACACTTCGGAGCTGAATACAAGGACATGCACGCAGACTACACCGGAAAGGGCATAGACCAACTGAGAGATGTCATTGCTAAAATAAAGAACAACCCAAATGATAGGCGCATTATCATGTCCGCCTGGAATCCTCCAGGTACCACAATGTCATATTACTGAGTGCTGCTGTGCTTAAGGTCAAGGTCACTATCTTCATGTCCCCAGTGGATGTCGCATTTTGTTTTTAGCTCACCTGGTCCGAAGGAACATAGTGAGCTTATGTCATACCGCAGCATCCGTCGTCTGTCCGTCGAGCGTTGTCCATCTGGCAACTTTTCCATTAAAACGCTACTTTTCCTAACGGCCAGATAGATTTTATCCTAATTTAGTCTGGAGCATCCTTAGGCCAAGGAAACTTAATTTTGTATAAATGGGTGGTATGGCCCCCCCTGGTGGTAGAGGGGCGGGGCCCAAAAGGGAAAATAGAGGTGAATCTTTAAAATCCTCCTTCTACCATAGGGATTAAAGGATTTTATGCGAATTAAGTCTGGAACATCCTTGGGCCAAGGGGACTCAATTTTGTATAAGGAGTGGGTGTGGCTCCAAGAGGGCAGAAAGACGGGGCCCAATACAGGAAATAGAGGTAAACCTTTAAAATCTTTGGGCAAAAGGGACTCAATGTTGGTATAAACGGTGGGTTTGTCCCTGCTGGGGGCAGAGGGGCAGGGCCCAATAGGTGGAACATAGCAAATTCTTTAAAATCCTTCTTCTTCTGTAGGAATGCTAGGATTTTGTCACAGTTTGGTATGAAGCATCCTTGGGTGAAGGGAAACCAATTTTGTATAAACGATGGGTCTACCCCCCCTGGGGTAAGAGAAGTGGGGCCCAATAAAGAATATAGAGGAATAGCATTAATCTGTTAGGATGAAGTCATTTTGACCAAATTTGAACAGTTGCATCCTATTTGAACGGGCAATGAATTTTGTACAATTGGTGGGTTTGAACCCCCCCCCCCCCCCCCCGGGGCAGAGGGTCAAAGGGGCAGGACCAAATAGGGAAAATAGAAATAGCTTTAAAATCATTCTTTTCTGTAAGAATGACAGGATAATGTCCATATTTGGTCTAAAGCATCATTAGGTGAAGGCAACTTGATTTTGTATCGACGGTGGATCTGACCCCCGTGGGAGCAGAAGGGCGGGACCCAATAGGAGAAACATAGCAAATTCTTCAAAATCCTCTGTTTCCTGTAGAAATGACAGGATGTTTGTCCAATTGCATATAAATATAACCCCTGACTAACTATGCAATTCATGTACACTACCAGCAACATCTAGCTATTCCAACTTCATTTTTGCTAACATTTCCAGGTGAGCGATACAGTCCCTCTGGGCCTCTTGTTTGCTTAAGTCACCCACCTATTTCAAAATATAGTGACAACACTATACATCAACCATAGTTTGTTAACATCAAATTCTACACCTTATTAGCTTTTGTCAAGCATTAGCAAAGGTTAAGTTGTCAAATTTTACCACTTTTAAAATTAAAAAGTTGTGTTCAAGATATCTCATGAACCCTCTACAAATTAGTTTGTATCAACACCATCGCACGGTAACACATGAACAAGTTCTACTCCTAATTAGATATTGGTGTTAATTGGTAAAGGGTCAAAGGTCACTTGACCAATGTTGGGAAGATGAGGGTATTTATAAGTAGGACGTCACTTTATTTATAAATGCGTATATCATGGTTTCGATGTTTCAGATTTACCAAAAATGGCTCTTCCTCCCTGTCATGCCTTTGTCCAGTTCTATGTTGCCAACGGTGAGCTGTCGTGTCAGCTGTACCAGCGATCAGCAGATATGGTGAGCATTGGATTACAACGATTCTTATCCATTCAGTATGGTAATGGAAAATTGCTGAATTATTTGTCCTTTGCGGTGTTTTCATTTTCATGTTACTGCTATCTATCACACTTCGGGGTCATTGCTCTACCACCTTCCATTTTATTCCAAAATCTTCTGATTAGTAAAAAACTTTATTCAAGTATTTGGAACACAAATACCTCAAATGAGTTGACATTACAGGTGTCCGGACACCCGTATTTGATGGGCAGAAGTTAATCAGCTGGTGTGGCTTTCTCTTTCTTGAAATGTTTTGAAAATCCCAGTATCATACGAGATGTTTGAATCAATAAACATTGTTTTCATGAATTATTATTGTGTTCAATTCAACACTGCCAGTAACTGATAAGTATGTGATTATATATTTTGGTCTTGTTTTAGGGACTTGGTGTACCATTCAACATTGCCAGTTACGCTCTGTTAACCTGCATGATCGCCCATGTGACAGATCTCAAGGTTTGTTATGTACTTGTTGATCACAGAGGATTTTAACAACTTCTTCAGAATCTAAGATTGATGATGCCTTGAGCATTTATACCTAGCCTCTAAATGGATCAAATAAATTACCTTGACCTTATCTGAAGGGCAAATAGTTCACTGGGCGCTAGTTTCCCAGTAGACAGTTTACTACAAACACATCCAAGATCTTGTATTAATTGTCAGTTTGTCAAAGTTAAATGTTGATATTCTAACTTTGCAATATCATTAAATATGGAGAGAAAGAATTTGATCATTAGACAAAGTATTTGAAATGTAATAGGATATAAAACTTTTAAAATTAAAGTCTTGGTAAAATTGACTTGGGTTGTTATAAAAGACACCGTTTTACTGTTATTTTGTTTAACAGCCTGGTGACTTTGTACATACCTTGGGAGATGCTCATGTATATGTGAACCATGTTGACGACTTGAAAGGACAGGTATTATATTTTTACTCTCTTTCAAATATTGCATAAATAACTGCAAACGAAAGGTGTTCATAATAACTTTTAATATAAACTTGACTATTATAGATTTGATAGAGGAAAACATTACTTGGCAAAACGATATTCAAAATATTCATATTTGCGACATTTTCAAAGAGCTTAATAAACAAGAGGCCCAAGGGCCTTAGCGGTCACCTGAATTATATCATAGGTACTGGTAGCTTTATTTTACTCTTTAGATGTGATGTGGAAATCAGCATGCAAACTAAGTGAAATACAATACTTGTCATGTCATCAAAGGATAAGAGTTTTAAAATATTGGTAAATGCTCCCTTTGGGGCCCAACCCTAGCCCCTGGGGATGGGGCAGGAATCCCAATTTTACAATGTAGTACCCTCTACACCAAGATGATTCTGACTAAGATTGTGTAATTTTCTGCTGAAAATGGATAAAATATACCCAAAAGTGTTATTTCCCAATATAAACTATAGTAAACTTTACCCCCACCCCAAGGGTGAACGGATGGCTCGGGGGTCCTGAAATTTACAATTTAAATAATGCCCCTGATGATCTTTCTTTCCATGCAGAGAAAATGACTGACTGTAGTACCTTCGAGTCTGGAGAAGAAGATATTTGAAATATTGGTTGATTTTCCCTTTAGGGCCCCGCCCTGGCCCCAGGGGTTGGGGTAGGAATACCAATTTTACAATTTAAAACCATCTTCCTCCAAGGATAATTCTCACCAAGTAAACATAATTTCCTACCGAAAATTATCTAAATATACCCAAAAGTGTTATTTCTCTATATAAACTATAGTGAACTTTACCCCCTCCCCAAGGGAGAACGGATAGCTTGGGGGTTCTGAAATTTACAATTTAAATAATGCCCCTGTTCTCTTTCTGTCCATGCAGAGAAAATGACCGTAGTACCTTCAAGTCTGGAGGAGAAGATTTTTGAAATATTGGTTAATTTTCCCTTTGGGGCCCCGCCCTGGCCCCAGGGGTTGGGGTAGGAATACTTATTTTACAATTTAAAACCATCTTCCTCCAAGGATAATTCTCACCAAGTAAAAATAATTTCCTACAGAAAATTGTCAAAATATATCCAAAAGTGTTATTTCCCTATATAAACTATAGTAAACTTTACCCCCTCCCCAAGGGAGAATGGATAGCTTGGGGCTCCTGAAATTTACAATTTAAATAAAGCCCCTGATGATCTTTCTTTCCATGCTGAGAAAATGACTGTAGTCTTTCTTCCCATGCTGAGAAAATGACTGTAGTACCTTCGAGTCTGGAGAGGAAGGTTTTTGAAATATTGGTTAATTTTCCCTTTGCAGGCCGGCCCCGCCCTGGCCCGCCCTGGCCCCAGGGGTTGGGGTAGGAATTTCAATTTTACAATTTGAAACCATTTTCCTCCAAGGATAATTCTCACCATGTATAATTTCCTATCAAAAATTGTCAAAATATATCCAAAAGTGTTATTTCCCTATATAAACTATAGTAAACTTTACCCCCTCCCCAAGGGAGAACAGATAGCTTGGGGCTCCTGAAATTTACAATTTAAATAAAGCCCTTGATGATCTTTCTTTCCATGCAGTACTGCAGTACCTTCGAGTCTGGAGAAGAAGATTTTTGAAATATTGGTTAATTTTCCCTTTGGTAGGAATCCCAATTTTACAATTTTGTAGCCTCATCTACCAAGGATGATTCTGACCAAGTTTGAAAAAATTCCATCCACTCGTTCTTGAGAGGAAGTTGAAAATGTAAAAAAAATATGCACGACGGACGATGCACAACAACTGATGGAAAGCGATTAGAATAGGTCACTTGAGCGAATCAGATATTTGTTTTAGTTGAATATTAAGTAAGCATTATTGTAAGACTAAGAAAAGTTATATTGATATAAAAATGAGAAGAATAAAAATTTCATAGAAATACATATCACTTAATCAATGCGGAACAATGGAAAACTTGAACACAACAAATGCTTTTCTTTCCAGCTTGCTAGAGAACCCAAGCCATTCCCGAAACTTCTGATCAAAAGAACAGTGGAAGACATTGATGATTTCAAATATGAAGACTTTAAAATTGTGGGCTATCAATATCACCCAAAAATCGATTTTGAAATGGCAGTGTGATGGGGACAAAGTCTTGTGTGTGGAGGATGTGGAATTAGATCTGACAGTGATTCTGTTTGGAAAGTCTTTTTTCAACAAATCATGCAAATAACAAATTCTCACACGAATAATTAGATAAGATTAACGTTACACAAACCTTGTTCTACAATTTCCAGTGAGGAAGCTGAAGGAACAGAATTTTTTGCTGCAATATCTGGGGACTGGATACATAATACAGATTACTGGAGGTGTTATTTAATTTCATGCATGTGAATTAATATTTCGCAATTGAGATTGTTTACAGACTTACATATATTTCATCATGTAAAGCTGTGGAATGTTTGTCTCTGTGTTAGGTACAAAACCTGTTTTGGGAGGGTTCTGTCGCTGTATACCTGTATGTGTAAGTTTTTGATGTTTTATTTGTGTATATTTTCATACTTGATATTGGTGCCATGTCTGCTTTATTTGACTTGTATACATCACATTAAATACATTTTCTTAAAACAGACATTTTTTGGAGTGATGTTTTATTTCAAAAACGAGCAAAATTATCTTAATGGAAGAATTCCATTATGATTACGTCTTTTTACTTTACATGCCTTCATGAGGACAGCATTTTCATGATATTTTTGAGACCATCATCTTTGATCTTGAAAAAATTGGGAGAATCAGATTGTTCACTAAACGAGTATAAATTGAAACATGGACGAATGTTAACCAGAGACATGTAAAGAAAAATATGCATTGAAGGACTCAAGTTTACTAAAATTAATAACCATAATTCTTTTTCAAGGTCAAATGTGTGACGAACTGTGATCTTTTAATAAAACTGTTTCTCCTGAGTGACCAAGAGTCCAAAACTTCTGGTCTGTTGCATGCTAGAATGAAGGGCTATCAAATTCATTCAAATGAATGACCTTGACCAGTTTGAAAGGTCACAGGGTCAAATGTGTCAAACATTTCAACCAACTTCAAAAAAAATCCACAAGCTTTTATAATCCAATGTTTAGCTCACTGCCACCCAAAGCCTTTAAACAACTTCTGAATAACCACAAGGCCTAGGGTTATGATATTTGGCAAATAACATGCTGGCATGAAGGCTACCAAGTTTGTTTAAATGAATGACCTTGACAAATATTCAAGGTTACAATGTCGAAATATGTTTAAAACCTATAAACAACTTCTTCTCAATAACTGAAAGTCCTAGGATGGTGATACTTAAGTAGTAGCATGTTAGAATAAAGGGCTACCAAGTTTGTTCAATTGAATGACATTGACTCATATTCAAGGTCAAATATGTTTAAACCCTTTATACAACTTCTTCTGAATAACTAAGAGGCCTAGGGTTATGATATTTGGGCCAGTAGCATGTTTGGATGAAGGGCTACCAAGTTTGTTCAAATGAAAGGCCTTTACTAATATTCAAGGTCACAGGGGTCAAATATGTTGAAAACCTTTAAACAACTTCTTCTCAATAATCGAAAACCCTAGGATGATGCTATTTGGCCAGAAGCATGCAGCTGTAGCGTGCAACCCCTGGTAGCGTGTTTGCACCGTGTGAATCTCAATTATGACCGAGCTACCTGCTCTAGAAGCGATTGGGATCCTCGGCTACCTGGCCGAGCAGTTGAACAATAACACTTAACAATATCAACAATATTTATAAATGAATACACATGTGGGCCAGAACAGTACCTCTGTCCTATCAACCCGTGCTGTCGAACCACGACACACGTCGCCTGGACGTACACAATCTCTCCAACCAGCAGATCAGAATGCTGACACTCCCAGCTCCAGGTATGGCCTTGCTACCCGAGCTGATCACTGACAGTCCCCAGGTACCCTGTCACCGAGCTGATCACTGGCAGCTCCGAGGCAACCTGTCACTGTCCACACTACAGCACACAAGTACCAGATCAGCTGCGTTCACTTACCGTACTGGCCACAACGTACAATATAGCCACCAGAGTAGCCTTTGCAGGCGACCCCTTATGCAGGAGCTTCTGGTATAGTATATTGCAGAGGTGTTCTTACCTTGTTCTGCTGTCTAGAATGCCTCTTGATATCCTCTGTAGTTTTAACACAGCCAACCCTCAACCACTGGCATAAGCCTGCTTATATGTGGAAGCCATTTTCAGGAACTCAAGGTACCAGGTCATTCGCATAAAAATCACATTTATTCATTTATCAATAAGTATCCTACAACATACATGTATACAGAAATATGTCATATCCATTCCAAGTAATTAATGAAAGATTCTGGTAATATTGATTTTGATCAAACTTCGCTAATCGTCAGTAATAAAGAGAAATCAATACAAATTTAGATTCCAAGAACGTTTACTTAACGTTTGTTCAAAGGGGAATCACTCTACCGAAAATCACATAATCATCACACAGCGATGAAGGGCTACCAAGTTTGTTAAAAAAAATACCTTCACTTATATTCAAGGTCACAGGGGTCAAATATGTTAAAACTTTAAACAACTTCTTCTGAATAACAAAAATGCCCAGGGTGATGATATTTGACCAGTATCCTGTTGGGGTGAAGGGCTACCAAGTTTGTTCAAATGAACGAATTTCACTTATATTCAAGGTCACAGGGGTCAATTGTTTAAAAAAAAACAACCTTTAAACAAATTCTTCTGGATAACCAAAAGTCGCAGGATGATGATATTTGGCCTGGAACATGATGGGGTGAAGGGTTACCAAGTTTGTGTAAATGAATGACCTTGAATTATATTCAAAGTCACAGGGGTCAAATATGTTAAAATCTTTAAACAACTTCTTCTGCATAATCATAAGGCCTAGAATGTTGATATCTGTCAGTAGCATGCTGGGATTTAGAACTACCAAGTTTATGCAAGTGAATGACCCTGATTATATTCAAGGTCACAGGTGTCAAATTTGTTTAAAATCTTTAAATGACTTCTTCTGAATAACCATGAGGCCCAGAATGTTGATATTTAGCCAGTAGCATGCTTCAATAAAGGGCTATCAAGCTTTTTCATTTGAATGACCTTAACCCACTTTCGAGGTCACATTTACTCAAATATGTTTAAACATTTAAATGACCTAAATTTCAATAAACAAAAGGATAGGTAGGTGATGTTTTGCAAGTTGCATCGTGAGATAAAGGGCTATAAGATGTGTTCAACATAATGACCTTGTTCGACTCTCAAGGTCACAGGAGTGAAATGTTTTTAAATCTTTCAACAGGTTCTTATGAATTACTTTTAATCATAAATACTGATATTTTGCCTTTAGCTTTATTTAAGATAACTTTTAAGGTTACAAATGTATAGATGTATACCAGGTGAGCGATGCAGGCCCATTGGGCCTCTTGTTACAGTTTTATTATTGAGCTTATTTGCTGGGATAATGGACTTTGTTCAAATACCAGGTAGATGACCTTTGACCTGCTTTCAATGTCTTAGACCGTAAACCTACTGTATTATTATTCAGGCTTTAGCTTTCTAGATTCAATTCTCTTGACTAACTTAGATAGCACATCAGTAAAGTAAGATACAATCTTCCAACAAAGATCCAATAATGTGGAGGATAATGATATTTAGCTTGCTTGTAATCAAGTTTGTTTAAATAGCTGAATTTAGATGACCTAAGAATATCTCCTCCTTCAGTCTTGCTTAGACTTTGACTTTTATAATAGGTACCTGACACTTTATTGTTGCAACTTATGCTACTGTAACCTTGACCTTAAAATAGGTACATTATATATCATCTTGTCATATACAATTGTATTAAACAAATACAAAATGTAAATCAAACAAGCGTTTACAGTGATGTGACCTTTTTAACCTTTGTGCCAATGACCTTTGGTGTATGTGTGTGACACTTGTCACAACATTTGTATCCATATAAAGTTCCAGTTATTTAGCAGAGTAGTTATATCTGGAAAAGCTTGCCTTACATATAAGACTTCTTGACCCTGAAGGTTCGGACCTGTATATGGTACCTCACGCCATGTTGTAATACTGCTATGAGACAATGGACCTGTGTGCATCTGATGTAGTCGAGATCCATACAAGCATTGCAGTGATTGACCTTTGACCCCTGCTTTGACTTTGAACTTGAGGGTATAAACCTGTGATTGGCAGTAATAAACCATCTTGTTACACATATTTTTGATGTTTATCAATTGTGGAGGAGCTAGGGTGTTGATGATCATCAGAGTTAACACAATCAGTGGCATGGTATTGTGAAGTTATGATCCAACTTCCAATTAACACTATTACTTCTTGCATCTCAGAAATGGTCTTAACTTGCATAGCATGGTTATAATGACCAGGTTCCTGTTCTTATATGAGCACGTCATGACAAGCTACCTAAAACTTCACGGCAATATTTCAAAATCTGACTGATGCATAAAAATAACGTAAATCATTTGCTGTCCTTATGGTTTATTTTTCATTCTATATTTCTTGTCATTCATTCAGCATGCCACATTTCATCCGTCATAAATAAAGCTTCATGGCCAATATAAACTGTACAACAAAAGGCCATACAAATCATTAATTACTGCATGCCTCCTACATTGAAACTCTTATCTCAACATCAAATATACTGTACAATGCAAGGCTTAACAAATCTAACCTGCATTTTCTACTACACGCATGATATGTTGCAAGTCTTAACTTAACAATAGACTGTACAACTAGGGCTGAAACGATATATATCGTGTTGTATCGGGATACTTTCTAGTGTGTCTTATCAAATTGTTTAGTTTGCCTGTATCGCAATACACTAACAGTACTGAAATTATCATTTAAGTTTTATCTAATTCCAAAAATGTGCACTGATTGTTTTAGGCTGTCAGTAAAGATGTGGTTCACTGTACAGTCACACCGAAAAGTACTAGAAATTATACAAAAATATATTTCAATAGTATTTACTATTGAAGTCTGTGACAAAACTCAATAAAATCCTGCGCTCAATTGTTATGATGTTGACCTTTTAAGCAGACATTTGTATTGTGATATGTACCATATTGTACCGTGATATGTATTGTATCGTGAGTAAGGTGTATCGTTGCAGCCCTATGTACAACACATGGCCATAAAAACCCAACCTGCTGAACTATTCTCCATGTGTTGTCTGATATATTGTAAGTCTTTGTTATCAACAAACTGCACAACACATGGCCATAAAAACCCAACCTGCTGAACTATTCTCCATGTGTTACCTGATACATTGTAAGTCTTTGTTATCAACAAACTGTACAACACATGGCCGTACAAACCCAACCTGCTGAACTATTCTCCATGTGTTACCTGATACATTGTAAGTCTTTGTTATCAACAAACTGTACAACACATGGCCGTACAAATCCAACCTGCTGAACTATTCTCCATGTGTTACCTGATACATTGTAAGTCTTTGTTATCAACAAACTGTACAACACATGGCCGTACAAATCCAACCTGCTGAACTATTCTCCATGTGTTACCTGATACATTGTAAGTCTTTGTTATCAACAAACTGTACAACACATGGCCGTACAAATCCAACCTGCTGAACTATTCTCCATGTGTTACCTGATACATTGTAAGTCTTTGTTATCAACAAACTGTACAACACATGGCCGTACAAATCCAACCTGCTGAACTATTCTCCATGTGTTACCTGATACATTGTAAGTCTTTGTTATCAACAAACTGTACAACACATGGCCGTACAAATCCAACCTGCTGAACTATTCTCCATGTGTTACCTGATACATTGTAAGTCTTTGTTATCAACAAACTGTACAACACATGGCCGTACAAATCCAACCTGCTGAACTATTCTCCATGTGTTACCTGATACATTGTAAGTCTTTGTTATCAACAAACTGTACAACACATGGCCGTACAAATCCAACCTGCTGAACTATTCTCCATGTGTTACCTGATACATTGTAAGTCTTTGTTATCAACAAACTGTACAACACATGGCCGTACAAATCCAACCTGCTGAACTATTCTCCATGTGTTACCTGATACATTGTAAGTCTTTGTTATCAACAAACTGTACAACACATGGCCGTACAAATCCAACCTGCTGAACTATTCTCCATGTGTTACCTGATACATTGTAAGTCTTTGTTATCAACAAACTGTACAACACATGGCCGTACAAATCCAACCTGCTGAACTATTCTCCATGTGTTACCTGATACATTGTAAGTCTTTGTTATCAACAAACTGTACAACACATGGCCGTACAAATCCAACCTGCTGAACTATTCTCCATGTGTTACCTGATACATTGTAAGTCTTTGTTATCAACAAACTGTACAACACATGGCCATACAAATCCAACCTGCTGAATTATTCTTCATGTGTAACCTGATACATTGTAAGTATTTGTTATCATCAAACTGTACAACACCTGGCTATACAAGTCCAACCTGCTGAACTATTCTCCATGTGTTACCTGATACATTGCAAGTCTTTGTTATCAACAAACTGTACAACACATGGCCATACAAATCAAACCTGCTGAACTATTCTCCATGTGGTGTCTGATAGATTGTAAGTCTTTGTTATCAACAAACTTTACAACACATGGCCATACAAACCCAACCTGCTGAAATATTCTCCATGTGTTACCCGATACATTGTAAGTCTTTGTTATCAACAAACTGTATAACACATGGCCGTACAAATCCAACCTGCAGAACTATTCTACATGTGTTACCTGATACAGGGTAAGTCTTTGTTATCAACAAACTGTATAACACATGGCCGTACAAATCCAACCTGCTGAATTATTCTCCATGTGTTGTCTGATACATTGCAAGTCTTTGTTATCAACAAACTGTATAACACATGGCCGTACAAATCCAACCTGCAGAACTATTCTACATGTGTTACCTGATACATTGTAAGTCTCTGTTATCAACAAACTGTACAACACATGGGCGCACAAATCCAACCTGCTGAACTATTCTACATTTTTACCTGATACATTGTAAGTCTTTGTTATCAACAACCTGTACAACACATGGGCGTACAAATCCAACCTGCTGAACTATTCTACATGTGGTACCTGATACATTGTAAGTCTTTGTCATCAACAAACTGTAAAACACATGGCCGTACAAATCCAACCTGCAGAACTATTCTACATGTGTTACCTGATACAGTGTAAGTCTTTGTTATCAACAAACTGTAAAACACATGGCCGTACAAATCCAACCTGCTGAACTATTCTCCATCTGTTACCTGATACATTGCAAGTCTTTGTTATCAACAAACTGTACAACGCATGGGCGTACAAATCCAACCTGCTGAACTATTATCCATGTGTTGTCTAATACATTGTAAGTCTTTGTTATCAACAAACTGTACAACACATTGTAAGTCTTTGTTATCAACAACCTGTACAACACATGGGCGTACAAATCCAACCTGCTGAACTATTCTCCCTGTGTTGTCCGATACATTGTAAGTCTTTGTTATCAACAAACTTTACAACACATGGCCATACAAACCCAACCTGCTGAACTATTCTCCATGGGTTACCCGATACATTGTAAGTCTTTGTTATCAACAAACTGTAAAACACATGGCCATACAAACCCAACCTGCTGAACTATTCTCCATGGGTTACCCGATACATTGTAAGTCTTTGTTATCAACAACCTGTACAACACATGGGCGTACAAATCCAACCTGCTGAACTATTCTCCATCTGTTACCTGATACATTGCAAGTCTTTGTTATCAACAAACTGTACAACCCATGGGCGTACAAATCCAACCTGCTGAACTATTCTACATTTTTACCTGATACATTGTAAGTCTTTGTTATCAACAAACTTTACAACACATGGCCATACAAACCCAACCTGCTGAAATATTCTCCATGTGTTACCCGATACATTGTAAGTCTTTGTTATCAACAACCTGTACAACACATGGGCGTACAAATCCAACCTGCTGAACTATTCTACATGTGTTACCTGATACAGTGTAAGTCTTTGTTATCAACAAACTTTACAACACATGGCCATACAAACCCAACCTGCTGAAATATTCTCCATGTGTTACCCGATACATTGCAAGTCTTTGTTATCAACAAACTGTATAACACATGGCCGTACAAATCCAACCTGCAGAACTATTCTACATGTGTTACCTGATACAGTGTAAGTCTTTGTTATCAACAAACTTTACAACACATGGCCATACAAACCCAACCTGCTGAAATATTCTCCATGTGTTACCCGATACATTGTAAGTCTTTGTTATCAACAAACTGTACAACACATTGTAAGTCTTTGTTATCAACAAACTGTACAACCCATGGGCGTACAAATCCAACCTGCTGAACTATTATCCATGTGTTGTCTAATACATTGTAAGTCTTTGTTATCATACATTGTAAGTATTTGTTATCATCAAACTGTACAACACATGGCCGTACAAAACCAACCTGCTGAACTATTCTCCATGTGTTACCCGATACATTGTAAGTCTTTGTTATCAACAACCTGTACAACACATGGGCGTACAAATCCAACCTGCTGAACTATTCTCCCTGTGTTGTCCGATACATTGTAAGTCTTTGTTATCAACAACCTGTACAACACATGGGCGTACAAATCCAACCTGCTGAACTATTATCCATGTGTTGTCTAATACATTGTAAGTCTTTGTTATCATACATTGTAAGTATTTGTTATCATCAAACTGTACAACACATGGCCGTACAAAACCAACCTGCTGAACTATTCTCCATGGGTTACCCGATACATTGTAAGTCTTTGTTATCAACAACCTGTACAACACATGGGCGTACAAATCCAACCTGCTGAACTATTATCCATGTGTTGTCTAATACATTGTAAGTCTTTGTTATCAACAAACTTTACAACACATGGCCATACAAACCCAACCTGCTGAAATATTCTCCATGTGTTACCCGATACATTGCAAGTCTTTGTTATCAACAAACTGTACAACACCTGGCTATACGAGTCCAACCTGCTGAACTATTCTCCATGTGTCACCTGATACATTGCAAGTCTTTGTTATCAACAAACTGTACAACGCATGGGCGTACAAATCCAACCTGCTGAACTATTCTACATGTGGTACCTGATACATTGTAAGTCTTTGTTGAACTATTCTCCATGTGTTACCTGATACATTGTAAGTATTTGTTATCATCAAACTGTACAACACATGGCCATACAAACCCAACCTGCTGAACTATTCTCCATGTGTTACCCGATACATTGTAAGTCTTTGTTATCAACAAACTGTACAACACATGGCAATACAAATCCAACCTGCTGAACTATTCTCCATATGTTACCTGATACATTGTAAGTCTTTGTTATCAACAACCTGTACAACACATGGCCATACAAATCCAACCTGCTGAACTACTCTCCATGTGTTGTCTAATACATTGTAAGTCTTTGTTATCATACATTGTAAGTATTTGTTATCATCAAACTGTACAACACATGGCCATACAAATCCAACCTGCTGAACTACTCTCCATGTGTTGTCTAATACATTGTAAGTCTTTGTTATCATACATTGTAAGTATTTGTTATCATCAAACTGTACAACACATGGCCATACAAATCCAACCTGCTGACCTATTCTCCATGTGTTGTCTGATTCATTGTAAGTCTTTGTTATCAACAAACTGTAAAACACATGGCCGTACAAATCCAACCTGCTGAATTACTCTCCATGTGTTGTCTGATACATTGTAAGTCTTTGTTTTCAACAAACTGTACAACACATGGCTGTACAAATCCAACCTGCTGAACTATTCTCCATATGTTACCTGATACATTGTAAGTCTTTGTTATCAACAACCTGTACAACACATGGCCATACAAATCCAACCTGCTGAACTATTGTCCATGTGTTGTCTAATACATTGTAAGTCTTTGTTATCAACAAACTGTACGACACATGGCCATACAAATCCAACCTGCTGAACTACTCTCCATGTGTTGTCTAATACATTGTAAGTCTTTGTTATTAACAAACTGTACAACACATGGCCGTACAAATCCAACCTGCCGAACTATTCTCCATGTGTTACCTGATACATTGTAAGACTTTGTTATCAACAAACTGTACAACACATGGCAATACAAATCCAACCTGCTGAACTATTCTCCATGTGTTACCCGATACATTGTAAGTCTTTGTTATCAACAAACTGAACAACACATGGCCATACAAATCCAACCTGCTGAACTACTCTCCATGTGTTGTCTAATACATTGTAAGTCTTTGTTATTAACAAACTGTACAACACATGGCCGTACAAATCCAACCTGCTGAACTATTCTCCATGTTTTGTCTAATACATTGTAAGTCTTTGTTATCATACATTGTAAGTATTTGTTATCATCAAACTGTACAACACATGGCCATACAAACCCAACCTGCTGAAATATTCTCCATGTGTTACCCGATACATTGTAAGTCTTTGTTATCAACAACCTGTACAACACATGGCCATACAAATCCAACCTGCTGACCTATTCTCCATGTGTTGTCTGATTCATTGTAAGTCTTTGTTATCAACAAACTGTAAAACACATGGCCGTACAAATCCAACCTGCTGAACTATTCTCCATATGTTACCTGATACATTGTAAGTCTTTGTTATCAACAAACTGTACAACATATGGCCGTACAAATCCAACCTGCTGAACTATTCTCCATGTTTTGTCTAATACATTGTAAGTCTTTGTTATCATACATTGTAAGTATTTGTTATCATCAAACTGTACAACACATGGCCATACAAATCCAACCTGCTGAACTATTCTCCATGTGTTGTCTGATTCATTGTAAGTCTTTGTTAACATCAAACAGTACAACACAGGAACATTCAAATCCAACCTGCATCAACAGCAAACACATTCCTGATAGGTCCCATGTAACTTAAAGACTACAACAATCTGCATAATTACTACATGGCTGATAAATTGTAAGTCTGGTATTAACATTATAAAACTGTACAACACAAGATCATGCTTATCCAACTTACATTAACGAGAACTCATTAAGATTTACAATAAGGCCTACTGTACAAATAGTGTCTTTATATAAAAGATGGTATTACTATACAAATTTGGTGTATTTGAGCATCACATGCAAATCATCAAATTTGTACATTCATTTGAAATAATCGGGATCATCACGCCACTCAGAGTATCTGATATACAAAGGAATAATTAAACTGGTGATTTAGTCTTAAAATTTGGGATCTACACACCATAAAAAATAGGTATTTGAGATACAGATTTATTATTGACCTACTGAAATTTTGAAAGACCAGACCTTGACAAATAAAATTCAACTTAAATTTCATGAAATAAAGAAATTATGTGTAATAAGAAAGGCAGACAATTAATTTCACTTAGGACTTTTTCACTTGTTACGATTTTATCATTTAATTAAATTCATAAAAGGAAAAAAACTTAACCCTTTAACTACTGTAGACCATTATGGACTCATTCAGATGAATGTATGGTAGAGTCTTCTCCAGTTACCTAGGGGTGAAAGGGTTAAAAGACAAATTGATGTATGAAGTAATGATTCCCATAGACCTATAATATTTTTCATGGTGATTGTCTATGGGTCTACCATTAAGTTCCAACACTGCTGATATAGTAATTATTTTAAAAGTATGATATGCACAAACTGGGTTTTAAAGAAAATCTTTCTAGAAATACAATGAACGATTAAGTGAATATTTGTTTAAACCGGTTACACTCCAGAGCTAATATATCGGCCATAGGTTTGAAACCAGATGTATCTGGAATATTAATATAGCAATGTAGGCCAGGCATACATATGAATAGTCTTCTAGCCCTGACATACACAATCCAATGTGTTATTCCTGTTAAACTACCATTGTACATGTTGTATATAACAGTGATACCACACATGTTCATCTGATGTCTTGGATTACAAGAGTACATAATGTTTATCTTGCTTCCCAAAATCTTGAACTAGACAACATTGGTGGTGAAAATGAGGTTGAGGAGGAGGAGGTAATGACATGTTAACCTTACTGAAAAATGGTGTTCAAATGTTTGGAACTCATCCTTGTTTTAATTTGTCAATTTAATCAGTGATTATAACTTATGAGTACCAGCCGAAATGGAGTTCCGCTACTAGGGTCATCCAACATATCCTGCATTATCAGTGTGAAATACAGGACCTTGAATTGCAAGGTCAGAGAACTAGCTGGTAATGATGTAATAATTTGTTTACAGTATATTATTCAGGGTACTAGATGTCCTCTCACCTACAACATATGATAGATTCGGCGGGGGTGAATTGGAGTTGGAGCACCTACAATAGTGAATATTGTAACTTAAACAGCACATCAGGATCAACAATAGATTCACATGAAAATATACATGTACACAAGTTGGAGGCAAGTAATATAAATAAAGTGGCCTAGCACAAATAGAATCTACCACTTCCACTGTGGCCTTTTATATAAGCATGCCATCTAGGACATATTTTTTACCAGCTGATTTATTTGTTCTTTATATTTGTGTCACCAATTAAGATAACAAGTAATTGCTTTGCAAATAATTCCAAAATGTTCAGCAAAGTGAAGAGAAGGAACATGCTGTAATAGAAAGGAAACTTAATGTAACAAAATTTGATTCAAAAGTTCATAAATTATAATGCTTCATAGAAAAACAGTACAATGAATAACAAAATGTAGGGACACTGGATAGTTTTATATGTACTTTAGAAAGATGAATTCAGACTACAGAAATAAGAAATGTCCTGTTTTTGACTAATATAAATACAGTAAAACTGCAAACATCCTATCTGGTTTACATTTACAATAAAGCCGTTCAAAACCCAACACTGTAAGGATCAGTACTTCAATTCATATTCTAAAATAAAAACAAGATTCAATTTACACTTCACAGACATATATAGGCAGGATTAAATTTAATCAAATTGGCTAAACAGAATTAGTATTAGGTTTTAGGTTTTATTATGTCATTATCGACAAGTTTTTGCCAAGTACAGAGGGATGGTTTAGAAACGTTTCCTATTGTTTCATGGAGGATTCAATCAAGACTGGCCTTTTTTTAAAAATAGTAAGGATTTATTTTAGTAAGGTTTCAATCTTCAGAATAGGAATTTTAATGATGTATTCAGGAAAAGTTTGTTATACTAGTGTTTTTGTAGGAAGTTCGGGACTAATACCTAGGTTACAAGCTCCATATACATCTAAAATAACCACACTATATATCAGCTGATTTAATTGATGCTCCATTATAAACAACCAATTTACAAAGCGTTCGCTACGTTGACATTGGACACCATATATTGTTTATAAATTCATTAAGAGTGATAAAAATTTAATACGGTAATTCATCAACATTTTGGGATTTTGGTAACTTAGTCTTACAATATATAAAAAAGAAAATTCTCTGTCATGTAACCTAATGAAACACAACCTTAAACGTAATGATCTGGTATAGTATCGTGAAGCAATATGGACTTAATGAAATATACTACCTTATTTTTTAAGGTATCTCTGCACAAAAGAGTTTTACACAAAGAAAAAACAGTACAATATTTTCAGTGGATAGAAAATTGGACTTGTTGACCTATCATTAAATGAGGACACTTCTGATACATAAGAAAGCATGCAATAACTCTTGAGCACATTCAAAACAGGTAAAGGGAGATAACTTCAACACAAATAAACAGTAAAACATGTAAGGTAGCATTGCTCATTAAGTCCAAACAATGTTACTTGATTTTTCACTGTCATTTCAAAAATATTCACCTACATGTAAAGATGTACTAGTTCCATCAACTTTTTATTTTTACAGTGAAATATCCATTTCCCAACATTTATAATTGAGATTTCAGCCAGTGAGCATGGCCTGGATCAACTTGTGTAACTCTAACTGTACATCACTACAACCATCCCTTTATTACTCATATATTTATTAACTACACAAACCTTTATCAAACTTCCATAGAACTACATATGTAGAAAGTTACCCCAGGAGCATTAACCCCAGAAGTAGAGTTCACTGAAATTTCATACATGAATTTTTCTTACTAATTCTTTTTTCTAGCCTAACAGTAGCAGAAATAAATTGGTAAAAAATATTCGTAACTTCAGATCAGTTTGAATCTTACATGTCTCCATAACGTTATAATTCTTATTTTATGCAGCATTATCATTAAGCCATTTAGCAAACAAAGCGTGATACAACATAGTCTTGGTAAAAAGAATGCTATAATTCTTCAGTGCGGGCAGCTACCCACATACACAGGTTTCATTAGGGCTGGGACAATTCAGTTGCTGCATATTAAAATACATTTCTTATCATACAATTCCTATCCTGCTCCAATTTCTTTCTAAAGAAATTCTTTTCATGGTTTCTAACTCAGTTTTGTCATCGCCCTAGACAAATGTCTTTCTTGATGTAATTTCTAGTAACATACAGTGTATATTTATGGATGGAATGTCAATTAAGTCCACCGCTTATCAGAATATTTTAGCAGTCTCATGAAAAAAAATCATTTCATTAACAATAACAACAGCAGACATGTGATATTTTGCACTGCATATCAACACATGTATAATACTTGGGAGTATCACAATATACAATGATTAGATGTCCCAGCCCTAGTGTTTATACAGCTCATCAGATAGCAAAGTGATCAACATTTAATAGACTCGCACGTGTGCAGTTATATGCACTAATATAAGTGAAAAGTTTCTAAGAGATAGAGAAGAAAAAAGACCACTTTCTGAACCTGTTTATAAGTTTGTAAAAGTGGATTATTTTGTGCCGGGAATATTTCATATAACGTTTTTGGTCTCGGGGAAATCATTGGTTTCTTCCATTATACATTACACTGTTTACAAACCTTTGACATTGAAAGATTAATTAAGAAGATCAACTAATGAATTATTTACTGGTAGCTGAATTAGCTCACTATACATAAACGACAATGAGTCGTGATTATCTACTGTCAATCACATAATTCTGGAGCTTGTGGAAGTGATCTACTATAAACTTGTATCTACTCAAACGTACATACGTATCAGTCAAACAATTTAATGAACTTGAATTGACATATACAACGTCAACAAAACAATACCACAATACAGCGATCAGTTTGATGATAAAGAATACTAATGATGGCTGTACTGTATTTTTGATAGAAAGTGTATGTACCTCAGTGGCATTGTTACATAAATAAGTCAATTATTAAAACAACTTTCCTGATAGGAAATACCCATATCAAAAACAGGCTTGTTTGTCTTATTTATTTACTACTACGAGGTCTCAAATATGACATGGGTCAAAAATATCCAAGGCACAAAAAAGTCCACTGTTTCAGCTTGAGTCTCCTACATTATGACACTATAATTGACAGGATGATAAGTATGTATATCCTGTATAATTTATGATTTACACTGTACACGGTCACCCACACAGCCTTGCACCATCGCACTCCAAGTCTCTGGAACAGCCACTCTCTCACCCTCCCTGTGTTAGGACATATCATCCCCCATGTCTAACGAATCGCCGCCCTGCTCACCCTGCGTCTGAAACAATCACATTGCATAGGTATAAGCTGCATCAGTGAGATATCAGAGGAAAAGCAAACACAAACAGAATTCACAGTTACGTCAAACAATTAGTATATCAAAAATTACAAAAATACAAGATAAAAGTTTATGCAAACGCAATTCATGACCGAAAACTATGTGCCAGGATTTTTCATAATTCGACAGGTATATGTAATGTTGTTTTTTCACAGAAGATAAAGAGGAAGGGGTGCTTATTAATGGGTTCTAATTATTGTATATAGAGACGTTTGAAAATACAAAAACCCTTTGCCACCTTCAATGAAAACCTTACTTGGGAATGATGTCAGTGAAACATATAACAATTTCGAACATTTACAAACTAGTCAATGCCATGTTCGCTGTTGAAATAAGAAAGCATTTATAAAAAATTTTGACACTTAAACTTTAGGTTTTGAGGTATGGGAGGGAAGACGGTGGAGGCATTTATAATGGATAATAAAAATATGATATATAGGTGTTTGAGTCTAAAATACTGGTGACTGTTAACAGTTGTATACCAAGCCCAAGAAAAAAACATTGTTGGTTGAAGGGAGTCACAGATATGTGTCTCCCTTTTGGGTCTGCGGAAAGAGCCCCAAGTCTTTGGGCTAAGCGTAGTGACTTACCTGGAAAAGAGATCGAGCCATAGGGCTAGGTACCGGCCCCATGACTGGTCCAGACCATGTCCGGCCTGGAATTGGACTGGGACTAAACTGAGCCATGTCTGGGCTTCCCTGCTGTGCAATTATGGAGGAATTAGGAGAAGCCAAGGGGATGGGTGAACTTTCTGGTTTTTGTGGCGAAGCAAATGGGTTTTGTAGACAATCTTTCGCTGGACTTTGGGCAAATGCGCCATTACCAAAACTTGACAGCTGCTGAGTGACGGCAAGGACACCTCCTTTCTCTACTGTTATAATCACCCATATCATGTCTGGAAGGGGAGGTAAGCCATTTCAACAACATGATTACATTATAATTCAATATTGGTTTGTTTTGTTTTTTGCAGTACAAATACAGGAAAATTGACAAGACGCATCACTTTATTTCCCACATTTTGCTGTCTTGTTGTGTTGTCCATGAACTATTGCCTACATGCATATGAACCTGTGTAAACGACACTATAAAAACGCAAATTTATGAAACTCTTGAAAGTAATTATAATTTGAGTATCTCTGTGGCTCGCAAATCAAACTGTAATTTGGTTGTAACCATTGAAGTGTCATCATGTATGTACGTTACAATGAGCTACAAGCATCGATAGGAATATGCATGTCTTCCTAGGATATATAAACATGCAAGGAGTTGGTAAACATTTCATTTGACCAATTCCCACATGTAGGCAACAATCTGGAAGTGATTTTAATTGTGACAATGTACGAAACAATTCCAAGAAAAGCATATGGTTTCAGATACAATATGAATGTTAGAGGTTGCAATAGGTGTTTTTGTGTGTGAGTAGTCACACAAAGTTGAATCACTTCATCATGATTCTTTAGACTGTGTATCATGTCTTCCCAAAATGGTTTACAAAGCTGCAATCCACTATACCAGTTTTGGGGCAATTGACCAGTCCATAAACTCGCATCAGCCCTATGCAATTTGTTATATATTGTACTGTACTAATATTGGTCTCACCTCCAAAATACATGCCCGTAGGTGTTGACATTCTCCACTGACTAGGGAAGGTACCAGTTTCAGTAGGACTGTACATATGTATGCTAACATCAGCCACTTGTCCTGACTGTAGAGCCTCCACCATCACGCGGTCAGCTTTACTAAGGTTTTCCCCCGAACAGTGCATCAAGTTACAGCCAGGTGGCCACTGTTCATCTCCTATCACAGAAACGCACTCAGTCGTAAGTAAATCTCAAAATATCACCTGTTAGGAACATTTTACTGATCATGAATGGTCCATATAAAATATTTTGCAGTCTTTTGGATTTTTTTATACCTTGTATACACGGAATATAAATTTTGTATTGTAGATACATCGTGTAATATATACACAACTTCTATGTACACATACACCACTTAAATAATTGAAGGCGATCAACATGGAAAGGTCATATGTTCAGCCATGGAATTTGTACCTTCTTTGAAAAAAATATCATGGACTAGTGGAATTTCAAGATACCAGCTGGTAACAAAACTGGATTTGGCCATTCGAAAGTTTGTTTCCCTTGTCAAAACATCAGGAAAATGAGTTTCTGGATCAAAAGGGTCTGGATTAACTTCAGTTAATATAAGGTGTAAGTGTCTTACCTGTGTTTTGTATCCTCCAGGTTTTAATGAAGGTAGTGTCTGGTGGAACAGCCTCACCCTCACCAACAGTTACATCCATAATGAACGTCATTGAGGGAAGTTTAACATTGGGTTGATCATACTCAAAATAGGAACCAATGGCACCTTGAAGGTTCCTGTAAATATATGAATTAAAGATGCTTTTTTTATTGGAAACAATATGTGTATCTGTACTTACACCCAAAGAAGTTCATGGACTAAATTTAACAGTTCATTTCATTGAAATTTGGAGTTAGCAAATCCAAAGCATACAGGTATAAGTTAATTGTTTTCTTTTTTAATTCATAAATATGTGTTCTTTTATTCAGAATGGATGATTTTTCATTTAGATGCCAACTTTTTGTACAAAACTGAAATTCTGAATTTTTGTTCCTTACTATTATAAAATTATTATAAAACAATCAATTAACTCACTAAATCAGGAAAATGTATATTAAAGGGATTGGTTGTGAACTAGAAGGCTTGAAGTTAGCTATATCTACTAGGGCTGTCGCAATATATTGGAAAACAGGTATATCGCAATGCAGGGGTATACATCGTATCATACTACAATACAGAGATGAAATATTGCAGTATCGCAGTCTTTTTCAAAAGCATATTTTTATGTATCTGCTTGGTTAACTTGGGTAACTTTACAAATTACTACAAATTCTAACAGATATGCCAATAAGCATAAAGCAGGCTTTTAATAGTTCAAATTTTGTAATCGATGGTTTGTTTGACAAAAATCTTAAATCTATGTAATCCATATTATATATGATTAAGTTTGATAACATTCTGACGCCAACTTATAATAAAATTGAGCACATCCTTCCTATGACAAAATATCGGGATACGTATCGCAATATATTCATTCTGTAATGCACTATATCGTGATACACTCTTGGCGTATTGCGACACCACTAATATCTACCCATATCCCATATAGTTCAATTCACACATGTGCAAAAGTCTCGCAGGCAGATTGGGAAAAGTGAAGCTCATTTTTGAAAAACAAATAACACAAGTTAACCGAAACTACCTGCCATAAAAATTAGAAAAGATTACGTGAAGATCAATTTCATAGATATAGTGCTGTTGATTGAAAGATTATCCGAGTAATATGTGAGAAAAGTGATAACTTTCTGTCAGTTCTGCTTTTGTCCGACAATATTTCCGATGTTTTGCAACAACAAATTTGTAGTTTAAACAGTTAATACAAAAATAATGCAAGTTAACTAAATAAACCATCACACATTATGTGAAAATAACTTGTTTTTTTATGTTATGCCATTGCATTTCAAATGATTGGTTAACTACTTGGGGAGAAAGATGGTTAACACGACATCATGGATTTATTACGAGTTTTTTCATGTTTATGTGAAATACTGTCTTCAGAAAATAACAAAAAATACAACACTAAATTTTCACATTTAACCATGAGATAATAAAGCCATCAATGTAGCATGGTTTCCACTGAGCTAAAGGGAAATTGTCTAGACAAAGCCAGTAATTATACATGGGGACTTTGACACTAGTATAGCATGTAGTACACAATATCACAAAGTCAGTAGAAGAAAGACCAATAGCCCAAGTTTCCTCTGGCCGGGCCCCCCCCTAACACCAGACCTAGACATTTGTACATATAGGTGTCTGGTGGAATCTAGGTCAAAACGGCCTCACTGTAAAAACGGCCCTAGTGAAAACGGCCCTAGTTGAAACCGCCCTACTTATAAAATCTTGTTATACAATTTGATTTGATTTTTAATGAAGTTAGCAACCTGTAACAGATAAAGTTAAGAATAATGTAAGTACGTGTGACATGTACGTGTAGTTATTATTTACATAAGTTTAAATAAATTGCTAAGTATAACGGGACGTATATGTATATATGAACATTGATGTATATTTAAATATTTCAATACAGCCAATTTATTCAAATATACATCAATGTTCATATATATACATAAATACGTCCCGTTACACTTTGCTTTTTGATATGTATTCGATCGCAACATGTGGTTTTAAGTGTACCCATATCTCTGAAATTGTAGTATATTTATGTATATATATATATGGACATTGATGTTTATTTAAATAAATTGCTGAATATAATGGGACGTGTATATATATATGAACATTGATGTATATTTAAATAAATTGCTAAGTACAAGTGGGACGTATATACATGTATATAAACATTGATGTATATTTAGATAAGTTGCTAAATACAACGGGACGTATATATATATGAACATTGATGTATATTTGAATAAATTAGCTGTATTGAACTAAGAAGTCCAAAATAAAACACAAACATTCTGATTTTTGTTTGTTTTTTTGTCTTTTCGTCATTCTGTTTCTTATTTATTTCGTTTCATGGTATTTATCGTTGTTTCGTCTTTTCGTTATAGAATGTATCGTTTTTTCGTCTTTTCGTTATTTAGCTATGGCGTTATTTCGCTTTGGCGGGTTTTCGTCGTTACGTTTTTTCGCTTGGGGTTATTTCACGGGCGACAAAGCGAATAGACAAAAAGCCACCATAGATAACACTGCCGCACACTAACATGTCGTCGATGCTGGTCTCATGGTTGAAAGTCTCATTCAAATTCAAATGATATGTGAAGATTTGCTATACATCCGTCCAATTTATTACACCCTCTGACCAATCCCGTTAATTGTAGTTTTAATTGAGTCACTCCGAGGTACTCTTTTAAAACAACAAAGACCCTCATCCCATATTTAAATTATTATTAGTTATTATCATAACTTTTTTAAATATTTTTTTTCTCTAAATAATTAAATTGAATTAAATACTGAGGTAGAAAACACTGCCATTGCAAAGGTATATGAGACTGAGGAGGGTTAACGATCAAACATAATTATAATATTTTTATCTGTACATGTACATATCTTTATTTCTTGAAAGCGCATGTAACTTTATTAACATAATATCAAGTTATGTATTTGTATTATGCACTTGTAGTACTTGCAGTACTTTACAGTATATACTATATATAGGGTGGGTCCGTTTTCACTGGGGCCATTAATGCAGTGAGGCCGTTTTAACCGGATACGATCTGGTGTGGGCCCAGAGCGTACTGCTATATGAAAACGTGGGAGGAAACTCGGGCTAAAAGACCAAGGGACCAGTCATCCTATATACATTTCTGACTAAACATTGAAAGCATTTGTGCTTTTGAAAAGTTCAGTTTGGATTAAAATCTTATATATAAAAATTGCTGGCAGCCAAAGAAAAGTATTATCCTCTTGTTGTGGACACAGGACAGCTTTGCTTTGAACCACAAATTCAGGAATTCTTACAGGCAAAAGGAGAGTGACGTATGCATTATCTCAGTTTGTGTGAAAACAGCGTTTCGTGGGAAAGAACACTTTTTTTTCCTTTTCAACGACTTAGTAGTGGGCTGAACGTTTGGTATTTGATATAAAGACATGAGGGAGATTTTAAACCCATTTCAATATGTAATGCAGTCATCTTGTTTGAGACAAGAGCCTATAGCTAGGTCATATGGGAAATAGATTAACTACATGTATGCTCTACTTCTATATACTTCTGCATTAAATGAGTACGTGTCCCAAGTACAATATACCTATCAATGTAATTGTTGGTTGAAGTATTGGTACAATTTAGTAATGTAGTAGTGAAGACTCAGGGTTGGTAAGTTTTTGAATGAATATGCTATTTTCTTAAATCGATATTATGTTTTCGTTCATTTTTACTTTTAAAACCACTACTGTTCAATAAAAAACGTACCAATTATTCATATCTAAGAAAAAAGCACATCCTGCTGGTGTCAGCTGATTTGGACCCAGCAGCTTCTGAAAATCCGAAATCAACACTTCTCTGTCCGTTGTTCCCATGGAACTAAACTGCTGAAGCAGTTTTCCATCAATGTCATTATCTACATCCATTTTTGTTTCACACTAAATAAATCGTATTCTCTTGTCTTGAAAGCAAGACGTAAAAAATCTTATTTCATCATCACAACACCGAAAATTTTCAGACTCTTGCGTGTTGAGCTGCGTCAATGTTGAGCTTGTATCTTACTTTTACTATAATGATAAAAAGCCCGTAGCATGCAAACGCTCGTAAAACCCCACACGAAACGTCAACGTTAAATTGTAATAAAAAAGTGGAGAAGAATCCGGAAATTTTACGATTTATTATAAAAAATAGATATTGAACTATTTTATATGCAAAATAATCCAGTTCATTTTCCTCCTTTATTTTTTTTTAATATAATAATCATATAGTTCTCCTCCCCTTCGTTTTTTCGAATTACTTCAGACATTTCTGGTGGTTTGCAACATAGGTGCTGGACACACATATCTAAAATATGATGCGTATATACTATATAATAGTATAACACATCATATATTGTAGCACCTGTGATTTGCAACTTTGCCATGACAGCATGTACCACTGCCAGAAACTGGAACTATGTATGATTTTTTTTTTGCCGGGACTGTCTATATAGCTTTGATATATTTAAAGAAACGATAACTTGCAGCAATTAATATAAGCTCTACGGTTGTTTTCCCATATCCCTCTAAAATCACACAGAATCTACTGCAACAACTATACTTTTTATATGTGAAAAGTAATACTACATACTCAAATCAAATTTTGCAAACACGAAATAGTATTGGGTTTCGAAAAAATATTTTTGATATGCAATATTATTTCATAAAGTCATTTTTTTGGGGTATGCAAAATTCAGTTTTGGACTATGCGATTCAATTTTTACAAAGTAAAGAAAAACATTTTAATACTAATAGAAATAATTGTGATGCACTTCAAGAGCAACATGTTTTCACACCTGTGTTCATAAATTTTGTAATGACTCGTACGAACCAGTAAAGATGGATATATTTCATTAAATGGTGGAAGGGGAGAATTGTTCTTGACCCCATGACCTAGATATCGGGTAGAAAGCAGGAATTAAGTGCTATACAATACGTCATATATAACCATGATTCGATACTCACATCTTAGAAAATTCCTTACGAAATATTAACACCTCGGTGCTTATTATAAACATCACGTACATTCCTTCATCATGAATTGACCTTTGACCGATGCGGACGCGGGAGTTTTACATGACACATAATTAGGTTATTACATGCACAACTATGACGTTTCCTTCCGAAGTCATAAAGCAATCAGATGTTATAATGATACCGGTCAATATTCAACCTGTGGCCCTTGCCATGACCTTGACCTTTAGGACAGGAATCTGTATGAGAGCAAAACACCATGTATATCCTGACGCATACACATCTATGATGTTACGTTACAAAATCTTTGCCGATTGAAAGTTTACGGCGCTAATGTATAGCCGCTCACACCGCTTCTATGACTCTTAGTTGAGGGTTCAATATCGATGCTTTCTTTAGGTGCCTTCTCGGTGTACGTGCTTAAATTGCTATTTAAAACATATCTAATGGTTGACCTCCTGCTTCACACGTTACGTATGTGTGTCTGGGGTGAATACACATTTCTTGAGATCTTTATATTATTCACTTTGATTTTCAATAAAAAGGCAAGTCTAAAGACCAAAATTCTATTGGCAGAATTCGGCAAGTCTAGAGACCAAAATTCTATTGGCAGAATTCGGCAAGTCTAAAGACCGAGATTCTATTGGAAGAACTCGGCAAGTCTAAAGATCAAAATTCTATTGGCAGAACTCAGCAAGTCTAAAGACCAAGAGTCCATTGGGAGAATTCGGCAAGTCTAAAGACCAAAATTCTATTGACAGAATTCGACAAGTCTAAAGACCAAAATTCTATTGGCAGAACTCGACAAGTCTAAAAACCAAGAGTCCATTGGCAGAATTTGGCAAGTCTAGAAACCAAAATTCTATTGGCAGAATTCGACAAGTCTAAAGACCAAAATTCTATTGGCAGAACTCGACAAGTCTAAAGACCAAGAGTCCATTGTCAGAATTCGGCAAGTCTAGAAACCAAAATTCTATTGGCAGAATTCGGCAAGGCTAGAGACCAAAATTCTATTGGCAGAATTCGGCAAGGCTAGAGACCAAAATTCTATTGGCAGAATTCGGCAAGGCTAGAGACCAAAATTCTATTGGCAGAATTCGGCAAGGCTAGAGACCAAAATTCTATTGGCAGAATTCGGCAAGGCTAGAGACCAAAATTCTATTGGCAGAATTCGGCAAGGCTAGAGACCAAAATTCTATTGGCAGAATTCGGCAAGTCTAACGACCGAGATTCTATTGGCAGAATTCGGCAAGGCTAGAGACCAAAATTCTATTGGCAGAATTCGGCAAGTCTAGAGACCAAAATTATATTGACAGAATTCGGCAAGTCTAAAGACCAAAATTCTATTGGCAGAACTTGGCAAGTCTAAAGACCAAGAGTCCATTGGCAGAATTCGGCAAGTTTAGAAACCAAAATTCTATTGGCAGAATTCGGCAAGTCTAGAGACCAAAATTATATTGGCAGAATTCGGCAAGTCTAAAGACCGAGATTCTATTGGCAGAATTCGGCAAGTCTAAAGACCAAAATTCTATTGGCAGAACTCGGCAAGTCTAGAGACCAAAATTATATTGACAGAATTCGGCAAGTCTAAAGACCAAAATTCTATTGGCAGACCTCGGCAAGTCTAAAGATCAAGAGTCCATTGGCAGAATTCGGCAAGTTTAGAAACCAAAATTCTATTGGCAGAATTCGGCAAGTCTAGAGACCAAAGTTCTATTGGCAGAATTCGGCAAGTCTAAAGACCGATATTCTATTGGCAGAATTAGGCAAGTCTGACCAAAATTCTATTAGCAGAACTCGGCAAGTCTAAAGACCAAGAGCTAGTCCATTGGCAGAATTCGGCAAGTCTAGAGACCAAAATTCTATGGGCAGAATTCGGCAAGTCTAAAGACCGAGATTCTATTGGCAGAATTCGGCAAGTCTAAAGACCAAAATTCTATTGGCAGAACTCGGCAAGTCTGAAGACCAAGAGTCCATTGACAGAACTCGGCAAGTCTAAAGACCAAATTTCTATTGGCAGAACTCGGCAAGTCTAAAGACCAAGAGTCCATTGGCAGAATTCGGCAAGTCTAAAGACCGATATTCTATTGGCAGAATTAGGCAAGTCTGACCAAAATTCTATTGGCAGAACTCGGCAAGTCTAAAGACCAAGAGCTAGTCCATTGGCAGAATTCGGCAAGTCTAGAGACCAAAATTCTATTGGCAGAATTCGGCAAGTCTAAAGACCGAGATCCTATTGGCAGAATTCGGCAAGTCTAAAAACCAAGAGTCCATTGGCAGAATTCGGCAAGTCTAAAGACCAAAATTCTATTGGCAGAACTCGGCAAGTCCAAAGACCGAGATTGTTTTGGCAGAATTCGGCAAGTCAAGAGACCAACATTCTTTCGCAGAATTCGGCAAGTCTAGACCAAAATTCCATTGGCAGAATTCGGCAGGTCTAAGGACCAAGATTTTATTTATCTTGTTATTCCATTCTGTAACCAGAGCCGTATAAAACGTAGTGTGATTCACGTATCTTGCCACTCTCTCCTGTAAAAAGAGCCGTACAAAACGTAGTGTGGTTCACATATCTTGTCACTCCCTCCTGTAACAAGAGACGTATAAAACGTAGTGTGTTTCACATATCTTGTTACTCCCTCCTGTAACCAAAGCCGTAAAACGTAGTGTGCTTTACGTATCTTGTCACTTCTTCCCGTTACCAGAGACGTATGAAACGTGGTGTGGTTCACGTATCTTGTCACTCCCTCCTGTAACCAGAGACGTATAAAATGTAGTGTGCTTCACGTATCTTGTCACTCCCTCCTGTAACCAGAGACGTATAAAACGTAGTGTGATTCACGTATCTTGTCACTCCCTCCTGTAACCAGAGCCGTAGAAACATAGTGCGCTTCACGTATCTTGTCACTCCCTCCTGTAACCAGAGACGTATAAAACGTAGTGTGCTTTACGTATCTTGTCATGATCACTCCCTCCTGTAACCAGAGACGTATAAAACGTAGTGGGATTCACGTATCTTGTCACTCCCTCCTGTTACCAGAGCCGTAGAAACATAGTGTGCTTTACGTATCTTGTCACTCCCTCCTGTAACCAGAGCCGTAGAAAACGTAGTGCGCTTTACGTATCTTGTCACTCCCTCCTGTAACCAGAGACGTATAAAACGTAGTCTTAATATCATGTCACTCTTCTCAGTAACTGGCAACATATCTTTTCACTCTTGGTTACAGTAAATCTATTATGTCAGTCTGCTGTTGTAGGTAATATAGCCCTGTCATTTTACTAATATCAAAGAGTTATAGCCTCATTGTAGTCATCAAGGTGTCTGTTTGTAAGAAAAAGAGGTTCGAAAGCTTGCATTTAAGACAAGGTGCTAAGTACAAAGAGAGTATCATATGCCATTTCAAAAATCAACAAAAGGTCATGTCATTTTAAAGACCCCCTCAGATAAAAACACAAAACAAAATACCAAAAGTTAATGAGAGCAGACAACAGTTTTTGAAGCAATTCAAATTTATTGTTTACATCAAACTGATACTCAGGATGGTAATGGAATATCATTAGTAAAAACATTCAATAATTCAAAAACCATTTCATTTTATACATAATAAAAAATAATTTTGTCTTGTCTTTTTATTAGCAATTTCATGTCCTGAGCATATAGCTTTTTAAACAAAAGCAATGTTTTGATTGTACACAAATACAAACCATGATCATGAAGTAGATACCAAACCAAGGGCAAATATTAAAAGATTTCTTGTCCTCACTGAGTAGAACTTCTTTATAAAAAAATATTTGTATACAAAGGTCATTCCATGATACATTCTGTCTATTTTTTTACTGTGTTTTAAACAACTCTAAAATACATGGTAGATACGTAATGAAATGTATATTAACACTTTAATAAAACATAATGTATCAAATACTCAAGAGTGATTCTTAATCATTCAGAAAGATCAGCATTAAATATCACAAATCATGTTTCGAGTTTTCCCAGATTCAGCATTAAGCACCAACACATCTAGTTGTTATATGTCAAGCTGACCAAAAGTAGACCAGTAATTTCTGACGAATATCAAACACACACACACACACACACACACACACGCGCACACAGATTTTATTAGAGTGTTAATTATTCTAATTTGAAAAAAAACTGAAATAGTTACAATTAACTTGTAGACAGCACATTCTGTAACATTATTTCTTAAATGTCATCATAAAAATAGGTAAAATTTTGGATGTCAAAAACACTGCAATGTTTGCTGGGAGGTATAAATAGACCCACTAGAGACTTACACAAGTTCTGTGCAAAATATCACTGATAAATAGATAAATCATCTATAGATAAAATTCATTTAGATATTATAATTCATAATGGATTAAAATCCTAAACAGAAATATGATCGCTATGTATCACTCCACTCATATATGAATTAATATTTTGGAACTAAAACTTCATTGATATTTAATTCATGAGAAGTTCAAATAAACAAACAAATTATCAGAATATATCCCTCATAAATAAATGAATAACTAATAAACAAAATTCATAGCTATTGATATTACCCTGGTTACATTTCACAACGAGGTTAAAGTTATAGACTAAAAGACTACACATGTAGGTACCGGTACATACCAAAAAATTCAGTGAAGCCTGTATTAATTGACTCTCATTGAGATTCAATGCACTGCTTGATTAGACAAGGTGTATCAACATAGGTTTTCTGGGGATGTCCATACAAATTATAGCAGTATGTGGTGTGTACGTCGGAATATAGTAGGGTCAGATTACACAGGTTTCACTGTACACAAACAGTTTAAGAATTTTATTTGTAAACAATAATAAAGAAAATAATAAATTAAATCACAACTGAAATTAGATACATGTGTAACAGGTAAGAGAATAGTGTGCTTCCACCGGGGATTGAACCATCAATCTCCAGGTCCTAGTCCCACCCTCTACCTCTGAGCTAAAGGGAAATTCCCTCTAGCTTGAAGCTAGTAGGGGACCTTAATCCTATGTACAATTAAAACCTGCCACACTACTCCCCCAGTTTTAAATGTGTTCGCCCTCGAACACCACAACCCAGGTTCTAACTCCCTATCACCACAGAGAGGCCACAGACACCATTTGTAACAGGAAAGAGAATAGTGTGCTTCCACCGGGGATCAAACCCTCGATCTCCAGGTTCCTAGTCGGACACTCTAACACTGAGCTAAAGGGAAATTCCCTCTAGCTCGAAGCTAGAAGGCGACTGTAATCCTTTGTACAAACCTACCACACATGTAACAGGGAAACAGAACAAAGAGTTACCAGCACTTTTACATCATAAACCATTGTAAAAATATTAGTTGCAATAGTTAGTATAACTGTTGATATATACATTTTATCATCATAAACAATGTATGGTTAATTAGGATTAAAAGTGACAGCAAGGGGATGTTTAACAAAGGGTAACATTGACACCACTTAACACTAGTAAAAAACATTAACATGTAACATTCACTATTGAATATTCTTGGTAAATTTAAATTGGGGATAATTTAAAACATGCACACAAATGATTGTTATAATACAATTGTACCAGGTTACATTATATTTCCTCGACAAACCAGTTGTAAATTATTGCATGCAATTTGAAAAATTATCATATACAACAGTCTATCAACTGTGATTAATAACACCAAAACCAAAAATACTTATTACAACAAAACCTAACAAAGTACATGTACAGGTAAATAATCAATACCATACATGTAGTGTTGGTTAAAAAAGAGTCACTTTCCAAACTTGTGTATACATTTATAGAATGAATTAAAAAAATCATTAACGATTCATTAAACCAGATTATTTATCACTGAATGATAAACAAACGCTTTTCTGTAACTAGTCGACAAAAGTTTCTAAAGTGAAACAACTCCTTTTGGAAAAGATTTTTAACTTTTGCTTTTTTAAATGTTCACATCTTGTCATATATAAATTGACTATCCGCTACATCAGTATCTGCCAATGAATGGGAGAGGATGGAGTTCGTTGCCCAAGGTCTTCTCTATGAATTGCTCCCACTTGTACTGCCATCGGTAAATGGCACTCATCTTCTCCGAAGGTGACAAGGCGCTGTATCTGGAAAAGTGCAAAGGAATTCACAGTTAGATGAGGCTAATGAATAATTCTATTGAGAATAGACATGTCTTTCTCAGTTACTTACTGGAGTGTGAAATCAAAGTTTTCCTTTTTACACAAACAATGTACATGTACAAAACAAACAAATAAAAACTACATATTAACATACATTGTAATACGTACATTGTTTGTGTAGTAAGTAAAACTTTGATATCACAAACACATGTATTTCAAAACTGATGAATCTTATAGAAGATTTTACTGGAGTGTGATTCAGCTCATTTAAGGTAGAGCTATATGAACTAGCAATAGTTCCAGATTTCACTTAAATTGGATCAGTGTGTTAGTGACCTCTAATTTGTATGAGATGCTACCTCGATGCAAGCATCTGGAGGTCAGTCTTACCATATTACCATATTACTATATATCTTAATGTACTGTGTTATCCAGTGAATATACCCATGTCATATTTTTATGCGTATTAACCCATGTTATATGACCTGTCAGCCCTGTGATTGGTTGTAAGCTTCAATTGTTTCAATTGTGCCGTCACGCCTAGGACAATTAAGTTAAAACATGACGTCACAGACTTACGCACTGGAGTCAAAAAGGTGGCTTTTTACATTTCAAGGTTACATGAAAATTGTCGTTTTACACAAATAAATGCCACAAATCTTGATTATGTGATAAAAAGGATCTTACACTCGTTTCCATTTCATATGAAATTTATGAAACTCGTCAAAAAATTTTCATTTTAGCTCGTCAGAGGCTTGCTCAATTGAAAAGTTCTTAGACTCGTCTCATAAATCTCATATGAAATGGAAACTCATGTAAGATCCTATATATATAAGCCCAGGGGAGCCAACATATAATCTGTAACTCATGATCAAAGAAAGGGGTGGGCTTACTATCAGACAATTAGGTTTGTTGCATTTCTATTGAACTGTAAAATATGTGGGTGGGCTTATTACAGGTATGGGCTTATTGCTGGTTAAATTCTATAACACATAAACTTTTATCAGGATCTTACTCCTGTATTCTTTGCTAAAGGGGTTGTTAAGGTACCACAACTGACCTGCTGCCTCCATTAAAATACATATCATATTTTATCTTTCTCTCTCTCTCTGCTTTACTTTTATTCTTTTGATAATATTTCTATCGACCATCGAAATATCAAAAGGCCAAAGGGCCTTATTAGCTCACCTGAAAACAGGCAAATATTTTGTGATGAGAGTCTTTATATATATTTCCCTACTCGACAGGGCTCATTTTCTAAATATTTGTCATATCTTTTTATCTACCAGATATATACGTTTCCCTTGGTCTAGGAATCTTCTTTCAACCAAGTTCTGCAGTCACAAATCTCCATTTATACATGGTTGAGTCCCATGGGTCCAAGGATGCTCCAGACTAATCTTAGATAAAATCCCTTTTTCCGAACCCAAGAAGTAGGATTTTTAAAGATTTACACTATATCCCTATTGGGCCCCACTCCAGATCAGAGTTAGTCAAAAACCCTTTTATTTAGCTGTTCTGGACTAGTAGCATTTTAGAGGAAAGTTTACAAAGGATGGACAGTGAAAAGATGATGCGCTTCGTCATGACCTCACTTCAGACCAAGTGAGCTAACAATTCACACCATTTACAATGTCCATTAGACTACTAGACTCTTCCTTACCTTTGGGTTGAGACAGAAATAAATCTACCTAAGGGATAAGATTTTCAAGGTCTACCCCAAGGCTCTGCAGATAGCTGGATATTTAAAACTCTTACTGAGAGATGAGATTTGTGTTCAATCCAAAACCACGAAAAACTAATTTCTCCCACCCACTTTTCCTAGCGGTATTGCTGTCCCTGTTGACTCTACTACATGTACCATTGAATATCTGTGTTTACTTTCTCATCCTGTTCAGCATGTGTAGCTGATGTCTGCACCTTAGGACATGGACAGACAAATTCTGTCATGGGAAAACTGAAAGTAAATCTCTTTTAGGTAGGAGAAAAACAAATCCTCCTATGTACTCTGTCACTTACTCTAGTGAATTGATGGCTAGTTTTTTCAGCATTGCCAAATCAGCATCAGCACCAGCCAGACCCATAAACGCCATGTAGAAGTCGTACGACAGTCCACGGGCTCCCCACACTGAAGGATCATCAGCACTGATTACCACTGGAAAACCCTGGGCGATGAGGCTGGCTGCAGGGTGATTCCTTAGGTCATCCACTAGTTTTAAAACCTGGAGAAAAATGAAAGTTCATACGTTAAAGAGATACAGGTCAGAAATAAGCTTTTTTCAGATATGTTCTTCACAAACATATCTTAGCGATTTGCTGCCTTAATTCACTTCCATCTTTGTCAGATATTTGTTGTCTTATAACATGCTATGCTTTTTGAAATCTATTGAACTTGTTCTTTATTTTTTAACTATAATAATGCAATTTAGATGTTTTAAAACTACAAACTTGGTTATATATTTGTTGACTACTTACCTGGTTATAGACATATGTTAACTTTTAACCTGGTGATATGTCAATGTTAACCTCTTGCCTGGTTATATGTTTAACTACATGTATAACATACAGTACTAACCTGGTTAGATATGGGATTAACCTCTACAGCTATTCCTTTATTCTTGACAAGCCTCATCGTCTCGGGGTGTTTAGTTAATGCGTAGCCGTGGCCGATACGACTTGTGTTAAGGAGGACAGCATCTATGAGGTTGTTGTCAGTGGGTGTCCCCTCCCAGTCTGTAAAATATAAAGGTCAAGCAAAGGTCAATGCAATACAATACTGTTTCCCGGGAAATATTCGCTGCAGTTTGATTTTCGCCTTTTTCGCCCTCCTTAATAAATGGTAAATTTATGATAACAGCGAACATAGTAATATCGCATGCATTTGAAGGGCAAAATTCCCACTGGGTATATACATTTTTCTGGCAATGGGCGAAAGTTTGGCTGGGCGAAAATTCCTGGTATACAGAATGAAATGTTAAAACCACATCAAGGTCACATAGAGGTCATAGTAAAATGAGGTCATCGAAATGTTGTAAAACAAAAAAAAGGTCATCAAAAGTCATAGCGAAAGTATCTTGTAAAGTTCAGACATTAAACAAGGGTATGTAAAGAAGGATGCAATATAAAAAATAACAAAACAAATAGCACATAGATAAGCAACAAATCAAACTTTCCACAATTTATTAAGGGTACTTGATAAACACGTTCACACTGAAATAGGAATTCATTTCAACAGGGACAGTATATACGTCCCTGATTTCAATTATTGTCAATTCATAATGCACAGACTTAGGATCCTTGTCCCACTACAGTGGTTTTTGTATATACAGTAATCTCCCCTTAATATTGTCTTGGACAGACATAGCACAACTCGGCCAAAAAGTTTCCCTTGACTAGGTAGCTTTAAAGTCTTTTAGAGCGATAAGATAACAACCTGAAGTTCAGGGTTGGAATCCCGGTCTAACACTGCTTAACTTTTTACACTTACAAAAGTTCACTATAGCTGATTATATTTTGTTCATTTTGTCTTAGTTATTTTTCATAAAAGTCCTGCACCATGTGGTTTTCTTTTAAGAAATGATTTATAAATAGGTTAAGTCGTGCTAGAAAACAGTTGTACGAGGATCCTTATATAATTGGTTAATTTGATAGCATACTTGTCTCCCCTGCATGGAAGAAATAAGGTAATTTGATGTTTTGCTGTGACGGATAGAGTAGGGCACCGAGGTAGTCAATAAGAGGGGTCCCAGGGTCCTCCTGTCCCACCAGGTCATAGCCAGCAAAGACTTGTGGGTACTGTTGTAACATGGCTATAGACTCCTTAACCTGCTGTAGCACATCACTCGTTTTCACAAATCTGAAGGACAAAGTATTGGAAGTTATACAAATATGGGGCCAAAAATATCAGTTATTTGTATTGCAAGTCTGTGGGACAAAATATTACTTATATGTACCACAAATCCGTGGGACAAAATATTAGTTATTTGTATTGCAAGTATGTGGGACAAACTAGTGGATTAAGTACAGTTCAGACAGAGATGTAATATATACATCTCTGGTTGGATACATAAGTACTTCATCCAAAGTTCAACATCTGAAAATCTGCCTGAAATGGAGCAATATAATATTTTCAAATAAGGTTCATGTACATTTAATACTAGCCTAATTTATACTTCACTTACCATTTCTAGTGGTCTGAGCATAAAATATGGTGACATGGATGGAGCTAGTGGATTTTATACTCTTGGTCATAATCATCCTCGATATCCAGGGGTAAAGTTACGCTCACTTTCGCTCTCTACACCCCAGGAATATGTCCTAGCAAAATTGAAGGGTCGTTGTGCGCCACCTTGTTGATGAGACAAGAAGACTAGTTTGATCCTTTGATATACATCAAAAGAATCTTGTGGTAACATTACCAGAAAATTTGACAGGCTTTGAAGTCAGGCGTCTCTCCTTTGTAATCTTCAAAGGACAGGTATAAGCCTAGCGATTGGTCAGTGTTTTTTTACCTGAGATCAATCAAACAGCTATCTTCGTGCCTCAATTTTGCTATGACATATTCCAGGGGTGTAGAGAGTGTAAGTGAGCGTAACCCATGGATATCGAGGATGCAGATATCGAGGGGTCATACATACGGTAATGAGATTGTCAAATATAAATCAAGAGGCCTAGTGGGTTGTTATTGCTCATCTGGCATTCATTTCACATCTATGACCTTCAAGGTTAGTTATGTTCTATTGTATCCTTATAGGCTAGATATCATTGCTCAGCTTCACTAGACAACTTGTTCAGATCCCAAACGTATCACTTTACACCACTATCTGAAAACTGTTGGTCTGTTAAAACAAATTGTCACCATAGCCACTTTTAATATCCAACTTGATGCTTATATTTTCCCTTTCTCTTTGTTTAATGCCATTTTACCTTTTTTTTCATCTACCATTTAAAATTAGCACAAATGACCTCTCCTGTGTTGTTGGGTCTTTAAGCATGTAATATCAATAATAATACACCATTACCCTTCATGCCAAACATCATGATCTTAGGCTGGCGATTTTTTTCATTGAAAAATCATTAAAATTTCAAATTGCTCCTCTGTGACCTTGAAAGTAGGTCAAAGTCATTTAATTGAACGAAAACCCATCTCATCATGATAATGGTTAAATTTAGAAGGAGTCATTCATTTGAAATACCTCTTGGTATTAACAAATCATTTAGTTTTATCCTTCTGACCTTGAACGTGGGTCAAGGCAATTTATTTGAACAAACTTGATTGCCCTTCATCCCTCACAGCTTTTCGTCCCCAACTTGAGACCAGGCCCGATGATGTGACTCCCCATCAAGACAATGGACCTTACCTGTGACCAGACCTGATGATGCGTCTCCCTTTAGAGACAATTGACCTTACCTGTGACCAGATCTGATGATGTGACTCCTCATAAAGACAATGGACCTTACCTGTGACCAGACCTGATGATGCGTCTCCCTTTAGAGACAATGGACCTGACCTGTGACCAGACCTGATGATGCGTCTCCCTTTAGAGACAATTGACCTTACCTGTCACCAGATCTGATGATGTGACTCCTCATAAAGACAATGGACCTTACCTGTTACCAGACCTGATGATGCGTCTCCCTTTAGAGACAATGGACCTTACCTGTGACCAGATCTGATGATGTGACTCCTCATAAGGACAATGGACCTTACCTGTGACCAGACCTGATGATGCGACTCCCCATAAAGACAATGGACCTTACCTGTGACCAGATCTGATGATGTGACTCCCGATAAATACAATGGACCTTACCTGTGACCAGACCTGATGATGCGACTCCCCATAAAGACAATGGACCTTACCTGTGACCAGATCTGATGATGTGACTCACCATAAAGACAAAAGCCATTACCTGAGACCAGATCTGATGATGTGACTCCCCATAAAGACAAAAGACATTACCTGAGACCAGATCTGATGATGTGACTCCCCATAAAGACAATGGACCTTACCTGTGACCAGATCTGATGATGTGACTCACCATAAAGACAAAAGCCATTACCTGAGACCAGATCTGATGATGTGACTCCCCATAAAGACAAAAGACATTACCTGAGACCAGATCTGATGATGTGACTCCCCATAAAGCCAAAAGACATTACCTGAGACCAGATCTGATGATGTGACTCCCCATAAAGACAATGGACCTTACCTGAGACATGACCTGATTGTGACTCCCGATAAATACAATGGACCTTACCTGTGACCAGACCTGATGATGCGACTCCTCATAAAGACAATGGACATAACCCGAGACGACAACTGATGATGCGACTCCCTATAGAGACAATGAACCTTACCTGAGGCCAGACCTGATGATGTGACTCCCCATACAGACAATGGACCTTACCTGTGACCAGATCTGATGATGTGACTCCCCATAAAGACAAAAGACATTACCTGAGACCAGATCTGATGATGTGACTCCCCATAAAGACAATGGACCTTACCTGTGACCAGACCTGATGATGTGACTCCCTATTAAGACAATGGACCATTCCTGAGGCCAGACCTGATGATGTGACTCCCCATAAAGACAATTGACCTTACCTGAGGCCAGATCTGATGATGTGACTCCCCATAAAGACAATTTACCTTACCTGAGGCCAGATCTGATGATGTGACTCCCTATAAGACAATGGACCTTACCTGTGACCAGATCTGATGATGTGACTCCCCATAAAGACAACGGACCTTTCCTGTGACCACACCTGATGATGCAACTCCCTATTAAGACACTGGACCATTCCTGAGGCCAGACCTGATGATGTGACTCCCCATAAAGACAACGGACCTTTCCTGTGACCACACCTGATGATGCAACTCCCTATAAAGACAATGGACCATTCCTGAGGCCAGACCTGATGATGTGGCTCCCCATAAAGACAATGGACCTTACCTGTGACCGGACCTGATGATGTGACTCCCCATAAAGACTCTGGACCTTACCTGAGCCCACAACTGATGATGTAACTCCCTATAAAGAAAATGGACCTTACCTGTGACCAGACCTGATGATATGACTCCCTATAAGACAATGGACCTTACCTGTGACCAGAGCTGATGATGAAACTCCCTACAAAGACAATTGACCTTACCTGTGACCAGATCTGATGATGTGACTCCTCATAAAGACAATTGACCTTACCTGAGGCCAGACCTGATGATGTGACTCCCCATACAGACAATGGACCTTACCTGTGACCAGATCTGATGATGTGACTCCTCATAAAGACATTTGACCTTCCCTGTGACCAGACCTGATGATGTGACTCCACATAAAGACAATGGACATAACCCGAGACGACAACTGATGATGTAACTCCCTATAAAGAAAATGGACCTTACCTGTGACCAGACCTGATGATGCGTCTCCCTTTAGAGACAATGGCCCTTACCTGTGACCAGACCTGATGATATGACACCCCATAAAGACAATGGACCTTACCTGAGACATGACCTGATGATGTGACTCCCTATAAAGACAATGGACCTTACCTGGGACCACACCTGATGATGCAACTCCCTATAAAGACAATGGACCATTCCTGAGGCCAGACCTGATGATGTGACTCCCCATAAAGACAATGGACCTTACCTGTGACCAGAGCTGATGATGTAACTCCCTACAAAGACAATTGACCTTACCTGTGACCAGACCTGATGATGTGACTCCTCAAAATGACAATGGACCTTACCTGTGACCAGACCTGATGATGTGACTCCTCAAAATGACAATGGACCTTACCTGTGACCAGACCTGATGATATGACTCCCTATAAGACAATGGACCTTACCTGTGACCAGACCTGATGATGTGACTCCCCATAAAGACAATGGACCTTACCTGAGACATGACCTGATGATGTGACTCCCTATAAAGACAATGGACCTTACCTGTGACCAGACCTGATGATATGACTCCCTATAAGACAATTGACCTTACCTGTGACCAGATCTGATGATGTGACTCCTCATAAAGACAATTGACCTTACCTGAGGCCAGACCTGATGATGTGACTCTCTATAAAGACAATTGACCTTACCTGAGGCCAGACCTGATGATTCGAGCACCTGTAAAATCTGGGTAGTCTTTCAAAAACTGGTCCAGATTCTGTTTGTAAGTCTCCATCACCCATGTTCTGTTGTCAATAGTACTGCCATCTAAATTGTAGACCTAGTATGGGATACAAGGAGCATTGTGATTAGTCAATAATTGTTACATGTGTATATTTATACTTGTAAACAGTTGTTAAATTTAACACAGATGCATATCTATGATCATATTGTTGGTACAAAGTTATCCATGATCAAAGCAGTGCTATATATTAACGATAAGAAAGTTCTTACTTTTATGTTGATAAGATCGGCCTATTGTAATTGTCATAATAATTCAGTGCAACATGTTACATTCATAAAATTGTTATATAGATTTTATCAAACAAACTTACCACAGGAAGCAATGCCCTTGTTTCTAGATATTGAACATTATCCTCATGAAATTCTTTCAGGGACTCGTAAAAATATTTTCCAAACACGGGTGCATAGTTGATGAGTCCATTAGCCACATCCAAGATTCTAAGGAACTCCTTCCAAACAACGTCTATGGTGGGGTAAGTCTTTACAGGGTCAGGCACGATCAGGGACATACTGTTGTACAACCTACAAATACATTACAGAGTTTCAACGCAATATCTCGAATTACCTGAGCTTTGAATAAATTTAGACCTTAGAAGAAGATCTTTAAAATGATACATGATGACTTCATAATGATGATACATGTACCTATTGGAAGTTTAAGTTTTGTTGAAATATATATAACGTACTTAACATAATGGTCTTGAGAATTACACTATCTTGAGGTAACGGCCATGTTTTGTAATGTATTTACTATGGTAATTAAGTCAGAAGTTGGGAGCCTGATATGGTAATTCAAATAATTTGAATGTTTATCTGTATAATGACCTTCAGCATATAAAACGAAGATACACAACAGATGTTCTGGGAATGATAAATATCTTCTGAATGTGAACTGTACTTACATTTGGTCAAATTGCTCTGTATTTGGAGCGGTTTGTCTCTCTGTGGCAATCAATTTCCATGGGCAACCTGGTACAAAAAGGAAAAATTTGAAAGAATGCTCTTTTGAGTACATCCACCTGTGTATTTTCATACACAATTTGCAAAGAATTTTGTAAAATAGAAATCAATTGTTCTGATACATAAATTGTATGCATGAAATGTCATTTTCATCAGGAAGAAGCACTCACTTCAAGAATTGAATTTATAAAAAGTACAAAAAAAATGCAAAATAAAAGCTTTAATTGTTTTAGCTAAACCTGGAAAGTTTCCACTGTTTATAAATTTCTCAAAAAAACATTCGATTCACAAGTACATTTAGTTTCAATATTGAATTTTAAACTGATAAAATTAATGTTATTTGATGATTTTCACCTACCTAGATTTAAATTTTCACCTACCTGGATTTAAATTTTCACCTACCTAGATTTAAATTTTCACCTACCTAGATTTAAGTTTTCATCTACCTAGATTTAAATTTTCACCTACCTGGATTTAAATTTTCACCTACCTGGATTTGAAGGAGGAGTTTGAAAGAAGTGGAACTGAATATGATTGTTTTGATCTGTACACATGTAGCAATGATCCATGTAGGTGACTGTCTTCACAAGCCAGGTGATATCAGCCATGGAACAGTCATGTAGATGGAGGGCGCCACCTACAACACAGACAAAGTGTTAATGTAATTAACAACCAATGCATTAATGACTGGCAATAGCCAGGCTGTCAATAAACATGAACAACCATATTGTAGAATATTGACAATAGTCGTGACCTGCTATAGCATCATGGCCATTTGTGTGGGGCACACTCTGTTCCTTCAGTGGACATGAAAAAGGTGCATATTTTTGTAGGTCACCTGCCCGAACGGCTGAGTATTTAAACTGTAATTAAGTCATATTAACAAGTATCAGCTGGTTGTATATTAATCATTAGCATCATCAGCAAATGTCAAATACTGGTAATTTATACACAATAGTATTGTGATGTCCATTTTTTCTGCTCTTTTCAAAATATGTTCTTGGTTCATTTACATGTTACATAGAAAATCTTCTGTAATTTCAACATGGCATTCACTATGTCAAGGTCGTTATGTTTTCATTAAAATTGAACGTAAGAAGTGATAGATAAAGCAATTCTTTTCATCAGTGTTTTTGTTACCTAAATTTTACAACAGCCTGTTCCTTTATAAATTTGGAAAATATAACATTATTTGTATTGAAATTTGGAATATATTCCTCAGTTTGCCCGCTCTCTCTACTTTTGAGGGAGACTCACAAGTTTGGAACCTAAAAATGAACATTTTCAGCCAGTACATTTCCTTGCTATTCCTACATACAGAACAACTCGAAAGACGCTATTTAAAGTGTTATTTTTTAAAGGGTATATACAAACATTATATTTGTGTTATAGTTTTGAGAAGGGAAAATCTCCCCCATGGAAATATCTAGTGGTATAACAGCTGGACTACTATTAAGGTCAGAGGAGTGTATTGCTAAGCGCAAATAGGAAGTACATCCCTAGTTGAAAACCCAATGTAGGGAGACAGTATCACAATTTCCGCATATTCTAATGAATATTGTATGTTGTTTATTGACAGAACAGTGTGTTCTTTCAATATTAAAGTATTTCAAAGCAATCCAGGCATTAATTCAGTTGTTTTTTAATCAATGAGTTACATATGCATGTGTCCATTTTTCTGTACTTCAGGAAACCGGCTACCTATTTCACTACTGTGAAGTTTTTCAAGTACGATAACACTTACATGCAATTACTATGTGTATATGGTTTTATTATAAAATGTCAATTTTTTATCTTTTATAGATAATTAATTTTACACAATTTCAGAATTTATGAAATTGATATACATTAATGCAATACTAGTCTATGTCAGTATCATTTTTATTGACATTATTTTTCAAAAAATTGTGGTTCATTTTTTTTTCAAAATTAACTCTTTTTTACATAAATTTCTAATTAAAATCCTTAAAATTCTGACAACCTATATTTTTTTTGTGTGGCAGAACATTTTCTTTACTTCAAAGCAATATAACTACAAAATTTGAAGAAATTCTACTGAGAAATGGTGACACAATCCTATTACCTTAATATATATATCAAGACTACTAAGACTACGGATTAAGTCAGAATGTAAGTGCCTGTGTGATGAATTATCAAATGTACCAGGATGTGTTGATGAATAAAAGTACCTTCAAACATGTGTGTTAGAAACCACCTATGGAAAGTCCAAAAAATGGTCTCTTGATACAAGGTCAATTCACAATGAAACCACTTAAATAGGGAATTTTAAAGTGGTCTCTTAACACAGTTAGTCCCTTAACTCATTCACCCCTGAAGACACATTTGAACTCTTCTAATTCAAAGGTTGGAATAGTTCATTGTGAAATTTCAGGGGTGAATGAGTTAATGGAGGTGGTCTTATGAGCAAGTTTGACTTTATACAGATATGTACAATCGTCATGTTTGTACTCTGGCTGGCCTCTGTTACTTACACTAATTAAGTTACGCAAATCAATGGAGGTCAGTAATTTTATAACCAAAGATGAATGAAAGGACCTCGATAAGGCAATATTTGAGCAGGATGAACAAATGTGAAATATCAACACACGTCTACATATATCAACCCAACTGATTAGAACGTTCCTTCATGATGACTTTCCCGACACCAGATGGCAGGTTCCCACACTTTATGTCTACAGAGGTCATCTAGTGCTGACATAATGTAAGATAAGCAGATAACGATTTCCTGTATGCAAAGCAGGGGCGAAACAACAAACTTTGTTAAATTTTTAGGGTATGAACTTTAATGTAAATTCACCTGATGTTTCTTGTGGTATGTGATTAATATATACATGTCAGGCTTTGCCAGTTAATTTCTCTCATTTTTTTTTTTTTTTTTCTCTTTTACACTTTTTGTTTTACCTATGAATTGATGGGGTGGCATGACTCAACTCCTAGGACCAACCCCAAACCCTTGTTACTCCAAACTAGTCAACTAAGGCACACACTTAAAAAGCCTAATTCCGTGCCTAGGCACACACTTAGAAAGCCTAATTCCGTACCTATGTGCCATTATTTTCTGCTGTGTATATTCTTCCTTTGTCTTCTCTGCATCTAATATAGCTCTTATACCAACTTTTTAACAGAGATTGAAATTTAGCCACTGCCCAAGTTTCCTCTGGCCCTGACACAAGACTTAGACATCTATCTGTCAAAATATCAAAGTCTGGTATTAAGGCCAGAGGAAGCTTGGGCTAGGAGCCACTGTCATGACTCACAACAGGTATTGTGTGATATGACAACCTCATATTTGTATGGAAGCCTGTTTGATTTAAGAAAGTGGATGGCTCCTTTAAAACTGTCCCCCCCCCCCCCCCCCCTAATTCCTGGATTCATCACTAATATTACTAGGGCTATCACAATATGTTGGAAAACAGGTTTATCGCATAACGCAGGTATATCATATTGTACCACAATACAGAGATGAAATATTGCTGTATCACAATTTTTTCCAAAAGCATATTTTTATGTATCTGCTGACATAGTGTTTTAACTTTGTGAATTACTACAAATTCTAACAGATGTGCCAATAAGCATAAAACAGACTTTTTATCCATATTATATATGATTAAGTTTGATTACATTCTGACCTCAACTATAAAATTGAGCACATCCTTCCTATGACAATATATTGGGATACGTATCGCAATATATTCATTCTGTATTGCAATATATCATGATACACTCTTGGCGTATGACATCACTTTTATTTTTGTTTGCAGCTTTAATTAATTGTAGGAAGTTAGTTTATTTACTTCTTACATTTATATTATTTTGTTAAGTATAATTGTTGTTTATGATTTACAGACAGATCTGTTACTTTCTGTGTTATTCACCCTTGTTTAGGGTAAGGCTTTTCGTTCAGTGTAGGATTCCTGGCGATCAGCTGCTACGATACCGGTGCTGAAATCTGTGTGTTTACACTTTTGAGACGACCGGCTTAGGCATCGATACATTGTGGTTCGCTGTAGTTTGTAGTCTACTTGTAGTACTGTTAGGTAGGATAGGCCATTACTCTACATACGTAGGGATTAAGTTTCTTAACATTAGCTGTCATTGTTTGGCACTAATGCTATGCTTTGTATTTGTTTACTTGTACACATATTCATTCTGTCTTATTAATAAACAGTTACTTGTATTTTGAAACACTTTGTGGAGTTATTGAATCAATTGCTTGTATTACCACTACATCCAGTGTTTGAACTTGTAGTGAAAACAAGTCTGTAACCTGACGAAAGAGGTGAGGTCTAGAGAGGACTGCAGGGGAAGTTGTCGACCGACTCGTTAACATTACTAAAAACTATACGATCACGAAACAGATTTAACGGATTTAACGGAGTGACAACGAATGCAAACCCTCTCCGGACCTCCCCCTATTACATAATTAATAATTGTTAATTTCATGTGTAAACAAAAATAATATTAATTATCATAAAGAAGAAGAATTTACCTAAAACTACCTTTGAATAAAATGGATTTGCTGGATTTTTTTAAAAATTTAATTATATTTCTGTTTAGGCCTAGCGACATCCAATTTACAGTTTTGCAAGTCAATGCAACAGATAATCGATTATCTCCCCTACAACAACTCATTAAGACTGTAATTTAAGGTACCCGACCATATGGGCTGTGATCTACGATCCTATGAAAATTATCGATTTCTGATGTATACATGCGCAATATTGATTGCCAATCGACTTAATATGCCTTATATATATTGCTATATCACATGGTAGTAAATCACATATACGTACATGTATGTACTGTCACTTTTACTTGATAATTACCTTTTGGCATTGCCTTGATAATCCGGAAAACCTCGCTTTTTTCAATTAACCCTTTTCCATGGAAAAAGTGAATGGAAGGTAGAAATAATGGACCGTTTACTGTTCTAGAGCTGTTGATCTCTTTTGTTTTAGCAGCCATTAGTATTCGATTAACCTGTTGTTCTCGAGCAGATAATTGAATGCTCCCTCCCACTTTCATATTGGCTTCTCCGTTCACAATTTGAGCTCTTTGTTGTAAATAAGATGCAGTCGGCATTTCAACTGGAAGACAAAGCACATTTTCTATTGTAATCAAACAGATTGTGAATATTACAAGGAACTCCATTGCTGACGACTGACACAGCGACAATACCGAAACTAGAAATATTGACCTACTAAGATAGTCAATATATACAGTCTGTTTCAATTATCTTCACTATTTTATTTTGCGCTATTTAAATCTTTACCCGTGATACATTTTATTAGAACACGTGAAACAGATATGACACGTCCTGGACAGATATGGCGCGTGTCGGGCGGATATGACGCGTGCTTGGCAAATACGAGTCGGTCCATAACTGCAGTTACCCTTAGTGAAATGACATTGCTAGTACCATTTTGATATTTGTATAGGTATATATTAAAGCTTGAGTAATCCAACGAAACTACATATGTGCTATGTTTTAATTAATAACCAAGCACACCCCTTCGAATTGTTCTAGTTCTAAGTAGGGGAGAGGTGAGGTTTTTAGGTAGCATTATTTTTTATGCGTCCGTAAAGATTTCTAATCATTTTAAATCTTGTCCTAAAATCAATATTCAACATCGTCAGTGGTATAAACTTACACTGGTTTCCAGTTTTATTAATGAGATATCTAGCGAGCAACTTTTGTCCATTTGGTATCCATGTTGCAGAAAGCATTTCAATACTTATATTTACTATTTTGTCAATCTGTTTAATTAAGTTAAAATAACGTATTTATCGTATATACTTGTTCAATGAATAGATACCCCTGCAGATGGGGGATCGGGAAAAGAATACACCTGCTGGTATCGTAGGAGGCGACTAATGTGGAACCCTCTGTAGAATTGGGGATTTGCTTTGGTGTCCTCTAGTTGGGGACACAAAAGCGACAAAAATAAATCTGCTACACCCATTGCAATATTTGGGATCTTTATCTTTCTTTCTATTTCTAACTACCTTTTATTCTGTCCCCAGGCCGGGACATACCAAAGTCATTAAAAATGGTAGTTGTTATTACCTGCTTAACGTTCAGCATTTAGGGGAATGGCAACAAACGGTTCACCCGTTGCCAGTATAATGTGACCGGGCGGAATGCTGTGCTTGGAACCTTCGGCATGGTATTTCAGTGAGATAGCACTATAAAGTCGGCATCAGATCCACGCTATCACAAGGAGGCAAGCACACAAAAAGGCCATGTCTCCTGTATACATATGGTAGTTAGAAGTAGAGAGAAATATAAAGATTCCAAATATTGCAATTGGTGTAGCAGACTTATTTTGGTCACTTTTGTGTCCCCAAGTAGTGGACACAAAAGCAAACCTCCAATTATGCAGGGGTTCCCTCATTAGTCGCCTCCTACAATACATGCAAGTAACAGCGTGTGTATTCTTTTCTCGATCCCCAACATGCAGGGAATGAAAGTCATCTGAAAGTGGTATGGTTATATAGTAGCAATGACATACGATGGCAAATATAAAATATGGTTTGAAAAGGTTTACTAAATAACAGGCCTAGGTAATCATGTGATGAAGTTTGTCACCAATCAGTGGCCGTTTATGCTCCGCTACGTGGTACTCTTGTTGATGTTGTCAATGTGATGATATCTAACGCAGAAAATAACCCTTGAGACACGCTATTAACTGCAATTAAATGCAATACACCCTGATAATTGCTACATCCTGTTGACTCGGTTACGCCGGGGTAATATCTCAGACTCTTAATAGTTCACTCCATGAGTAAAACGTCCCTGGTAAACGAGAGGTCCCAGGTTCGAATCCGAACGCAGGTATTTTGCCTACTGATAATTGAGTCCACGTTAGAACCCGGAAATAGTGACAAAAATACGTATGTGAACTATCAGCGATACTTTCAAAATAATTACTATGCATAATTATGTGGTCCATTAATTGGAAAACTTGGGACGAGTTTGTTTCCTAGGCCTACCAACTCGGCGAGGTAGAACGTTCTCTAGAATATCCGGTATCTAGAGCGTTGGTAACTAGATAAGTGAACCAGAGGTCACGGGTTAGAACAATAGCGGCATTGATTTGAAAAATAATGACCTACGCAAACTGTAGACATTACCATGGGAACAAACTGCTTCTGTTTTCAGCTGATCAGGACTGGTAGCTGACAAAAGCCAAACAAAATGCTTTAATTTCGCATTCAGATATATCGACGATGTGCTGTCTTTAATACTTAGAAAATTATTGACCACATCTACGTACATGTATATATCCTAGCTCATACATGAAACCAAGGACATCACAGACACTTTCACTTAGCCACTTTCCTTATTTTTCTTCTTACAACATGACCAACAATTAAGGACCGCTTTAATTTTCTACTGAGCTGTACGATCAGCGGGACAACTTTGATTCTCCAATCGTGATCTTTCCCTTTCTTCATAGTAACACCCATGTTCCTCTACGCTTACAGTGTTAACATGTTGCAGTCGATCCTGTACTCAAATAAAATACCACGATTTCCTTGTTAGATGTAGACTGCTGGTGGACAAACTTATTACAACACATGGTTACCAAAGATGCAGATTAATTGATGACTGACGACTATGGACAAGTTTTATGGTCGCAATCAGGATCTCGCAGGGAATATGCTTTTTTCTGTGACATGAAGGTCGGTTTTTTTATTATGCTCGTGAGAGTGCCTTAAAGAGGGTTTGTTGTTTACATACGATATGATCTTACACTTCCGATACACCTTGACTAAACTGTTAATTATCCTAGTATTTGTTTCAATGGACTCTCCTTTGTTCATAGTTTGCCGTAGTCTTATCGATTTTGAGTTCGAATTATGGTTTTGTGGACACTTCGGTCTTGTAATTCAACATATGCATCACTAATTGTAAACGTAGTCATAGTAGTAATACGCGATCTGTCCGCATACCAAAAATATGTTTTTCGGAAATGGACTATAATTACACCATGACCAAAATCTATATTTAGAAATCGTACTGCAGTAGATGTAAGGCCAGAGCATAATTCCCTGAATATGGAATAAGCCAAGAACATCAACGGTAAACTAATAAAATGATTGTTAATGTATTAACAGAAGATAAATGCATTTTAACAAAAAGAAGAGTACATAAATTTCAAAAAGGAACCGTGTTGGATGCATTGCAGAATCGAAGGCAATCTTTGTTTTGCATACAGGTGAAGGTCATTCTCAATTTTGTTACGACTTAGACGATTGGTTTACAGAATCATCTGGAAGAGCTTTTGGCCAATCAAAATTTATTTTACATTTCATTTAAAATTAAAGGCTTTTGTGTCCAAAATAAACAACGTGGCACACTGCAGACGACGTAGTTGGCTTGAAATCTAACCTCTTCGACATTTGTACGAAATTGGCGATATTTAAATGAGTAATTATATCAGCGTGCTGAAAACGATTAATTCAAGTTGATGACAACCACAAATTGAGTCTGTGAAGTTGAAAGATTCGAAGTTTCCCGTCAAAATGGCGAGCATTTTGCAAACTGTCAAGAGTTGCGTTTGGAAGGTTTGTATCTAAGCTGTCGTTGACAGACGCTTACTGTACAGTACTCAACTTCAAATGTTTTAACGGAATAACTTATACACTAGCTAATCAATCAATCAATCAATCAACTGACCTGTCTTAGAATGCCTACAGTACTGCTAAAGGAACAATTAACAAGAAATAGTCCCACCGATAGACAAGGCAGATCACGACATCATATATACAGAAGCAGACATTAGACTACAAAAAACACGCAAACCACCTAGGAACATTAACCTATATAACAAAGCAAACTGGGACAACATCAGAAAAGACCTCACTAATCTAAATAACAACTTTCAGGACCTAGAACATCAAAACACACAAGACCTTTGGGTAAGTTTCAAAACCACACTTCATACATCTACAGAAAAAAAAAACATTCCAATAAAATCACTAACATACAAACACAGACTACCCTGGATGAACAACTCACTTCGCCGCCTCTCAAACAAGTCTAAACGCCTCCACCACAAATCAAAGACAAACCACAAACTTATCCACACATTCAAAACAGTAAAAGCTGAAGTACAAAAACAAACCTGCAATGCATACCTACAATACATTGAGAAGATGATTACAGATCTACCAATAGGCGAACCTGAAGACCCCAGCACAAGGAACAAATGCAACCCTAAAAAACTCTTCTCGTTCATCAAAACCACAAAAAAAGAAAACACAGACATCATAGCACTATGTAAAAACGGCACCTCACAACAGACCCAGAAACAAAGGCAAACATACTAAATGAACTGTTCCAAGGAGACTTCACACCAGAACAAAACACAACAATACCTGACAAAGAAATATCACCTCATCCACCCATGCGAGATTATATACACATAACATGCCAAGGAGTCGAAAAACTACTAAATAACATTAACCCACACAAATTAAGCAACATGAAGCTGCAGGCCCAGACCATATTCACGGCAGAATACTAAAAGAACCAAGGATATCACAGCACTAATACTAACAAAAATATTCCAAACATCACTCAATACAGGAACATTACCCAATGACTGGAAACATGCCAACGTAAACCCCATATACAAAAAAGGAGACAAATACAACCCAACAAACTACAGACCAATATCACTCACATGCATCGCATGCAAACTCCTAGAACACATCATCACAAGCGCAACCATGAAACACTTAGAAGACAACAAAATACTGCACGACCTACAACATGACTTCCGCACATCAAGATCTTGCGAAACACAACTCATTACATTCATGCAAGACCTCGCACAGAACCACAACAACAACAAACAAACAGACATTATCATAATGGACTTTGACAAAGTCCCACACAAACACATACAGTACAAACTCAATTATTACGGCATCACCGGAACCACACTAACATGGATAACAGACTTCCTATCACAACGCACCCGAACAGTAGTACTTGAGGGCAAACACTCCGACAAAATCCCAGTAACATCTGGAGTGCCTCAAGGAACCTGTTTGGGACCAGTCCTCTTCCTCATATACATCAACGACTTCCCCAAATACATATCACACAGTACACTAAGACTTTTTGCAGACGACAGCATACTGTACAAAACAATCAACAACAAAGACGACACGACAAAACTACAAGCAGATTTAGATGCAGCTTGTAAATGGGAAGAGAACTGGCTCATGAAATTCCACCCAGACAAATGCACCATACTCACTATATCACCAAAACGCACACAAATTAAACACCAATACACACTCCATGACCACACACTGGAATATGTATCTTCAAACAAATATCTAGGCATCACCATTCAGAACAACTTAAAATGGGACAAACACATTAACAACATCACATCAAATGCAAATAAATCACTACGCTTTCTGAAACGCAACCTAAAAATAAATTCACCACACATAAAAGAATATGCATACAAGGCCATTGTAGGACCAAAACTCGAATATTGCTCTTCAGTTTTGGACCCACATTATACAAATAACATAAACCAATTAGAAAAAGTACAACGAAGAGCAGCACGATATGTCCTAAACAAATACCATATCACAAGCTCAGTCACAGATATGATACACAACTTGCAATGGCCAACACTACACACATGCAGAACAAGAAAATACACCAACAAGTAGCAATAAATACTAACAATCTCATCCCCGCAGACACCAGAACACGTCAAGGACACGACCGTAGTTACAGACATATCTACACATCCAAACACGCATACAGACACTGATTATTTCCATACACCATAACACAGTGGAACCTCCTACCCAAAACAATGATCCAATCAGAAACACTAGCAGAATTCAGGACATGCACCACATATAACATAATCGAACATATACAAAACCTACACCATAACTAACACTCACTCACTGCTTTTAACCTGTTTTTATCCTATAGCAAATAACAAAAATATAATAAAAATCACTGTACGTAATAATTAATGCACAAACACAAGACTGACTTCTGAAATCGTCGGTATCGACGGAGGAAGATTACAAGATGAAAGATGCTAATTTAATAATTGCTGTCAAATGATAAATTAGTAACTACCCCAGAGGAACTAATTGGGGATTGAAAGACATATACATGCCGTAATACAAGCTGGCACGCAAAACATGTTTTTCTTTCAGTAACAAGATATACTATTTAATAATTACCAAAACCCATTCACAACAAGTTGCAGTGTCTGCATTTATCAACACAAGACTCTTCTCATATCTTATACAAGTGTAACATCATTTCTTTACACAAAACGTTTCTTTTCTTTCTCTCAGAAACCTGTATCTGAGCAAGTTGAGATTGTCACTGATGTCAATGATATGAAAGATGATGGAGATCAATCTAAACAGGAGGTAGTGCACAATGATGTCAAAGAAAATGAGTCCCCGAACTACGATGTAGACAAAAAGACAGATGAGATGTCGGGTAAATATACATGTACTAGGCCTAATGACTGGAAAATGGGGAAGAGTTCACAAAATTTGAAAAAGAAAGCAAAAGATTTTAATTCTTTTTGTTCGCACATTAAAAGGGGATGCATTTTGTTGTTAATTTTTATATTACCTTGTGACACTCAACTAGTCCCACTGTTTTTGTCCAAATTATTTTGTTCCTGATGAGAATAATATGGAGATGTGCAAAGCTTAAAGTTGGGATGCTGTATTTAAATTTACAATAGTAGAGACCATTTTAATCAACAAGTGCATTAACTTTGTGACTAAAACTAGTCCCTTAGTTTTTGAGCGAGTCTGGCATTTGTATGAATATGTGATGAAGATCAAATGAACATGTGCATATAGTAAGATGGGGATGCTGCATTTAATATTTAGCTCACCTGTACCCAAGTGACAGTTGAGTTTATGGTATGGTACGTGTGTTGTGTGTCGTCTGTCAACTTTTTCTTTGAACAACCTCTTCTGAGAACTTAAGGACCTAGGGCCATGATATTTGGCCAGTAGGTACCTGGGACAGAGTGATGTAAAGTTTCTTCAAATAAATAACCTTGACCTACTTTCAATGTCACAGGGTTTAAATTTGTAAAAACCAGGAGGCCCAGCATACTAATACTTGGCCAGTAGGTACCTGGGACAGAGTGATATAAAGTTTCTTCAAATAAATAACCTTGACCTACTTTCAATGTCACAGGGGTTAAATTTGTATAAACCAGGAGGCCCAGCATAATAATACTTGGCCAGTAGGTACCTGGCATGAAGTGCTTCAAATTTTCCTCAAACAAATGAACTTGACCTACTTTAAAGATCACAAAACTAAATGTGTTTAAAACATTTAAACATCTTTTGAATAACTGGGAGACCTAGAGTAATGATATTTGGCCAGCAGGTACCTGGTAAGTAGTGCTATAAAGTTTCCTCAACTAGATCACAAGAATCAAATGTGTTAAAAACATTTAAACATCTTCTGAATAACCAAGAAGCCTGGATCAATGATATTTGGCCAGTAGGTAACTGGGACAGATTGCTAAAAATTGCCTCAAATTCTTCAGAATAACCAGGAGGCCCAGAGTAATGATACTTGGCCAGTAGGTGCCTGACATGAAGCACTATAATGTTTCTTCAAATAAATGACCTTGGCCTACTTTCAAGATCACAAGGGTAAAATATGTTAAAAACTTTTAACAACTTCTACTGAATAACCAAGAGGACTAGAGCAATGATACTTTGCCAGTGGGTATCGGGGACAGAGTGATATAAGCTTTCCAAAAATAAATGACCTTGACCTACTTTAAAGGTCACAGGCATTAAATATATTAAAACTCTTTGAAAAAATTCTGAGGAATAACAAGAAGGCCCAAGTCGATAGTTTGCCAGTAGGTACCTGGCATGGAGTGCCAACAAGTTTCCTTAAATAAGTGACCTTGACCTACTTCCAAGGTCAAATATGTAAAACAAACTTAAAACAATGTCTTCTGCGTTATCAGGAGGCCCTGTGTGATTATAATTTGACCTGTAGCATGCTGGGAAAGAGTAGTTTCAGTTAGTCTGGGGCTCAATATATTTATTTGCATAATTTCTTTTATTGAAACTATATCCCAATAATTGCTCAAATATCCAGGTGAGCGATACAGGCCCTCTGGGCTTCTTATTGATTCCTAAATTTGTAGTTAGTGAAGTAGAGATTGTTTTTGCATTTCAACACATCCAAGAAGGAATAAGTTTCCCAGAGAAATAGAGTATTGAAGTAGCCTTTCTTGTTTCATTTCAATGTTTTGATACATTTTGTTTCAAGAAAGCACCAGGGGTCTAAGAAATTGGGCAATATATTGTTACACATCATGACATGGGTAGAGTCTTTAATGTATTTACAATTTACATCGCAATATTGGTAAAGCTGAATATCTTTTTCAGACCCAAAGGCTCAAGGAAATCTTATCTGGAGGATGTCCTCTGGTATTTACAGCACAGCTACAGGAGCAGTGGGCATGGGAATTGGGGGTGCCAAGTGGGTCGCTAACAAGAGTTACGACGTGGGATCCTCAGCAGCAGGCTACGTCAAAGTTCCCAAATTGGCAACGTTTAAGAAAAAAGATAAAAAGGAATGACAGGCAAGAGATCTACACTAGGTTGTGTTCAAACTTTACATACTGAACTTACAATACTAGGTTATTAATGTCATATTTTTCTTCAGGTTTTGTGATTGTCTCTATTTTGGACGCAAAATGATATTCAAATTTGTGTATTGTTGATTTCACCTAAAATATGCAATTAGTATTTGGATGCTTTTATGATTTGTTTGAGAAATCAATTACACTATTTTGAAAAATTTATGAAGTTGAGATAATGCCATCAGATTTCAACCATCAAAATGTATTGATAAAGATGACAGAAAGATTACCCCATGTTTTTATTATGGTCACTAGTTATTATGTAAATAATGTATGCAATAGAGTAGCTATCTTTGAGATTGTTTCATGAAATCAAACTTTATTCTTAAGTCATTAGATTATTTCTACAGGTACAGTTTGCTTTATGTTACATGTACTGGAAAATGTATCACCTTGGAAGTTGCACATTTAAATGTCCTCAAAGTTGACATTAGATTACTGTAACAACCTGTGTGATTTAATTTGCCTACCAATGTTATCTTTGCAGCAATGTCCAAAGGGCCTGAAAATTAACCTTAAAGCTTAAACATTCAAAATGTCATAATTCAATATGTCCTATCAAATGTTCATTGACACAAGTTGAAATTACGTGATTGGCATCTCCCACATACAGAGATTATTTGAAACACATACAGTGTTTTGTAAAATAAGACAGTGTTTTGTAAAATAAGAGGGAAAATGAACTTGTAGCAGCTGTCAAGTCTGAGGTCAAGGAAGGACTGTTATCAGGTTCCAAGGCAAATAAATAACAATGTGATAAATACTGTAGTTAAATTGCCTTAATTATTTATTATCACCATTGTTATTTATAACAATGCCTTAAAACAGTGTATAATAATTCTTTATTCTGCCAAGTTTGGAAAAAATAAATAATTTTCTTATGCCTAGTTTTTTATAGCTGAATACCAAAAATTGCTTGATTTTCCAAAAAATTAAGACATTACAATGAGTTCAATTCACTCAGAAAATAGTTCAGAATACATGGAACACATAAATGGAAAATCTCTTTCACATAATCTTAATCAGCCATCCAATTCATTTTAAGTCTGTTACTGTTGTTTTTTTTATCCAGAACTGGTTTGACTACTCCTTATGAGCAACAAAAAATGACACAGTGTTACTTTTAACATGTTTTGTTATATTTCTTCTAAATTTCAATATTTATCGATACTTGATAGAAATAATATTATATATCATTGACAAAAGATATTATGATGAAATCGGAGATTGTCGCGCACCACTAATATGTTGCATTTGGTTGCTACTATGCCAAAATAGTCTTCATTGTAGAAGGTTAACATTACCGGTATTGTTCATAGGGCAGTGCAATGAGTGCATTACCTAATGAAACCTGTCAAATTGCTTAACCTTGATTTATTGAATTTATTGGGCATTGTAGGTCTATTTTTATATGGCAAAAACTACTATAAAAGCAATGTTTATTTCTTACCTGTGTTGTGCCATATTATACTTTTTTGTTGGTATTCATTCTTTAATATAAAGCAATATGTTTAACAGGGAAAGTGAAATAAGGAATGTACTATATTACAATATACAGTCTCAGAGTGTGACCCATAAGATGTATCTTTACATAAGAAAATTGTATTTAAGGAAAAATTATTTCTATAATTTGATTATATTAATTATAGGATACGTTTTCCTACTGATTATTAACTTGCACCTTAGCACTCCTGCTAAATTAGAAAATGCCTGCAATTTAAAAAAAAACCACCATAAACATTTAAATCAATGCTACCTGTGTTTGCACACAATTTCTGTAAGGATGTTTGAATCGATTTTATCAAAAATTGATATGGAACAGTTTGGAAAAAAAGAATGTCCTTGTTATGTATACTTGTTGATAAAAATCACATTTGACAAATAAATTCAAAAATGTTTTATCTAACAGGGCAGGAAATATAAAATAATTCAATCAACTTCAGTTCTGTTGATATGACAATCGTTTGAAAATTGTTTCCTGTCACAGTTTAGTCCTTTCACCACTGTAGACTATCATGGACTCATCCAGATGAATGTATAGTAGAGTCTACTCAAGTTACCTAGGGGTGAAAGGTTTAGTTATGAATGTGAAGAAGACAGATGTTAATTTATGGGATTAACCACATGACTGGGAACAAGTACAGATGTGCTTTTAGATAGATTGCTACCACGATAGCTCACAATTTGTCATCATCAATGTTCTTAATCGTAAAGTTTTAGAAGTACCATATCGTAAAAATTCCCCATAGATGAGGATGTTTTATAGAGCAGACATATTTTTGTATTGCCACAATTGCCAAGCTTTCAAATTTTTCAGAAAATAGATGCCCAAATTATGTGGTAAATTCTATGTAAAAAATTACAAATAATGACACATATTTGACAAAATATTAGTGTTTAGGAATTTGTCAATAAACTTGTATATGGTAACCATTATTACAGTATTTTTTGTAAACATTCTAATTTCATTTCTCAAATAATTTATAAGACTTTATATAGCCATAACTACATTATTTACATCCATGAGCTATATTTTATATTAAAATTCAGAGCCTAAATGTACATATGCTGGGACCACAAATTGAAACACTGTATGTGGGCCAAAACATTCCTCATACATTTAGCAACATTGAAATTTCTTTAAATATTCATCAGACAATGCAAACAGCTCATTAGAATTTGGTTTGGGTACATAACATGCAATATATTATCTATACATATCCAAGACTTTCAAATTAAAAGAACCATATTTGTTCAAGTTAGAATTACATTTATTGTCGTTAATTGTAAATACAACTGTATAAGGATTTGTGGGGACATCACTGACCAGCTATTTTTATTGCATGATAATTAACTCAAAGTGAATGCATGTATACAAAATAAGATATCATAATTAAAAACTGTGTGAGTTTTTGAAGTATCAACTACATCATGCCAATTAATGTAACCACATTTTGTCAAACCATTTCCATCCAGAGCGACCTACACATTCATTACGATGACATGTAATTCAGTGTAAGACGGTGGATGTCTGTAGAAATTCATTACGATGACATGTAATTAAGTGTAAGACGGTGGATGTCTGTAGAAATTCATTACGATGACATGTAATTAAGTGTAAGACAGTGGATGTCTGTAGAAAATGTTTTGAACTTTTGCTTCCGGTGCTTTTTGTGTTTTAATAGAATTGTATTAAAGTTCACTTTGAATACTAGTACAGTAAGCGATGGATCAGTAACAGACATGTACAATGAAATAGTTTTATGAGAATTGACATATACAACATGTACACCAACAGATGTCTATTTAGTACCTTAAGTACACACAGTTCTATATTAACCTGCAATACATGTACCTGCATATGTATTGTACATGTGATTGTTTATCATGTCCTTGTAGATTTTGTAAATATTTCAAGATGGAATCAGGTGTCTCTGAGGATGGTCGTGTACAGGAACATGTGTATGTTAGTTCATGTTGGTTAGGCGCTGTATCTAATTCCATGCTGGCGTGTTTCTGTAATAGTATGGACATTATTGATATGTACTTGTGCACAGTGCTACGCAACTGATGAGATTAAACTGGGTTTAAGTAGTGCAACATATATACTTGTACCTGGTGTATATATGTAACTATAGGACGTTTTTTGGATGTTCTGCATAATTTCATGTATTTTTCTGATTTAAATGTCATTGTATATTGTTTTTGTGTAAATAACCATAACAAAGTACTGTACATGTATATTTTTTCAAATTTCATGTTGTGATACATGGCCTTACTATAAAGTGTATCTGTTTAACACGTGCATCTAGTCTTTGATTACTGCAAGCGCTAAGTTTTTTGAAATGTAACCTTTCATATTATCAGGTCAGCTATAAATAGCTTTAACTAACAGCTAGAACATTTGTTTTTTGAATTCACAATCCAACAAAAATTCTGTTTTATTATGTACAATTTGTATGAGTATCCATGCACATGAGTACTAGAGGTCTCTTAAGGTCATAGTACAACAAGCACTGACTACAGTCATTGACCTTATAAACACCCCATCCTTTATAAGGAACCCCTTATCTGTCGGAGGTTTATCTGGGTACTGTTTAGGTCCTGTGAAGGACCCATTCCTAATCAACAAGAGTTCTCATGGGCCTTAACGGTCACCTGAGTCCTACAGTATTTATTTTTGTTGTTGAAATATGAAGTGGAGATCATGATGTCAATCATCCCTACCAATTTGAGTAAAAAATAGTTAAGTATATTGTTAAGTTAAGTTTGTCAGGACCATGAGTTGATCATTCCTAGACAGAGTTTCAGTTAAATCGGCCTATTGAGGTAAAGCTCAGGTGACCTAAAAAAGTGTGATTTTTTTCTATTTATCCTTTTAAAAATTGCTCATTGGAAAATTTTAGGAAATAGATCCATTAATTTAAATCAATTCCTCACAATTGACTGATTTAGAAAGACATTGTGATCATGCTGTAATAAAGAAAGGCTGAAATAAAACTTGAACGCTTTAATTTCATGTACCAGGTATCTAGAGTATTATAATAATTGTTCAATTTCCCAAAATAGATTTATGTTGATGACTTTTTTCCCAGTTCCATCCGTCAGTTCGTTTCCCGGAACTCCATGATAAACCTGTCTTTTCTGGTCTGAACATCCCATCTTTTCATTATGATTTACTCGTTACTCGAAGACAAGTGTCTATACATAGCTAATCTTTGAGAATTTTGGAAGGTTCTACAATCATTCTCATTTTCCCAAATTTGTTAAGTGTCCCTGATGATAATTAGGTCAAATAGGGTCTGATAAGTGGATCCATATCAATAGTCTTGATGATAAGTTCATCTGCTACCTTTTACTTGGTTGTTTTATATAAGTTTGTTTAAATACTAATTTTACACCATGATGCAATATCTAAATATATTATGTCAGATATTTCTTGTGCAATTCTACTTAAAAAAGCTTGTATAGATATTTGCTTTTATTAAGGGAATGGTTCAATTTTAGTCTGTATGAGAGATTGCCATCAAAAGAGTATTTCCCCTGCAATAAGCCCAGGGACCAATACCAAAGTTGGAATTTCTACTAAGCTGATATAGATATATGGGTGGGCTTATTACCAGGCCAGAGTTTGTTGTCAGATAAATACTGTGATAAAATGATATCAATCCTTATAAGAGGCTACCATCGATAATAAATTCTACAGTCTGTATTAGAGCTAACAGTCATAATAAAATTCTACGCTCTGTATTAGAGCTAACAGTCATAATAAAATTCTACGCTCTGTATCAGATGGTTAAGCGCTTTAAGTTCTGCCTAGCCTTTAACTTTGGTGCTCAAATCTAAGCTTTTTGTCCATAAAACAAATTTGCAGAGTTAAAGTTTTGCACTACACTGTAATGGTCAATGGCCGTACTAACTATATCATATGGGCAATCATATTTATGACATAATTTTGCATGCCGCAAATCTACTGAAAATTTAATCTGCTTGAAATGTAGAAGAATCCGTCCATCTTAGCTTCCATAAGGTACAATGTGAAGATCCTGAATTATATCTGAGTATAATATTACCGGGGTAGCTTATAATTCTGGTGCTGAAGTTGATATGTAATGTGACACAATAAATAAATTTTTGAAAATAATGTTATCATATACATGTTATAACAATATTATAGTCAACTGTTTAAAAGAAAAGTTGTTAATTAGAAAAATATTAATATCAAATGTGTATTGTAAAATATGATGACTTTTCTGCTAATTGTATATATGTGGGTCTAATTAGGTAAGATGATTTGGGTGACAGCAGTAAGTCTTTCTGTATCAAGTGTATGTTTGTTAGTTTAGGTCACTAGTAGCTATATACTGAATGTTTTGTCTGATGCACATTCTCTGTCATCTTTCACTAGCCAAGGGTTACAGTCTAGTCTACCTACTCTGTAGAGAGCGCAAGTGAGTGTAACCCCTGGAGTATTGAGGATGTGTATCTGGATATACATCACAGGTTTAGTAAGTTTATAATCTTGTAAGTAAACACTTTACGTTGAATGAATGTACCCATATTATTTAAGTACTGGTTTCTCTGGTCCTGGTTCTTCACATTCTAATAAAAAAAACCTTGTGAGGCCCATAATTCCGGGGATCTCTAGCCGTTAAAAGATATTCATAAAATGTGTGCATGCATCACTGACAAATGGTGTGCATTACGCCATCATTAGGTCACTGTGACCTTCATCACTTCAAAGTCAAAGATTAAGTAAATTAAGTGCTATGTTTATGGTTAAAGTTTGCCTGGGCCATACATTTTAACTTTTTAAGATATCTTGATGAAACTTTCAATTGAAGTATACATGCATCAGCCACAGAATATTTTCTGTAATAGATGCATATAAAGGGGAGATAATTTCAAGTTTTACTCTATACACAAACATTGTTCATATTAAACCTATTGCAATGTTTCAAGACCAACTGGTCCCTTTGTCAAGCTATGACTGAGTATAAAGGGGAGATAATTTAAAGCACAAGTTATTTATGTAAGTGTGTTGCAATGCATATAGTGGCATGATACCATTAGTCTGTATCACAATATACTGTAATTTGGTATATGTTTTCAAACCATCAATTATTTTTTTATGCATTTTTCAAAGAGCATAGAAATTATGATCTTATGGTTTACAATCCTACTGGCACAGAAACAAAATATCAGTACTCATAAGTTAACTTATAGTGGCACTTCTGTGTCAACATTTTCTTAGTGTGACATCAACATCATTTTGTTATACAATGATATTACAAGATCGGAAAAATTATGTTGATTAAGACAATTTTGTATTTGAGTCTGTCAAAAACTCTTAGGGTATGTACCTATAGGTAGACATAACTTAACATTTTGCCAAAATAGACTATATAGAGAGAACATTTCAGACTTAAACAGTGATGATTGAAATCGGCGAGAGAAGGCTAGGCCATTTACTGTAGAACCTAGGTACAGTGTAGATAGGAAAAGAGAAACACCAATTTCTTACCCAGGTACTAATTATGCATCCCATGTTGTAGATTTTTATTGGAATATCTTGTTCAAACTTCACCATTTGAAATTGTTCCCATGCGTCCCTGTAAATATAGAAATATGTGATGTTGGTAAGTTTTATGATGTGCCAAAATTCTTTCTTGTTTATTAAACTTATTTTTCTTTTATGCATTTTTGCATATAAACTTGAAAAGCTTTAGCAAGAAATAACATCTTTTGGAGATCGACCATTTCATAAATGAATGCACTCTTTAAGTACCGGTATATTGATATATCGCATATATGAGCAGATAATAACAGTGCTTTTTATCATATATGTACATATATTTTCTTTTATGCATTTTTGCAATATTATTAGTTCTAGTCGCAATTTAGTTTGGGTCTCTTTACAAATACATTATCCACTATTCAGAGTAATAAATGGCCCATCCCTTTTAACTGCCTCTATTGTTTTCACAATTTAATGGAAAAAAGTGTCTATTATGGCAATTTTTGAAGAATTTTAGAAGGTACTGCCCATTCTCAATCGGAATAAACCAGATCTTTTTATTCAACTCCAATACTTTACGTTCCAATCAAAGGGACATAGGGTAACGGACTGGAATATAGAGCTGGTCTTCATTAGGTTGGTTCATTCTAATTTTCCCATATTGCTAAGTACCAAGAGTGTATTAATATGAGAAATCACTAAGTTTTTTTTTCTTCTTTAGTTCACAGTAAATAGAAATTTAAAAACAGAAGTAGAAACATTAACATATTATCATGCAAGATGTACTTGTGGGTTGTTAATAAATATATTTTCCATAGAATTACAGAAAAACATTCTAGAAAAAGATACATTTAAATTTAGATTATTTTTCTCCAAAACATTGACAATCATATTTCTACAATCAGTGCTGTTACCGAGTGATGTCTATGTAAATCCATGTTCTGTCAAACTAATTGTCTGTGATCAGAGAGGCCAGTGTTGTTATGTCCCCCAGTATAATAATAACTACAGTATTTGTCCTCCCACCTTAGCACAGGAACGTATGTGGTGCTGATTCAGTCTTCTGACAGGTGAGACTTACAGATTCTTCCCCTTAGCTCCCCCTCTTCAGAGCATGTTTAGGACTGGAGGGAGCAACATTAGAAATTTTACCTAGGGTCGAGACCCCCTCTCACTCCCAAGGCGGGAAGGATCCTTTTTCTTGTACCCAATTTGCCCTGTCCTATATACAGTGATGACACTTCCTTGATGTATTACTGACGCCAAAGTCTTACGATTGTTGTGAGTTGGCAATTCCTCTTCTCAACCATAGAGACAAGGATATCTCACACAAAGAAAAATGTGGACACATCTGTACAGGGTAAAACATTGATGATTCTCCACGGTCATCACAGACTAGCTATGCCTTAGCTAAAAAGGAGGTAAACTCTTCATGTATTTGTTCAACTACTATGTACATGCTTCTACAAACCAGTTTTTAATTAAACAAAAAGGAGAGAGCTATATATATCTTTAAGACATACTATGAATTCAAAGTGCTTGCTTGGTTCTTTTGTGCAAATCTTGATTTTGAGGACCTCATTGAAAGTAGTTCCCAGAAAGTACATGTCAACATTTTAGCTTTTTTAATATCATTTTTTCCATGATATATATATATACAGTAGATTTCGCTTAATATCCATTCTCATTTGACAAATGAAATATAAAATAATATATAAAAAAAACAGGCAAAGGAGCTTCAGGTATCCATGCCTTGCAGCAACTGCCTCTCAATTACTATATTTTACTTAACAATTTCTCATGTAATTACTTGTCCAAAAAGAAAATGACCAATTTTTTGTTGATATCATACATATTATTTTATGAATCTCTTGTTTTGCAATATTTCTGTTAATTTATAATTGCCATGTGTGTCTCATTGTTAAGATTCATTATCATGTTTGAATATGACAGGTTTATACTGCTTATGCTTATTATTACATTACCTGACTATGTTTATCACCTACCTGTGTATAGCTTACCACAGGGACCCGAGAATTAAGACACAATATACTGAGACCTTTATTTGTAGGAAGTATTACTGTATGCAGGTGAATTACACTGCAATTTACATTTGCCTTTTCCCCCTTCCATAAGGAAGACATGTTTACTATGACAACAAATAAGAGTACATTACATGGTATTTATTGTAATTA